CACCAAATGTCTAAAAAAAAAAAAAAGCCGAGTTGGCTGGCTGGATTGCGATGGCGATAAATGTGCGCAGATACGTTACAGACCGCGTCGCGTCGTCTGGCCGCTTTAAATGGACAACTGGGAGTGGGTCACAGCTGCAGCTGTGGATCCGTGGTGCAGCCTGCGGCTCACTGGGGCAAACGGAGCGATTATAGGGATCCGGGCTTGGGACAGAGCCTTCCATAAAACCAGTTCGTTTCCCCAGACTGCACACCGACTCAATTCGATTTGATTCCTTCTTTCGCAGCGTTAATATTTCAATTTATTTCTTGGATATGCGTCTTCAGCATCGTATCGTTTTTCGGACACTTTCTATCCATATTCGTTCCCCGAACTGGCGGCAGATGTGTCTACATGTGTTGTGTCTTGACCAGAAACCCCAATATCTTGGCCTCGGTCATGGACTTGGACTCGTGATCACGCAAAGCCAGTCCGAAATGTGTGTCAATGGCCTTTGGGCCCTTCTTTTCATTTCTTTTCGGGCGGAGGCGGAGGCACAACGCCTGGAGGCGTGTCCCTTGCGGATTTTCACTAAAATGAAAATTAAGAGTGAAAACGGTTTGGGTTTCTGTATTTTCCCCCCAACCCCCTGCTCTTTTTTGCAGCAAACAAAGCAAAAGAGGTGTGTTCGCCGGTTCCAACTGCAGGCCATGCATGACCCGCGCGTATTAGTGTCCCATCCTCCGACTGTCTGATTGTCATGCTAAATGGGTGAAGTGAAACTACGACTGTGATTTCGGACTGGCGGGAGCATTGGCCAACTCCCCTAAAGAGCATGCCTGTTTTCAGCTCTTTCTTCTCCCACTGTCAACTGTCAAACGAAATTTACACGTTTTCCATCGAGCTGCACCTCACGAAATAGTCAGGGGGCTCCAAGTCGAGACCTGAACAAAGAAATGGGGAGTGCGTGTGGCTCTTTTAATGGATTGATTGTTTTGGTAAAGTTTGCATGTTAATTTTCTTTATGCTGGCGATAGACGACAAAGCACACTTAAAAGTCTAAAGCCCCATTACTGAGTTCATTGGAATTTTGTATTTTTTATCAGATATGTCACCGACTCAATTTTACATTAACAGTATGAGACTATCAGTCTGGTAAAGACAATGCAAAATGAAACACAGAGATTGATGAAGTTCGTTACTAGAAGTAGTTATATAGCTCAAATAAGTAAATTATTAAACATTCCTTCGCAACTGACAAAAATTTTATGTGGTTTAAGCAATCTTATCCTCTGGAAAAGGAACGGAAATGGCCGAGGTTGCCCCAACAATTCAATTAAGTCTGCTCCTCTTGCACATCTGAACGATCGGGTTCCTACCTGCTTACCCGGCTGACTGATGTGGATTGAAAACAAAACAAACAGAGCTTAGACAAACTCACAACAATGCGGTCGTTGGACGCGCAGGCGCGCAGCGGGGGAGCTTAATATGCAGCCAGCGTAGCAGTCAAGCAGTCGGGTGAGCAAGTCGAAGTTATATATGTATATATAAATATATATATATACATATGTATATATACAAATAGCCAGCAGCAGCTGGCGTCTTTCGTTCTTGCTGTCGCTCAACTGATCAACTGGTTTAACAATAAAAACAAAGCTCTCGCGGCGGCGTTGGCGTTACTTTAACGTTTAACAGAAACGAAAAAGTTGCCGTCTTTTTGTTGCTTCTCTCACACGCTGCCATCGATTGTCGGGGCTTGGCTTTCTTTAAGGAAAAAAATAAAAAACTCACATAGAAACTATAAAAAATGGTAATTTGTACGCTTTTGCCTTTTTCCCCGCTTCTTGCTCAATCGTATGTCTCACACGCGCTTCTAATGTCTGGATACGATACATAAGCTCATACAACATCCAAACATACGGATGATGATGGCATATAAAAAGCTACACGAGTCTTTCAATTGACTTGGAAAGTGGCAAGCGACTGGCAGCATGCATCAAAGTGGGGCGGACACCAGCGAAAAGTGGGCGTGATGGGCAACAACAATGGCCCACTGTTTTTGGCTCTCGGCTTTGCCACACTTTTGATGAATTAGCCGTTTTTTTCCATCGAGTGTCGAGGCTTGGAAAATTGAGTTGCAGCTGCAACTCTTGATAGAAAACGCTGGCAGGGGGCCGAGGAAGTTCATTGAGCCGGATCATACCCAGCTGAGACTCATTAAAACACCACTTGAACCACGATTCGTGTTATACCGCCTCTAAGTGCAGGTCAATAAGTGGAGTTGTTGTCTGATTTTCGCCTTCAAGCCAATTGATGCCTTTGTACGATGTAATTGGAGAGAAGTGGGTGAGAGGCTTTATTGATGGGTCTGGTAAGCAGGGTAATTGATTTAATTACAAAAAAATTACTTCCCATACCGGGAATCGAACCCGGGCCTCCTGGGTGAAAGCCAGATATCCTAGCCACTAGACCATATGGGATATGTTTTATTTTCTTCTAGCTTATGTAATGATGATGGCTCCTCTTTACTTTTTTAGAAGTACACGTATTTTTATAGGGATTCCAAAACTTTTAAGTGTGAAATGTATAATAGAAGTTTTTCTGAACGACAATTTGGAGCGATTTAACAAACTGGATAAGTACGTTCTTTATTCGCGGCATACACAAGTCCCATATTGTCTAGTGGTTAGGATATCCGGCTCTCACCCGGAAGGCCCGGGTTCGATTCCCGGTATGGGAAACTTTTTTGATGATTTTTTTTTGGTTTCTTGTTTTGTATTTAGAGCTGCTTCATTAAAAATTTTTGAAAACAACTTTTTGAAAAATAAAATTAGTCTTCAACAAAATTAAAAAGGTATAAGCAATGCCATTCATGACGGGCCGAATAAAACGAGTTTTTGCTACCTAACAGCCAGCCTCCCATATGGTCTAGTGGCTAGGATATCTGGCTTTCACCCAGAAGGCCCGGGTTCGATTCCCGGTATGGGAAGTAATTTTTTTATTTTCTATAGAGTAAAATTTAAACGAATTTATATTTTTATATTAATATCGAATTAAGAAAATCCTGGAAATGACTATAAATTGACTTTCCATGCGTTTTAATTTATTTCCATAACCATCGATGCAAATCTGATTGCATTTATAGATATCGGCTATTATTGCATTTTTGTTTGCTATATTGTTTATCTTTTCTTTTCTCTTGTGCCTTATTTCTTTTTTACAGCTGCCTAGCGCCACTCAATTGATGCCAATCGGACATGCTACGAAATAATTGAGATTTTTTTGGGGGAATGAAATGCCGTTGCTTTTCGTTGGTCCAAGATGTCAATTGTTGATGTCTAAGCTTTTGAAGAGAAATACAACAGAAGACAGAGTAAGAAACTGTTTTGTTAACGACGGGCAAAGCTCAAAGAGCCAAAGTACTTAACTTTTGTTAAACCGAAAATTAGGCATGCCCAGCATTGCAACATATACTGGAAACAACAGCAACAACGTCAACAATAGCCTGCCGCAAAACGTGTGGCAAGCGAATGGCAACAACAATAAAAAAAGACACAATGCCTTGACTGAGTTTTTAACGTTTTTTCTGTTTTCTTTTTTATGCTGTAGATACGGAAAATTGCTTTTTCATTGTTGCAGTTACCAATGTTTGCATGTTGTTGTTATTTACAAGCTGACTTGGCAAACGGAAAATCAATTTTTAATTGCAACAAATTTGACCTGCGGGACAGGCAAATTGCGAGCTGGCCAAAAAAGGCAAATTAACGCAAACGTTAAACACAAAACAATTGACATTTTGAGTCAGAAACGGGTTTAACGGTATCGAGCGGCAGCTGCATTATCTTTCGAGGAAACACGCGGCACCATGTCAAAAGGGGACAGCAACAATATGTCAAAATCTCGATGGGGCGATACCGAGTTGAGCAGAAAGCCGATTACGGTAAATAAAAAAATTCCGAGTTGAGCAGAAACGATTTTTGGACATAAAAAATGAACGTCCGAGTTGAGCAGAAACGATTTTTGCACATAAAAAATGAACGTCCGAGTTGAGCAGAAAACCGATTATGGTAAAAAAAAAAAAAAAAACATCCGAGTTGCGCATGAACGCCTTTTCCACATAAAAAACCAATGTCAGAGATGCCACAAAATCATTATTAATTAAATAATTTAATTTTTAAAAAAAATGGTTATTTTTTCAGTTTTTAGTTTAGTTTTTTTTTTTTGAAAAATTACTTAATAATCATATAGCATATGTATCAATGCAAAAGTGCGCGCGCACTTATGCATTGATACATATGCTATATGATTATTAAGTAATTATTCAAAAAAAAGGTTATGTTTTCTGTTTTTAGCCTTTTTTTTTTTAGAAAAATTACTTAATAATCATACAGCATATGTATCAATGCAAAAGTGCGCGCGCACTTTTGCATTGATACATATGCTATATGTTTATTAAGTAATTTTTCTCAAAAAAAAGGTTATTTTTTCAGTTTTTAGTTTAGTTTTTTTTTGAAAAAATACTTAATAATCATATATGATACATATATGATTATTAAGTAATAATTATTTGCAAATAAATGAATAATAAATATGTAGTAATTATATGAATAAGTAATGATTTTGACGATTTTCTGACATTGATTTTGCCCAACTCGGAGGTTTTTTTTTTTTACCGTTATCGGTTTTATGCTCAACTCGGACGTTCATTTTTTATGTTCAAAAATCGTTTCTGCTCAACTCGGATGTTAATTTTTTATGTCCAAAAATCGTTTCTGCTCAACTCGGATGTTCATTTTTTATGTCCAAAAAGAGTTTCTGCTCAACTCGGACAATTTTTTTCAATTTTCTGCTCAACTCGGCTAGCCCCTCTCGATGAGCAGAGCAATGAACCGTTGTAATTAGCATACGGCAATGTGCATGCGTGCAACAGAGAGGACAATAGGGGCACTTTCGATTATTGAACTTGTCAAATTTAGCGTTCGTTCGTTTGTGCTAATTTTGTTTATATTTTTGGTACTTACCTTCTGGCGATGTTTTTAGCTGGAAACCTTCTCCTTCCTGGGGTGCCAAAATGAAAGACAAGCGAACAATTAATTTCATTAGAAGTATCTAACAAATGCGAATCCAACACGATATAGTAATACTACAAGTGTGTGTAAACAAGATAAGCAACACCGCGTGGGAGAGAGAACAAAGGGGGGCAAAAGAGAACGAGAGACGCGGCTTGTTGACGGAAACTCCTGTCGCAGCAACAACAAAAACAAAACGGTCACAATTACAGCGCTTTTATTGATTTTTTACAAAAAAACACCATTAGGGCACAAAGCATACCGTTTTCATTTGAAATTTGCTTTAAAATTATTTTGCAATTATTTTAACACATAAAAATCGAGCACAAAAGAATTTTGCACACATGAGCGCAAGCTCACACACCCATATACACACACGAGCGCGCAGCGACTTCAATGTCAACTTCACTTCTTTAACTTTTATTTTTGCTTTCGTAGTTTGCGTTTTTTTTTTTTTTTTTTGTGAACTTGTGCACTAAAATTACCCGTTAACTTGCTCCACGCGCTCGCAGGTTGAAAAACCCAAAATAACACCGCTGTTCACTTTTGGCCAAGCGCGCTTTTTAGAGGTGGAAACATTAATGAAAAATGTAACACCCGATGTTTAATTTTGCAAACAGATGTTTGACGTTAACTGGTTTTCCATCCCTTGAATACTTTTTCTTCGATCAAAACAGCCATGGTTGGTGCCTCTGGTTATCCTATGTCTGAACCATAAATGTTAACTAAAACTAAAACCTTTTTTTAACATTAAAGTTATTATACACGTTACCACTTATCGATGTTATATGCTATTTGTTTCTACGCAGTCTACATATACACTGTTAAGGCCCTGGCGGTTTAATTTTAAATTTTAAAAGCACGAAAGTGTTTTTCAGACTTGTCCAGAAATATGGACTGTTTTGTAATCTGCCGCCACCTTTTCCTAACAATACAATGAAAATGAATGAAATATGATCAGTGCAAGCTGGTTAATAAAACATTCATTAAAAAAATATATTTCATATTTTAAATAATTATTCTTATCAATGTAATTTAAAACATTTTAGAAAAGCAAGCCAAATATTATTAAATGTTATAAATTTAATTATACTTTGAATAATAAATTTAAATCAAAAACTCAAAATAATTTAAACCACTTTTGCATAATTAAGTTTTTCGTGAATGTCCGTTGTTTGTTTCCGAACACTCTTTTTAATCAGATTAAAATCTTTATGAATAAAATTCTTCATGTAATTATCGCAAAAGCGCTATTTGGCTGCTCAACCCGAGTTCCTGTACCTTCGCCGGAAGCAGTGACGCACATTGGGCTTGATGCCTTGGCAGCGGTTGTTCCAAGCCACCCAGGCGGAGAATCCTTGCTGTTTCCGGATGTACTTTGCACACGCTATGGAATACCGGATGTCATCGCTCAGGAGCAGTCGACAGGGCAACCGACAGAGATCGTTGGAGGGACGACCGTCCGCCGGCTTGCACCAGTAGCGATCGTTGATTTGGAACAGACCCCAGTCCACGGAGCCGTCCGCATTCGAGGGATTGATGGCCTTTGTGTTGAAGGAGCTCTCGCCCTCGACGAGGCACAACCAGTCGGGCAGCTCGCTGTAGGGCATTCCATACCGATAGAGCTGCCGGGCCAAGCTGCACCGGCCCACCTGCCTTCCGCTGGCCAGTGATAACGATAAGGCAACCAGCAGCCAAATGGGCCACATCTTCGGAAACAATGAGCGGCTCTAATTGGAAATCGGCGCTTTTATAGCCACCCATCGTGCTGCCCGGGCCAATCTAATTTTTACAAGCACTCATTTGGACAGCTCTGAAGTGTGGCCCACACTCGAGCATAAATTATAAACACTGGGCTACAAGGTTTACAACTCTGTATGCTAAATAGCACACTTCGCCATTTTTCTTTGGCTGAAAACAATTGGGAATATTAGCATTTGAATTAAATGAGTGATGATGAGTATATGCGAATTTAACAAAGGAATCAAGATAAATTAATATTTAAATGAAACGAAGTTCTGGACAATATTAATGGTCTGATAAAATGTTTTCCTGTGGGTCCCTAGAAAATATCTTGGTACATCTTTATTCATATTTTTTTTTATTCATATAATGCAATTCTAAAATCACAGTTTTGTAAATCAGTGCTAAGCCCGTAACCGACTTTCGATTCTCGAGCATTGAACAGGCCGATCGGGCCAGTTTTGGTAATATATGGAGTGGGAATCACTCGCCATTTAAGCGAGGCATCTGCCGGGCCCCAGTTTCACTTTCAATAGGTTCTTTTGTGAGATGCTCGGGTATTATATAACCATATTGACAGCTGGAGGGGCTGGCGCACTTGAGATCGCGTGTGCGATCAACAATGGAACAATCAACCCACAGCAGAGTCGTTCAACTTTTGGACAACTCGTTTTATTGTCGAAAAAATGCGTACAAAAATATGCAACAAAGTCGGTATAAAACTACGATGCTAATCCCTAACTAATCTCCTGCAGTTCCTGAGCTGGCGGCTGCTTAACACTCTGTTCCGTGGGCTGCTGGTATCCCTGCTTTGGCAGGAACTGTCGCTTCCTGGAGGTGGGTCGCACCACGATGTGCGCCACGCAGGTGCAAATAGCAGCGATGGCAAAGTACTTGAAGCTCTCCCGTCCTCCAAGCCGCTGGAACATCACTCCGCCGATCAGAGAACCAATGGAGAAGCCGAGACCATCGTCCATTCCGGCCATAAGTCCCTGGACAGTAGCTGAGGTTCCTGGAGGAGCCACCGCCGAGGCATAGGCCACAATGCAGGTGTAGCACAGGGCATAGGTGATGCCCTGGAAGAAGAGCTCCACTCCGACGAGGTACCAGGGATTCGGTATCCAGGCGATCAGCGAGAGCCGAACAGCGTAGAAGAAGAAGCACATGCTCATGCAGTGGACGTAGCCGAGCTTCTTGATGATCTTTCCGCTGTAGAAGAAGAAGGGCACCTCGCCGGCCAAACACTCAGCTGCCACCACCAAACCCTCGATCAGCTTGATTTGGTGCATGTAGCCCGTAGCTTCGGCCACCTGCTCCAGGTGCCAGAACATGAAGTAAATGATGAAGGAGTCAATGATGCCAGCCATGGTGGCGAAGAACAAGAAGACCACAATGGGCGGCTGGCGAACCAGTTGCCAGACGTCGCTCCAAATGGACTCCGATCCGCCCAGTTTCGGCAGCTTCAGCTTGGACACACTGAACAGATCCAGCAGACTGAAAACGCACATGATGATCAAGGCGGGTGTCATGCTCTTCACCGCATCCGAGGTCCACCAGTTGACCACGATGCCAGCCAGAAGGGCGGTGGCTCCAAATCCAATGGTGCCCCAGACACGCTGGGCTCCGTACTTCTCCTGCTCCTCGTCGCCGAGAAGGTCAAAGCAGCAGGCATCCGAAATGGAATTGGTCACGTTGAAGCCCACGATTCCGATGCAGAGCAGGCACACGAAGAGCCAGAACTTGCCGGCTCCATAGATGCAGCTGTCCACGTGTCGCAGCTCACAGGATTCACTGTACCACTCGCTGGTAGCAGGTTGCGTGAGGCAGATGTGGTGTGTCTCGTTGCCGTGCAACAGATTCTGGCTGAGATTGAGGCCTGCCTCCGGGGAAACAATGAGCACGGTGAGTGCCTCCTCCCCCCTGAATGCACTTCGCCTGGTGGGTCGTTTGGCAGAGTGAGGCGGAAGACCGGATTGCGGAACTGCAATCGTTTGGATTCCCTAGCACCGTCACATTCCATTGGGCGCTGCCCTCCTCCAAGGGAATAAAATGAGAGTTGTCGGGCAGGAAGTAAAATCCAGCAAATGCCAGAGTCATGATCACGATAAGAGATATAAAGATGAACTTGCGCAGACTCTGTAAGCAACATTTAATTTGGAATAAAGACAGTAAAATTTATAAATTAGGATCAGCTTAACTCACCGTAAAGTAATCCGCTAGAAAACCCACCATGGGCTTGGCCAGCACATAAAGAATGGGTAAGACGGCCATTATGTAGCCCATTACGTCCGGTGGAACTCCGATTTGTTTGCCAATTACGGGCAGTTGGGGAAGAATGGGACCCATGGCTAAAAAGGCATTACAATTATTTAAAGTAAACAATACAAATCATATTGTTGCAAAATATTGATAAAACAAGAAATATAAACATTATATTTTAAAATGCCTAAAACCTTTCCAATGTTTTATCAGATTTTCTCATCATTTATTTGACAGTATCAGCGATAAGATTAGTAGTGATATGAAGTAATACCGAGAATTGATTGTAATCACCTAATTATTGCGAAATCGGTTCTAATTGTGGAACCAATGGATCTGATTCGGAACTCACCCGCCATAAAAAAGAAGAAGTGCGCCTTGATAGGCAGCAGGCGCCTGTTGAGTCGCACCATTGTCCAGTCTTATGAGATGAATGGCTAATCGTTGTGATTAAAAACGACACAATGTATCACAGTCTGAATGTCTCCATGCAATCCTCAGATTATTCCGGTTGCGAGGGTGTTTTCCTACCCAGATAAGATCATAATTTTTGCACTCTGTCTTTCGTCGTTCGACGTCGCCACGGATCTGTCGTCTGGTGGCAAGAGTCTGTAAATAGCCGGCGAAATGGATGTAAATCAAAGACTGCTAAATGATATCTAATCTCGGGGTGATAAGACGCCAGGCGAGACTATATAGAGACCTGTAATCGACAACATAAAAGTTCCAGGCAGATAAGCAACAGCATAAGCATTCGGAAACGCGAATCTTATCTGCCGGGTTAAAGACTTTGATAATGTTTGTGCAAATTAAGTTCGTAGGCACGATAAAGATTTTAGGGCCTGCCATAATAAATATGCCTTTGAGGCAAGTCGAAGATTCCCACTTGTAAGGCTCCAACTCAATTAGTTATTGCGTGTTGTGTAAACTAATTATTGCTTGGGATAATGTACATATATATCTTGTTTATAAAAACCGGTTTACAGTACCCGAATGCCCGTAAACTTGACACACAAAAAGTCACAGTTTGCAAACCCAAAAAATATGGCCAGCATTAACCTTTCCACAACCGATCAATCATTAATCAAACACAAAATGAAGAAATCCCTGAAAAAGGGGAGTTACCAACGGAAAAGAAACAATGGTTAAGGTAAAACCAGGGAAGCCTCAGAAGTGTTTCACTAGACTGAATTGAGTTGCTCAAATCAAATCATTTGAATACAATGCGATCGAACAACGGGAAAGCATACAGTATTTATTGAGAATTTTAATTAATTATTATTTACACGCGATTAGGTTCCACCCACAAGTGACGATTTGTCTGAGATCAAGAAGTACACAAACGCCGAGAGCTGCGATCAGAGACTGAAGAAAATGCTACGGCGGTTGCAGTTTGTACGGCAACTGATAAGTCCAGTCGGCCGATAAGGAATCGGTTGATCATATGGTGGGCGAACATTATAAACACCATTAATAAACACCAGATAGAGAATAAGAAAGCAGAGTCTGGGTTGGGCTTTCAGGCTTTCAGGTAATCCCCTCCCTTTCTCAAAGGTGCTAATCAATCAGAAGAGTTATCCAAAAACCCCGCTTGACTCATCAGCTGGGGCTGTGCGTAGTTGATTGCTATTCCGCTGCTTACTGGCGATCTCGTTCTGCGGCTCGAGCTTACGGACCGCTCGGATCGAGTTTTACTCGCTGACATCTCGGGCTTTAGCTTCAGTCGCCTTCAATCTTCCAGCGCGCGAGCTTCGGGCTTCGTAGCTAACAATAGCCGGCACTTCGGATCGAACATCCATATAGCTAAACGCGCTTCTCGACCAACTTAATCCCGGCTTGCGACGATCGGTTGACGCAATCGGCAGAATGCAGTGGCTTACATCGATTTCGGTGGGGCTGCTCGCCTCGTTCTTATCAATAGCAATGTGCGTGGCTGTGGAGCCCTTCGATGATGGCAAATGTAAGTCGATTAAGGCCAAGGGGGCGTATGTGTCTGCATCTGGAAGCAAAAACACAAACAGAGTAATCGCACAGATTAATTTACATTGCGATAGCGTTGAGTGATGTCTGTGCTTGTGTGTCGTATAAAACTAATTAAATCGTTTGTGAAAGCTTGACTAAGATATGTCATTCGGCAATTTAAAGCAATTATTTTCTTATGACATTTAATATATTTAATAAGTACAAATTGATTATTTCAGAAATCTTTTTCTTTCATTTACTTTGTATACTCTTAACTCAAATTTAAAATATTCTATAATATTTTACGAACTCACTTTAAGAATCTTAATTATTGTCTTCTTTAACTGCAAAGTAACTTAATTGCTTCCGTTGAACAAAGCTCCGAGTTATTTGTATTCTGCAAGGACAGATTAGCTATGGGCCATCAAAAACCGCGTTAAAAGCCACCTATCATGGATCTTTAATTCGAAATGCACCGCGGGAGAGTGGCCGACCTTGGGACACTCGACCGGGTGTAATCAAAAACCCGCTGGAGACAGTATCACACCTAAACTAAAAGCCGATCGAAAACCTGTCTCGACCTTGGAACTCGTGCTCCACTGCCCAAAAAGCTTCCCCGGCAGAACTGCCTTGACTCCACTTGGCGACTTAATGCCAATTCTGCGAATGCAACCAACCTGTTCAGGTTTTCCCCCATCAACTGCCGAACCTGGGGGGAATTTTAAATCCCAAGAAATAATAAATACCCCCAAGACGAGATCGTTCCGAAAACTGCATGCGGGAGTAGCACTAAAAGAGATCCGAAAATAAAGATTATCATAATTAATGCGGCGTCCGACAACAGGTTTTAACTTTAGGGGGTTTCTATACTAGACAGAAGTCCAAGCTTAACTTATTTACTTGTTACGCCTCCCACAGTGCGGGTTTGTGTGGTGGAATCGCGGGGCAATTATCGGAAAACCCCCAAGTTCTGTCCGATTTTGGAGGCGAAGAGCAACATCGAGTGCGTCATCGGCGTGGATCGTTTGGATTGCGTGAGGCGGATCCACAAGGGCACTGCCCACTTCGGAGTGCTCACCTCGGAGGATCTGGTGGCCGCCCGATGGGCCAGCGTGGAGATCCTGGTGGCCAGCGAGCTGCGCTCCCACGAGTCAAACTTCGAGTACGAAATCGTGGCTGTGGTGGACAACAGGGCCGACATTCACACAGTCCACGATCTGCGAGGCGCCAAGCTGTGTCATCCTGGCTACGGTTTGGGCAATCACTGGACCGAGGTCCTGGCCAACGTAAGTTATCCCTACGGCAGCTTTCTAACAAGGAATTGATTCTTATCCGCCTATTTAGTACTTTGAGGCGACCATGGTTTCCAAGAGCTGCGATCCGGAACTCACAATCACGGAGGATCGCATTGCATCTTCGGCGAAGTACTTCGGCCCCAGTTGCAAGGCGGGTCCCTGGGTTCCTGATCCCAGCCAGGATCGCATCCTGAAGAGACGCTATCCCTCGCTGTGCGAGATGTGCTATGATTCAATCAGATGTGATCAGAATGACAAGCACTGGGGGCGACGTGGAGCTCTCTATTGTCTCACCAGTGGAGGTGGCAACGTGGCCTGGGCTCGGCTGGACGATGTGCAGAGTCATTTCGGAGTAAGTTTGGAACGTTCTTCCCTCAAAACATTTAATATAAACAATCCCTTTATTAGAGCCTTTCCTCTCAAGTCCAGCTGAAGATTTTTATTAAGCTAAATTTATTTTCTTAGTTATCCGGCATTGCGGCTCAGGCAAACCCCTCGGAGTACAGCTACCTCTGTCCGGACGGCCATCAGCAGCCCATCAATGCCACTCGACCTTGTGTGTGGGTGGCCAAACCCTGGCCCGTGGTGGCCGCCCGTCGCACTCATGCCGCCCAAGTGCAGCGCCTGGTCACTGGACTAAGCCATGACGAGCCCGACAGTTGGCAGAATGCCCTGCAGAGTCTTCTGGAGACGTACCACGAGTTCACTGTGCCACTGGACAATGTGATTGCCATCGATGATTATCTCGACCAGGCCACCGCCTTCCAGTCGGCCTACAGCTTCCCCGAGTGCAATCCGCCACGATCGATTGTCTTTTGCACCACTTCGATTATCCAGCACATCAAGTGCTCCTGGCTGCAGGAGGCCTCCCAGGTTTACGGCGTCCAACCAAACATCCAGTGTGTGCGCACCACGGAGGTGCAACAGTGCCTGGACGACACGAAGTTCAAGGCCGCCGATGTGGTGATGGTGGATCAGGAGATGCGGGTGAAGGCTCAGAGGGACTACAATCTGGTGCCGCTGCTGTACGAGTTCGCCACGGATATGCACGACCGGTATGTGACCATTGCCCTGGTGCACAAGGACGCCAAGTTCCAGAGCTTCCAGGACTTGCGGGGAGCCAGAGCGTGCTTGCCCTCGTTCGAGGGAGCTGCCCATTTGTCCGTGCAGGAGACGATAGTGAATGCCACGGGCAAGGTGCACCCACTGCACTCCTTCTTCCATCGCGACTCCTGTCTGTGGAACCCGCAGAAGGGCAGGAAGTGCCCGCTCCATTATCAGGGCGACGAGGGTGCCCTGCGTTGTCTCTCCGAAGGAGCGGATGTGGCCTTCCTCAGCTCGGACGTGTACAAGAAGTACTCGGTCGGGAATCTCACCTCGGAATGGTTGAAGCCCGGCAATCACAAGGACTTCCGTGTGCTCTGTCCATATGGAGGCATCGAGAGGCGCTCCAACTTCGAGTACTGCTACCTCCACTGGACCACCCGTGGCCACCTGATGACCCACAATTCCTCGCTGACGCGTCACCATGAAATCTACAATTCCCTGCGCGACATGGATCAATTATTTGGCAGGAAGTACAAGAGTGAGACGCGTCCCTTCACGCTCTTCGGTATTTTCGACAAGAGGAACAATGTGCTATTCCGGGACGCTACCGATGGTCTTCTGGGACTACAGGAGCTGCACCGAGACAATGCCAAACGCGTGATGGAGCACATCTACGATCGCTATACCAACACCCAGTACTACAAGAACTTTGACGAAAGTGGAGCTAAAAACTACACTAAAAACTTCTGGATTTTGATAACAAGTTTGCTTTTCACGCTGTGGCGGCAATTCGCCTAGAGCCCAGGCTCAAATCTAAGCTCTTAATCTTATTTATTGTGATATTAAGCTTAATATAAGATAAGAACTAAAATAGCTTCAAACAGAGCTGTATCACTGACGTTACCTTTTTAATTTCAAATTGGCGGTTACTTTCACACAGAGGTATCGATAAGATAATCGATGAGTGGGTAAGTTTATTGTAAAGGTTGAAAATTCTTAAAGTATTTTTTAAAAATCCTATTACAGTTTATATATCTTTTAACTGCTAAATTTGTGTTAAACTACAAGTTGAACTTAAAATTTTAACTTATTTATCTTAACACCTACCAGTTGCATTGAAATATGGCCGCCGTTTGCAGCACTGGCCAATCAGCTGTTTTTGTTATTACTGGCCGATTTGTTGTTGCTATGTACAAGGATTTCGTTGCCAGGGAACCAGGAAAAAATGTCACAACTGAGCCGCATTACGATTGATTAAATTTACACCATACTTGGCAATAATTTATTTTACTTGGCAATAAAATAAACATCTTTTAGGAGCAGAAGTTGATTATAAAATGTCCAAAAATGCGACACGAACGAGCAGCAAGACGAACGTAAGACCAATAAAGGCAATAAACAAGAAACCAAAAGCACATATGTATAGTACACTTTTCGATTGATTAGTATGCCACCAGCGATTTCACCCTCCTTCAGCCAAATTTGCACTTCATTCCGTCCACCGTTAAATACAAACAAACCCACATTTTAGCATTTACACCTGGCGCACAGTTGATTTAGCCGCTTTAGTCTTCGAATTAACACCAACAAAAGCTTTTTTGCCAATAAACACACACTTTAGCATGTTAATAATGCAGTAAATACATATGTAAAAGCATTCAATTAAAACTGATTAACGAACCGATCGCCACACGCAACAAATATCTTTTGTTTGGATTAAACCAGTGCTGCCGGCTTTCAAAAGACAGTGCTGTGAAAGTAAAAAAAACGTTACGATTTCAAAAATCCGATTTGAATTCCAGGCCAAAACGGAAATACCTAGGAAGGCAACCAAATCGGGGGCAACAAGTGGGCCAGCACCCACAAGGGAATCAAAGGATCGAAGGGCTCTGGTTAAACAACCCAATAGCTTGGAAGGTGAAAAAATTGCCAGGAAAACCACAACAACAACAACAGCGCAACCTTCGACCAGCAAAAAGCCATTGAGCACGGGAAAAAACAAGGAAAGGGAGCCCTTGACCAAAAGGACGACTCCGTCCCCAGGAGCTTTGCGTGCAACCACTAGGCCACCGACCACAAACCCACCCCCAAAGACCAAGACTGTGTCTAAAACCAAACCAAATGCAGTTCTGGACACTTACCACAGTGTTACGGTGGCTTCGCCACCGCAAATGCGCAGGGAACAGGCAAAGCAGAAGGAGCAGTCCCCCACACCTCCTGCAAAAGGACATTCACCTGTTGCTCAGGCAAAAAAAGCGCACGAATCTCCCACTCCTCCTGCTGCCCCGGCAAGAACTAGAACCTTCACCCGCACTCTGGATCCCGAAGAAGTGGTGGTCCTCAAGCGGGAATCCGCCAAACAAAGAAACGAGATAGAGCCCCAGGAGTCACCACCTGTGAAGCAGCCTGTGGCCTTTGAAGTTAAGTTTGAGGAAGCCAAAAAATCGGATCCGGAATCCGATCACTACTCCGATGACTTTGAGTCGTACGAATCGGATTTCGAGACGGATGCCAGCTCGCCGGGAGAGGAGGAATCCTATGAGCCAGAAGAAGCTTCTTCTTCGGATGCAGAGGTCGAAGAAGAGGAGGAAGAGGAATCGGAGCCCACCCAGAATCCCATCACGGTGATCCATCGCGACAAGGATCAGGAGCGAAAGCTGGACTCCGGTCACTACGACATGCGACTGCGCGGTAAATCTAATCTCAGCAGTCAGTCCACGCAGAACCAGTACGATAGCTTCGATACCAACTCGATGGCCAACTCTGAGCAACTGGACTCCGGCATCAGCACGACTGGCGTGGCGGAGAAGCCCCGCAGTGGAGAGGCCAACGTGTACTACGGTGGCTACGTTGGGTTCGTATCCCATCCCGTGATCAGTCGCCGCGGCGAGGAGCTGATGGCCAAGCTGCGCTTCGAGCAGCTCAACTACCACCTATTCGAAATGAAGCCCCTAAGCTACGAGGGCTTCATGCAGAGCTATGGCAAGCTGAATGCCTGCCAAATGGCCACGCAGACGCAGTCGCCCCAAATGGACGGGGAGTGCCAGACGCTGGAGGTGCTCAGCCGGAGCAGCTGGACGCAGCATCCACCGCACTACGGCGGACAGTTGGTGCTCAGCTGCAGTGGCGATGGCGCAGAAGAGGAAGCTTCGAGTGCAACTCCATCAGATGAGTACGAAGCTAGCCTATCGCGCTTGGAGCAACTGCATCGGGAGGAGCAAACTCGCTCACAGGGCATCCAACAAAAGAGGTTGGCCAAAACCACGGATCTGGACCGTCTGAACGCGTTTCTGCACAAGGCTGCCGGGCTCATGAGCAGGGTTTTGGAGGGCACCAAGAGCCCAGGCCCAAGCAGCAGTCCCAGAAATATTCCCCTCCAAACCGGACTTCTGAATGCCCTGCCCGTGCGTCGAATCTTCGGAAGTTCCGGAAACGGCCAACTGGTGGTAACCGTTCATGAGTGTCCCAAAGAGAGCAACGTCTACAGCGAGGACTTTGCCAGCCTGCTGATGGTGTGGTCCTTGGCCAATCCGGGCCAGCCGTTGCGACTGCTCTCCACGTGGGCGGAGGTCAGTCGCGTGGCACTCTCCTGCGAAGCCCAGGACATTGTGGTGGCTGGCCTCAGGGACGGCAGTCTGGCCATGTGGGATCTGCGCGAGACGCACAGTTACTGCTCCAAGCTGGACGGCCACCTGACCCACTTTGCAGCCACGCAGTCCGTGGTTCCCATGCCGGAGCAGCCCAATCAGCAGCAGCAGCAGGTGAACGCCATGGATCTGGGTGCCGTGGTGGATGTGCGCAGCTTTCGGCCGCAGCACAAAGGTGGCGGAATCGTTGCAGCTGGTGGCTTGCAGACGCCCTACAAGGAAGTCCAGGTGAGATTGCAGGATTATAAAAACTACAAATTGAGTTCACTTCTTTAATTTTACTTTAAATCAGTTATAATCTTTAATAAATAGTTAAAGTACCAAAACAATACTTGATCACACTCGAACTACTTTCAGTACGCTTCGCTGAACGACTCCGGCCTTTTGGCCATGTGGACCCTGGTGGAGGGAGCCTCCTCCCACAATGGCAACGAGTTCAGCTCGCCGTGGGCGCGGGTGAAGCTGCTGCAGAGCGCCAGATGCGACTTGAGGAGCTACCTGGAGCGACGCCTGCTGAAGAGCAATCAGAGTGGCTACGAGAAGACCAAGTCGCTGTTCCAGGGCAACATCTACAGCGACGATTTGCTGAGGGAGCTGAACGAGACGCAGACGCTGAGCACGGCTCTCCAGGATCAGGGACTGCAGGGGCTGCGCTTCACGAGCATCGACACGGGCAGCGATCTCATCTACGTGTGCACCAACCGCAATTTTGTGCTGTGCTGCACGCGCAGCCTGAAGACGGAGCGCTTCTCGAGGATCGCGGTGAACGAGAGTCGATTCCTGTTCCCCACCTCGCTGTGTGTCCTGTCCAACGAGAGCTACGTGGCCGTGGGCCTGTCCAACGGCTCCGTGATGATACTCAACTGCAATCAAAGGCAGACGCAGCGCCAGAAAAACAACCAGAGACCCACAACTGGGGTGCCGAGGGCCACAGATCAACCGGATCCGGAGACGGGCAAATCCTGCGCCATCCAGAACATCATACTCAACGAGCGGAGGTCTTTCGACCAGCAGGTGGCTCCCGATTCCTCCTCCTTCGATCCCCGGCCGAACACTGCTCTCGAGCAGATTGAGCGACCCAGGCGATCCTACGAGATGCGGGTGTTCGACCAGCAGCTGCTCCTCAGCGGCAGCGGCCTGCGCCAGCACCTCGTCCAGGCTCTAATCCTCTCCTGCGACGGCTGGCGACTCTCTGCCCTGACCAACGGCACTGTGCGCACCTACGACTTCTACCGGGACAGGGAGATTCCCAGTGAGTGGGAGAGGGGTCTAAAGGCGATGGATATTGCAGGGGCTCGCAGTTCGGGAAACGAGCAGAACCTGCTCATCCTGGACTCCGCCGGAAAGGTGCAAAGGCTGCCTGCATTTGACTACTAGCTTGTTAAATATTTTCTAATTATTTGTATGCGTTTGTTGGAAACCTTTTTTAAAGCGAATAAAGTCGATCTACTCCTACCCGATTTCAGTAAAACTTGCCAAAAATTAAAAAAAAATTGAAGTTATTCAAACATTGATGCACTTCATGCACTTCATAGCCCATATCTTCCCTAATTTTAGTCGGATATTGAATTGGTATATCTTTTAATGCTTGTGACATAGTCCTCTGAGTAACTGCGTCCTTAGTTTGGTTTTGATTTTTGGGTAAATTTTTTCACATTTTTATGATATGACTGCCTAAAATTAAAAAAAATAGATTCCTCGAAAAACGTAAAGTTTTAGTTTTCTAGAATAACAAGATTCTTTTTGTTTTAAACTTATTTGCATATTGTTAACACAACGTAAATATAAATCTGTCTTATGTGCACATTCTTATTAAACACCTATTTATTTTAATAAAATCTTAGGAGGTTATTTTAAACATTTATTAACAAAAGCCCGATCTAACTTGCCAGTTCCACTCTTATGTACACATCTCCACCTTTTTTTCCGGGGTTCTTTCGAACTCACACCTGCCTGGCCATGGACAACATGCCGCCGGCGGTTGTGGCTCCCAGGAGCTGTCGCACCGTCTGCAGTTCGTCCCTCAGCGCCAGGACCTGGGCCCTCAGGATGGAGTTCTCCTGTTCCAGCAGGGCAGCCCGAAAGGCTATCCGATCCTCTCGGATTTTGCGCGCATCCCGTGACTTTTTGGCCGCCTCATTGTTACGCTTTCTCCGCTCAAAATACTTGGCGTCCTTTTGAGCCTCCGGAATGGGTCGCTTTTCGCCGCGAACCCGTCGGTGCATAAATCCCGGAAACATGCCGCCACCCATCACGCCCACTCGATTCAGCTCCATGAGAGGAAACTCCAGAGCCTGAAGGGCGTGGTTTGGCGGAGCAATGTACTCGAAGGCAGGTAGGGATTCCGACGATCTCTTGGCCGCGATCATTCCGGGGAAACCGAGGCCGGGCAGACGGAGACTCTGCGGAACGGAGAAGGAGTAGGGCGGGTTCTTCTTCGACTCCAAGTCCGCGTCCAGTTCGGACTGGAGCGACACGGTCTCGGTGACATCCAGGATGGGCGACTGGGCGGGCGAGTGCATCCTTTCGCTGACTTCCGTTCGCGCCAACGGTCGTTTTGTGTCTGAATCCTGCGCTGAGTTATGGCCCGAAGTTCTGGCCAGACCACCTGCCCGGATTGGTAATTATAGGTTCTTGTCACACAAAACCCCCCGGAAAATACACCCCCATTTTTGGGGCTAATTCTAAGCCAGCCACAACCCTGCTCCGCCGGCTGATTCAACCAATCACGCAATGTTGACGGTAATTATTCGTCAAATACATGACACTTGGCCCGCTCTGCATGGCATTTATTTGTGCTGCCCGGTTACAAGGACTTCATATAACTGGTTAGCCAGATTACAGACCCCCAGGCCAGTTCCCCCGACCCTTTGCCGCGGTGGTGGTCCGCCCATCTTGTAGCCAAGGTGGATTCTTGGCCCCGCGAGTTGGCCAACTGTTATGTGGTGGGGCGGAAAGCGGACGGATTTCCCGGGCGCTGACCAATGAGAGTGGACGAGCGGCTATCGACCGACATTTTGTGGCCGAAAAGTTAACCGGTAAGCTGTGGTAATAGTCCGAAAGAGGCGTGGTGGAAACCTCAAGTTATTGCACTTACGGAAAATTCTTTTACTACTTCTTTTTACCGAAAAATTTTATAAAGGTCTTATTTTTAGTTTACTTGAATTTATTAAAAATTTTTATTTTTGAGCTTACATTTTTATGCTCAATTATTTATAGTTTTTAAAATATTTTATTATCTCTTAGCTTAATCAAACTAATATAAGACTTTGTTCAGACGAACACTATAAAGACCTAGGCGCATGTGCACCAGGCCTAAGCCATAAATAACTTACCATAAGTGAGTGCTGCGACACTCATAGGTTTTAAGTACAGGCTATTTTAATCTAAAAATATACCAACCACTTAAGAGATTGGTACACACCAAAAGGTTGCTGTGCGGGGGTCAAAGATAACCCTCCCGCTTTGCTAGCAAACGCGGCCTCTGCGTAGGCCATAGAATTCATAGAAAGATTTCCTATATAAGTCGAACCCAAACTAAATAAAAACAGTTTCCTACAAAAACTCAACCGTGTAAGTGTTCTTATTTCGAGGCATTTACATTTTGGTCCATCGAGGCACCCTGCAGTTTTCCCCCACCAGTGGTAAGAGACTCAGGAGTAAGGCCAGCACCTTAAAGAAAAATCTTTCTTAAGGTTGCAAAAATAAGTAACTCTAGTATTCCCCCACCAGTGGTAAGAATCAAGAGTATAAAATAAAAAGCAAAAGGATACTAAAGAGTCCTTATTGTTTAAAACAAAAATTTAAAGCATTTTTGTGGTCGAGAAATCGGCAAAAATAAATTAAATACAGTTAAATTGCCATCAGGCAACTGTATTTGGGCGTTTTCGAGGCCCTAAGTATAAACATCGAAAGTGAAAAAAAAAAATTTTTAAGAATTTTTGTGGTCGAGAAATCGGCAAAAATAATTTAAATACAGTTGAAATTGCCATCAGGCAACTGTATTTGGGCGTTTTCGAGGCCCTAGGAAAAAACATCGAAAGTGCTCAAAGTTAAAATCAGTGACATTGGTGAATATAACAGTAGAAAATCTCTAATCAGTGACATCAGTGAATTCTCTGTGACTACAGTAAAAAAAAATCTGTGACAACAGTGATTTCAAAATACATAGTCAAAAATTTAAAAAAAAAAAATCATCTGTGAGCGGCACCATTGGCATCAGCAACAACAATCAGCAGCGGCGGCATTAACGGCAAAATTATCGGCATCAGCAGCAGCAACAACAATCAGCTGCGGCAGCAACAACATCAACAGCGATAACAACAGCAACAATATTCAGCGGCATAAACAGCAGCGGCAACAACAATCTTCAGCAGCGGCAACAACAACAACAGCAACAATCTTCAGCGGCATCAGCAGCAGCGGCAACAACAACAACAGCAACAACAACAGCAAAAACAACAGCAGCTACAGCACCAACAGCAGCAAGACCAGATAAGTCAATTTTAAGTTGTTTATAGTCATACATAGATAATATTATAATATTATAATATTATAATAAAACTAAACTTAAGAACGACCTATCTGTTTTTTTTTCAAAAAAAAAAAAGGAAAGAGATAATCATGTTGTCTGCTCAAATTATTGCGCTTATTAAGAGGCAAGTGGAAATCACTACCGCCAGTAGGGAATTACAAGAACTCCCATTCTTGTCAGCCGAATTAATTAAAAAGTTTGATACACTTAAAGACGAGTGTATCAGAAATCACCGAGCCCTGTTAAAAATTGGAGTAGTCGATCATGACTACTTTAGAAATTATTATTACGAAGAGATGATGCTGTGCTTTGGGAAAATTAAAGCACGCATTAACCAAACCTATAAGTCTGCTGAACTGTCCGATAGCCAAAGTTCGCACGAAAGGGCCACGCTAGATAAAAGCAAGCTAGATAGAGCAATCAATCAGCTAGAAGCTTACCTTAAAGAAACCTTTGACGATATTAGGGAAAATAAGATTACAACCTTCCAAATAAGGATTGAGAAAATAAAATTTTATTGGGACAGGATAGTAAGTTTAAAGCAAGTCGAAATGACTGATGTCACAGATAGGAGATATGATGAGATTCTAGATGAGCTAGAATTTGATATGATCACTGTGTCAAATAATATGCAAAGAAAATTGATAGACAATGTGCCAACTAAGGTTGAGGTAACAAGTCAAAAATTTGACGAATTGCCAACTCTTCCTAAAATTCAGGTGCCCACATTCTTTGGAGATTCCAAAGATTGGGACCTATTTTATGAGTTATTTAATGAACTCATTCATTTAAGGGAGGACCTAAGTCCTACCCTAAAATTCAATTATCTAAAGATTTCCCTTAAGGGAGAAGCTAGAAATGTAGTTTCTCACCTGTTATTGGGGTCTGGAGATAATTACGAGGCCGCTTGGGAACTATTAACCAAGCGGTACGAAAATAAGCGGAAGATATTCTCCGAACAAATGAATCGTCTTCTTGAGCTCAATAACTTAAACATTGACTCAATGAAGAACTTACGTATGTTTATTGACACTATTAATGAGTCAATTCATATAGTAAAACTCAAGGCACAAGTTTCTGATGATGTGGATATCATTTTTGCCCACATTATCATAAGAAAATTTAACAAAGAGGCTCTTCAATTGTACGAAAGCCATATCAAAAAAACTAAAGAGATCCAAGTATTGTCTGACGTTATGGAATTTTTAGAGCAACGACTTAGTTCAATAAGCTCAATTCAGGATGAAAAGCCTGGTAAAATAAATATATTTAGTAACATTTCCAAGGAATTGTTCACAAAAAGATGTCCCATTTGCAAAGGTGTGGGGCACACAATATTTTATTGTAAAAAATTTAAAGCTTTAAATCCATTAGAAAGAATGGAAAAGGTTAAAAAAGCTGCTTTATGTTTTAAATGTTTGAAACACCCTTTTAATAATAAAAAATGTCTTAGCGAAATTTTATGTTCGCTATGTAACAAAAATCATCATAGTATGCTTCACAGGAGTTATAAAAAGAACCCAGAAAAAGTAAATACATGCATGACGTCAGAGCAGGCATTATTAGCTACTGCACGTATTAAAGTAAAATCCTCAAATGGAGAATTTAAAACTTTTAGAGCTTTGATTGACAGTGGGTCACAAAGCACGATAATTTCTGAGGAATCAGCGCAGATTCTGAAATTACCCAAATTTAAATCTCAAACAGAGATTAGTGGAGTATCTTCCACAGGAAAGTGCATCTCGAAGCACAAAGTAAATCTTTTGTTAAAAGGTAATAACTCGCCTAAAATTTTAAAAGTAGAAGCAAAAGTACTTCCCAAATTGATAAAAGCTCTACCAGTCAGCAAAGTTAATATTGACAAGGCCAAGTGGAAGAGCTATAATTTAGCGGACCCTGACTTTAATAAGCCGGGCCGTATTGATTTAATAATTGGAGCCGATTTATACACTCATATTATACAAAATAGAGTGGTTAAAATAAACGGTCTATTAGGGCAAAAAACCGATTTCGGGTGGATTGTCTCTGGACGCAAAAAATCCAAAAAGAAATAACAATAGGGGCAACCACTATTAAACTAAAAAATATGGATCGCCGTTTTTTATCCCCCCGGCAGGACCTCACTTCGGAGGTATTAAAAAGTCCAAATTTAAAAGAAGGACAAATTGTCCTATTAAAAGACGAAAATAGCCATCCAGCTAGGTGGCCAATGGGGAAAGTTGAAAAAGTCCATGTTGGGAAAGATGAAAAAGTCAGAGTGGTAGATCTTAAAGTACAAGATGGATATAGCACTAGACCTATCACGAAAATTTAAAAGGAATAAAGTCTTATGAAAAGAAAGACGCTGTTTTCAGAAACAAGAAGAAAAGCTATAGGGACATCGAAGATGTCAAGACTCCAGTCTATTGTTAATATTCTAACGCATCCTCCATTAATACAAAGTCAAAAAATAATATATAGTATAAATAGTACTTCAGCAATTTATTTTGACCCAATGGGCGATGTGGAGATTGTATATTCTTCTTGGAATTTAGTGATTTACAATAATAATGATGCCTATTTTGAGATGTTGAGTAAAGACAAAAAACCATTACCAAAAAATTAGAGTGAGTTTCGAAAAACTTTATAGTTTTGAAGATCAGTGTCTTTAAGTTGAGGATAATACTCCTTTCTGCGAGCACTTTTAAGTTTTATAGGATCACTATATCACATACTGTTTGGGATAATGGATGAAGAAGATACAGTACAAATGGAAATTAACATGAGACATTTAAGGTTCAGCGTGGCACCAAGGCTCGGGTTCAATGCATTAATTCCAAACTCGAAATTATTGATTTACCAGAACAAGGAGTTTTAACAATTAGAGCAGATTGCACTGCTCGAACAGATAACGACATTTAGTTGCTCATCATAATATTCAGCTAGAAAATGAACAGACAATATCATTATATCATGTAAGTGAAATCAAAGAAATTCCTAAGGTAATTTGGAGTCCAATAGGTACACCAACAATTAATCATACCGAAGAAATTAATAAATTGTCAAACAATAATATTAGCTGTATATTTTATAAGAAAAATAAAAATACAAAGGCAACTGCAAGCCATAGCTATACCAAGTAGCATACTTAGTGTTTGAAAAATAATCTTTAATAAAAAATCGGTTATATACAAAAATAAAAAAAGCCATTAAATAAGGTCATAGCAAGTTGTGTAGTTGCTACAAAATAATATCGAATAAAGAAATACAGTCCACTTACTTTTATATTGCAACAAGGAGCAAATAAATTATATGCGCACAATCTTGCCGGCCCTTGGCAGAATGTTCAGACGAACACTATAAAGACCTAGGCGCATGTGCACCAGGCCTAAGCCATAAATAACTTACCATAAGTGAGTGCTGCGACACTCATAGGTTTTAAGTACAGGCTATTTTAATCTAAAAATATACCAACCACTTAAGAGATTGGTACACACCAAAAGGTTGCTGTGCGGGGGTCAAAGATAACCCTCCCGCTTTGCTAGCAAACGCGGCCTCTGCGTAGGCCATAGAATTCATAGAAAGATTTCCTATATAAGTCAAGCCCAAACTAAATAAAAACAGTTTCCTACAAAAACTCAACCGTGTAAGTGTTCTTATTTCGAGGCATTTACAACTTTCTTATTTTCATTTTGTGATATTATCTTTAAAAAGGTTTGTTGTTTTAAAATTTTAATATATAATTTCACAGTGCCACAATCGATTTAGTAACCGACAACATAGACATCTAACCCATTAGTTGTACTCCAAAAAACTGCAATGTCAGAAGGTCCCGATTTAGCCAATCTACTAACTATATCAAGACATCATAAAGTTGCCCCAACAAGCCCAATTCGATCAGGCATGACTCTTCAGAAATCGTCAATGTGCATGTCTTCCGGAAATGCCGCTCCTCGAATCGAAGACCCCGTACGATATGCGGAAATGTAAATGTAGTTCGTGAGGCTTCTTCAACCCGTTCCTCGATTCCGGTTGAGAAAGTGTCACCTGTTTGCCGTGGTAAATTGGCAGTTCCCCAGTAGTTCCCGTTCCCCGTAACCGGAAGTTGCATCCTTATAGCGTTTCATAATGTATGCGCTAATTTATTATCTGTTGGCAAAAGTTGGGCCGCAGTTAACCCTTTGACTGGCATGCCACCGATGTCGTTTATGGTGTTTCGACTAACGGAGAGCTGAAGCCAGGAATAATGGATTGCGTGCCAGAGTGACATGTCTAAAAGGACTGAAGCAACTCCAATATCATTCAAAGGGTTCCAAAAAGGATACATGAACAGCAGGTTATGGATTCAGTTAGTATTAGTTGCATTACGATGCCACTGAAATCTATGTCCCAATTTTTAAACCCACCCCAGGAAACCAGCTAATGGATTGGGAGGAGCATTTTTTGGGCTCAGGCTATTTATATGTTAGACAAATTACCAGGTAATATAGCCAGGCGAACATGTAATTGTTCCGATGTTTGTTTGGTCAGTAATTGAAGAGCAAACCTCGGGGACCCTCAAAGGACAAACCGTTAATGACACCTGTAATTGGATGACATTAGCACCAATGTCCTAGGAGCATGACCAAGGGGGCCATGCTTAATACATTCAAAAGGTATTCAAATTGTCGGTCTTGAATTGCTATTCATTCGAAATATTCATTTCGACAATAAAGCTTTAAGGGAATAAATAACTATTAGAAAACCGAAAGTAATGTGTGACGAAATCCGGGACTGTGAACCCACTACTTTGCGGTTGCCCTTCAACAGCTACCACATCAACTTGCCTTTGTACATATTGGACATGGTTCGCATATTCCAGGATCATCCCAAGTACAGCAATGGCATCCATGACGAGCACATCCTGGAGATGCTGGAGAAGGAGTAAGTCAGGTCTAGATAGTTTTTATTGAAAGAAGGGTTTTTTTTAGGAAAGGTCTTCATATATTCTTAATCATAATTTGTTCCCCCACTAGACCCTTTGCGTGTGGAGATCTCGAGTCGCAGGTGAAGACCGCTCTTCTGGACCTGACTGCCAAGGGATTTATACGCTTCATCAGCAATGGATACCGCACCTTGGGCCCCATCGCCAAGCTCTCCAATGCGCGATCCGTGCGCCACTTCAACATGACATGGCAGCGCATCGCCGAACTGCAGAAGGTCAACTGCCCCAGCTTGGAGCCCGGATCCATCTCCAGTGGGCCCTGCACACAGCGTGGAACCAATTACTGAAGTCTGAATTCGCCTTTCGTTTATTTCGTTGCGTTATCCAATTGGTTTTCTGAGTTGAGTTCAATCTTGAGCAGCACAAACACTCCGCACACTCCATCAAAATTGTAGTGTTCTAGTAAAATTCCTGCAAATCCTAGTTTCGGGGTGGTTTGCCTCGAGTGGTCATCATCATCATCATTATTATGTTGGGAACACATGTCGCGGGGCCTGCCATCCTTTTGACACTTAACCGGGCTAATTATTCCCGGGGGTTGGCCCACTTGCATGCGGAATGTTGCAGGTGTTCTCAGGGTTAATGCTTCCGAAACTGATTTCCTTATGACAATTGTTCGGGCCAGCGATCCCTCGCTATGATCCGATGTTCATCCCCGGCGAACTGCGCCCCAAAGTGACCCCTGGCCGAGGCCCATTACCCTTTTGGCCGGGCCGTTTAAATTGTCAACACCAGGACAATGGAGGACCTGTCGTCATCGCTGTCCTCATATGCGCACACGGGGCAAACACGCATGGGATCCCGGCCAGGTGTTATTTATGGGCTCTCTAATCGTTGCGGCATAATCTATTAGCACCCCGCCGGCAGATCCGCGTTCCAAGCTCCACGACGGTGTCCTTTGATTTTTTGCTTTTGCACATTAAAGGCAATTATTATTATTGTTTTAGTTCCGAGACAGTTTTGTGTTTGTCATTTGCCGATTGCTGTTTCGCGTTCATAATTGGACTAGCCCCAAGACGAGACATTAATCAAGCGACTTGACATGTGGATAACGTGCTGGAATATACATAGTTTATTTTGTAAGCTTCGTGGCATAACTAAAGGTTCAATACTGATTCAAGAAATACTGTTTTGAAAATAAACAACTTACATTTATATGTTAACAAGAGTAGTCGGAAACTTTAAACTTAAACAAAAATTTGGACTCCTTAAAAAAAATTCGTATTCTTAGACATACATTTATAAGATTTTAAATGCAGTCAAGCCATTGGTCTGAGTGAGTAATATTATTTTGGTCAGAAATATGATAATCGATAGCTGCTGCTTAACATAAAAATTGATGTCAATTTAAAATATCGTTTCTTCATAACAACAAATTAACAAAAAGAAACCTCAAAAGTGGTGAACAAAACAAATTACAAACTACTGACGCTTTTGGCAGCCGAAAGCTGATCGTAGTCTGCCTCATCTTCGGAGTTACGCTGAAGTCCACCGCTGGGCTCAGCATAACCACGTTTTATCAACTGTTTTGGCACATCGGCATAGTCGCCCAGGAAGCGAACAAGAAAACCATCCGGCAAACGACTAACTAGCTTTACATCCAACTCCTGGTTGATTAGTTTGGCCTTGAGGAATTCGACGCCTTCCAGAGTCTTCCGAGATGTCAAGAAAGATGACCTTATGACTCCCTCTATTTGACAACTGATGCACTTGTGGGGCTTCAAGCGCTCCACATAATCGCATGGAGCCAGGGAGCTCAGGGACACGAAATCTGAGTTGCCATAATCCACATAGAAGACCTTGTACTCCCTGTCCATTTCATCGACTATCTGGGCCCGATAGTAGCAGTTGTCGGAATAGAGAGCAAGCACAATGTCCAGAACGTGCGGCTTGCGCTTGAAAATCCTTTTGGCCTCCGGCACATCGTTTTTATCCCACACCAGCGGAGGAGATCCGTCCAAAAACTGGCCATAAATTTCAGTAGGGCTGTTAACATAGGTGATAAGGATGCGGACTGTGTCGCCTTCTTTATTGGGCACAGGTGTATCAAAAACCGTCTCAGGAAGTGGTTCAGCTACCTCCACATCCTTGGTGGCGCCGTAGGGAGCTAAAGGTTCATGAACCAAACGACAACTCGAACCTTAGAAGTAAAAAAAAAGGGCAAATGTTTTACAAAAGCTTTCTAATTAACTAAATACGAAATATTTATGGAACTTACTAACTTACCCTTAAAGCAGCCCTTCAGCTTGGGATCGTAGTGCCGGCAGATGCGTTGCTCGTCCGTGGGCTTAAAGCCCAAAACTGCTTTCAACGGATCACTGGTGCTTTTTCCGAAATCGTTTAGCATTTCCATGTCTTCCTTACTTAACCCACCAGGACATTCAGTTTCTGGCTTACTATTAGTGGAATCTTTTCGATTAGCATTCTCCTCAAGCTCCATAAGCTCCACCACCAAATCAATGCCATTGTTATCTTGCACACACAATTTAAACATCTGGTAGAGGGAACTACTCATCTGGGTGACTTTGCAATTAGACAAATGGCATTTAATGGCTTCCGCCGGTAGCCGCTTTATGTTGTCCGGCAGTTCGTATATGGTTTCGTTGCCATTCAGGTGAATGTGCTCGCCGTAGTCAATCAAATAGGCATCGTAGCCCCCTCCCGCGGAACTAGCATTGATTGTGACACGAGTTATGATTTGATCGCTACTATCAAGAACCGCAAAGATTTCTCCGTAATCGGGCAGTTGCTGTATTTCACGCAATTGCACCTCACCCTGAAGGATCCTAATGATTGGTTGTGAACTCTCATTCCATTTGGCCACAAAAATGCAGTTCTCTGCTATGTTAACATGTACCAAAACGGCGGAAACGATGGCTTTCTCGGGAAAAGAAGCCATGTTTTTTATTACTTGATTGTAGATGCCATTGCTGGTCGTAGGAGTGCCGCCTTTGGGAGCCAAAAGGCATTGGTTACTAGGTGCTTTTGGTTGTTTGTGTATAGAATTTGAAGCAGTACCCTGATCAGCATTGGGTTCTACAAGCCAACTGGAGGGCAAGGCAGCGACTGCACTCTTTTTAATCTGCAAATCAGTCTCACTGTTGGAGTTTTTGGAATTCGCCAATTTGCTGCAATCGGGAGCCGATTGTGATATTTTTTCTGATGCCATTATTTCTTTTGTAACGGTTGCAGAGGAAAATGCTGAGGGATCTACATTATTAACCGTGGGCTCTTCTGGAAACGTCTTATTGACCAATGGGCTGCCGTGTTTTTGGTTGGAAATTTCATCGAGGTTGGCCTGAGTACTCTTTTGTAAAACATCTTTAAGAACTACCGGTGGTGACAGAGAAACAGCCACTTCATGGTCTTTGGCAATAGGCTGAAAGACCTTTGGGTCTTCGTCCAGATTCTCAGATGAATACGAGCACGTGGACTCATTCCTTGCTGCCAGCGACAAGTCAATGGGCACTAACTGGGTGTTTTCTTTTGGGGACTTTTCAATCGAGTCCTTCTCCGGCAGCTGGTCATGAGACTCTTGAGTGCTAACTTCTTCGATCGAATTTGAGTGATTAATTGAGTTGGAGCCATCGAAGGAGTCTCCTGTGTATCCCTCCTTCCTTAATCGCCCGTCTGGTCGGTTGAGTTCTATGTGTAGGTTTAGCTTTATGAGATAGGTATTAACTTCGCTAAGACTGCCCACCAAATAATCGTGCAGGGCGACAAGATGTCTATCCAAACGTTCCCCGTTCACCCATTTTTCCGAGAGCAATTTGCTAAGGCATTTTACATCGCGCTGATAGGAGTACAATTTCTCCAGTAGCTTGTCGACGTTGTTATCAAACAACTTCATCACCACCGCTATGTCTTCCAAATTCATTTTAATCAATAATTTATGGCAAATATAACTAATGCAATTTCAAAGAGCTTCGCGCTAGACGAGTGGCAGCCCTAATTCCGCGGGAAAAAAGAGGAAGAGACAAGCTTGCCTGGCCAGCGGAGTTGCCAGACGTCGCTTTGAAAATTTTTTCGACTTCATTGGATTGACCAAAATTATATATGTACGTATGATTTATTGAGGAAAGAAAACATATTAATAAATTATTTCTATGTCATTTGTAGCGATCAAAAAATAAATAAGGAAATATCTAAAGTGACATCACTGTTAAGCGTATGTCATTTTCGTGCACTGTAAATATAGGCAAATATTTGGACGCGTTTGCAACACTTGTTGCAACCGGCTGGAGAAAAGTACGCGCTTTTTATGTTTTGGTTTTTTAGAAATTGAAAAATCTTCAGGAAAAATGAATGATAGCAACGTGCCCGCCTTTGTAAGTATCCGTTTAGGATATAGTTTTCATAATAAACCGCCAATGCATTCCTTTAGGAACTCGGCGATGCCCTAGCCACACGTTGTGGCAATACACTCACCGGCGTCTTTTTGCCCGGCTCCAAAATCGCACTTAGCGCGTACCGACATGTGACATACAAAACTAGGGATGCCCCAACAGAAACGGCTGACCAGGATCCGGTGCTTATCTACTTGGCCCAGGAGTCGACGCTGTTTGACGAGCCCGTGCTACGCAGTGTCCTTGCAGAGGCTAACGCCACTTTCGCTACCCTGCAACAGCTGGGATTCCGGGCCACGCGGGCCGAGTATGTAAATATATCGCGAGCATACCGCAGTATCGTTCGCGCCTGCCTGGAGAAACTGGAGCAGGCCAAGAAATCGCCTGAGGTGCAGACGGATGAACCGCGGCTGCGTCGCTTCACCGAAGCCATCGTCGTGTTTTATGCCGCAGAGTGTCTATGGCATCTATTCGAGATTCTCTATATACAAGGCAATCAGCTGGTGGTGCCGCAACTACTCGACTGGGCCCGATTTCACTCACCGCACGCGGAGGAACGAGCCACGGATCTGTTGCTAATGGCCGAGGAGGCCAGCGAGTCAGATGACCACTGGAGCATTCTCAGGTCGCTGATTATGCACGGTGAAGTAGATGTGACGCGAGCAATTCTTTTTCAGAACCGAAAGGCTGGGCATACCGCGTTTAAAACGGCTGAGCAGATTCTGAAGTCTATGCCCGTTTACCAAGAGGGTTACGCCCTGCAAAAATTTCACTCCCAGTGGGAGTACTGGCACGTGGACACGGAGCGTAAAATCCAAACCGGGATTTTCGCTACAGAGCCAGAGCTGGAGCAAATCATCCGCCTGGTCACAGGCGACAACGAGCAGTGGGATGCTGGCATCAAGGAGTCCCAAGATTGCTTTGAATACCTGCCGGGATATCTGCTCTTTACCAAGCCAACCTGCAAACCCTTCGAGTTAAGAATCGCTGCCACCAATTGGCTGAACCGCTGGCACATGCTCCGCCCGGAAAGGGAGCTGTGCAGCATGAGCCGCATGATTGCTCAGCTCATGGATCACGATATTAAGCTGTTCATATACGAGGCCCAAAAACTAAATGACACCCACTGGTTCTCCACGCATTTGATTGATCTGATCCATCATTGTGGTCAGCTTAAGAGCTATTTTGATCAAAACAACATGTTAGTGAGATTTTTATTTGTTGAGATTTTTTATTTCAAAAAATTTTAATTGTATATTTACGATCAAACAGCGATCTTCCCGCCTTGCGTCACTCAATGATTTACGATTACGGAAGCTATCTGATGACGTCGCATAATCTTTGGCAGTTGGGCATCGACTATCTAGACTGTTGCAAGCAGGAGGGACAGGCCGCCATTGAGCTTCTTCTGCCCCGAATAAGCTTACGCAGCGAACGTCAAGCCACTAAGTTAATCAACCTTGCTAGGCAACGAGGGTTAACTGGCGTCGAACAGGAGATCTGCAAGGTGCTTTCAAAACAATCGTACGATAAAGAGCGCTATGGAAATGCTTTAGAGTGGGCCATTCGGTCCAAGGATGTGCTGTTTGTAACTTCGATTGCAGACTTTATCTTGAAGGTGTTTATTGACCTAACTCTGCTTAGATAGTTGAAACTAATGGCCGGTTCTTTTTCTAGCACTACTCGAGGACTGGAAACATGCTCTGCCCGGACACTATAGCCAACGTGGGAGGCCGAATGTTTATCTCACCACGCTTAGTTTTTCTCTCAAAATATTACGAGTTTTACGAATTCTATCGCACCCGCGATTTCCTGTCTGCTTCTGAGCTTCTGGTGAATCTGTTGAATTCCAGAATTACCCCAGACTAGTAAGTTAATCAGTCTATTATCTACTCGATCAAAAACAAATGTATATGTCTTCAATAAGCTTTTGGCCGTCATTGCTAATCGATACCATGCCACTGCTGGAGTCCAAGGATCCAAAAATCTTTGCTAAGGAAACGGTGGCCATTCTTCACCACATTGAAACTGAATTGGTTCCCATCATCGAACGTGATGTTTCCAAATATGGCAACGTATGTTCAGGCCTTTCCTGTTATAATATTGTTAGCTAACGTTTAATTTGCAGCACCACACAGAAACCGTGTTCAAGGACTATCGGGTAGAGAATGTCGACGAAATCCTTAACCTCATGCGCCTGGCCTGCGCCCGCAATTTGGCCAGAGCACTAATCATTGAGAACACAATGCCGGTGCCGTGATTTTGAATGCATTTTTAGTGTAATTTATTTTGTATTTTACGCTTTTCCAATACATCGTAATTTGTTATAGATTGTTTGCATTGCTAACTTGTTATTCATACGCATTTTGTTTATATCTTGTGCCTCTTTGCTATTTATTGTACCAACAACACTACTTGACTGGCTGCTGCCCTTTGACTAAAAGGAAATCCAAGCTGCTGGGGGGCTGGAGGGATGTTCACAGTACGCATTTTTATGAAGGATAACTCAATTAACTGGATACCAACAATGGGTGTCCCAGCAAACTAAACTAGTTAAAACGGCGCGGGTAAATCTATAGGATACCTTTCTTGGTGATCGGCAAACCAAAACTGCTTAGGCCAAACTTAAAACAAGTATAAAGTCAATTACTACGAAGTACTTTAGCTGCATTGAAAGGAAGTTTATACACGTATACGACGACGCACCTAAGAACTATTAAACAACGCCCAGAGCACAAGGGTAGTACACATAAGTATATGCATATACGTGGATAAATATCTGTGGGTATGTATATAATTACTATATATTCTGGTTGTTAATCGTTATGAGAATCGCACGGCCTTGTACAAATGTTCGGTTACTACGTACGGAATTACAATTAAAGTCGCTTGTCTCTTGGCTTGGCCCTGTGACCGCCAACGGCTTTATAAAACATACCAACCGCTTGGTAAAAACAATAAAAACTAAACTAGACTTAAAAAAGAAGCCGCCGGATGGGGTCGCACTGCGTGTTCTTCATTCTAATGCTTAACAAACTTTTTCTCTTACTCCTCATTATTCCTTAGCCAATGACACTAGGCAACAGAAAATACTTAAAGACTCGAAACACGTATGTTTCTAATGGTTCCAATCCCGAACTGACAAAAGCCTGTGGACTTCAATTGTGTAGAAAGACTAATACTACTACTATATATGGACGTTACAAAAAAATAAAAATATATCAACTAAGTTTTAATATTAGGGATTCTGCAGAGTCGTTCTGATTTCACAAATAATACCATCTTAAAGCACAATCACATTTCAAATATTTTTGATTCTTAAAAAGTAGCGTATTTCAATTGACGAAATATGGGGTTTTGTAGAAACATAATTAAATTTGATTGTAAAATTGCAGAACCACATAATTTCAGATAATAAACAAATTATGCAAAAATATCAATACTAATTACAAACGACTTTTCAACATTATGCCTTGATTAAGGCATACTTTTGTGTACTACTAAATCAGTGACAAATTGAATATAAATCGTTAGAAAGTAGAATTGAAAACACGTTAAAAAAAATTTAAAAATTAGAAAAATTACAATAAAAAAAATTATAAATATTTATGAGTTAGTTAAAGTTAGGATTATTGGTCAAGAAATACTTTATGCAAAATAGTTTCCTGTTCAGTAATCCTAACATTATCTTATTTGTAAACCAAACTCGAGTGGTTTAATGCAAGTATTGGATGAATGTGTTGAAAAAAATTTAAAAAAAATGGAACAGTTTACGAAGAAGTGGCTGCATGTTCTGCAGAATAACGATTTCTGATGGCAGTTCGAGACGGAAGATCCTGTTGCCTAGCGTGGTCATCGGAGGACTACGCCGCTTGAGTATTTCGCTTATCCTACGCCAAATATCGGTTATTAATGTGAGTCTGAGTCTGAGATTGGGGAAGGGGATGTCTAATTATGCTTAGCCGTGCCCGCTGCCGCGGCGGCAGCTGCAGCGGCCACGCTCGTCGACGCCGTGGCCGTGGTGGTTGCGGTGGCCGCTACTGCTGCCGTGGCAGCCGCTGCTATGGCACTGCTGCCCGTGATCGAGCCCAGCCGGGAGAGCGACGGCTCCCGCTTGGGCGGCACGATCGGCTTGGTCGGTATAGGTGGCGGTGCGCCGCGGGCTCCCGCCGGAGGCACGGTGACCGGTGGCACGGCGATGGGAACGGGATGCGGATGCGGTGGTGTGGCTGTCTGGTCGAGGGCAGCTGCCGCAGCCAGAGCGGCGTACTTGCCGCCGGGTGCCCGTTGGATTGTGGCCGTGGGCTGCATCTTCGCCGGCGAGGGAGACGGTGGCGCCACCAGCGTCACGGTGACGGTTGCAGATGCCTCCACCGCTGCGGGGGCTGCAGTCGAGTTACAGCTGCTGGTGGTGCTGTTCGTGGTGCTGGTGGTATGGTTGAGCACGGCCGAGAGTGGTGCTACTGCGGCTGTGGCCGTGCCCGTGGGCGCCGTTGCGATGCCAGCGCTCCGGATGTTCTGGCCCGGCGCTATGGAGCGGGCGATGCCGGTCTGTGGTCCCGAAACCGGCATGCTGCTCACTGTGGCGGTCGGCTGCACGATCTTGGCGATGTTCACCATGGGGGGTGTGGCACAGGCGTCGTCTGTAAAAAGCAATGTGGTAAGATAAGTACTCGGCTGAAGACCAGAGACCGTGCAACACTAAATCTTCGGATCACCGAGGTGAGCAGGCCCCAAAAGAAGCCTAGCGAGCAATAAAATCCGCTTAATAAACTTCGTTGAGGGCCCAGCTTGTGTGGAAATGTTTCGGTATGGTCGTGAAAACTCTACAGACGCCTCTGGTCTCAATTGAATACGTTCTGGCTTTTGTCAGGGTGCTCCAATGACTGGGATGTGCGAGCGTGCAGGCTGGACGTGCGAATGCGTGATCTTAGGGTTGGTTGGTGCAACGTGGTGTGCACGAGGAACATCACAAAACAAAAAACAAATCACCTTGCAATTGCGTAACATTTTTTCTAACAAAAGATTTCGGCTTCAAGAGGAGTTCGAAAAAAAGTAATATATATAAAAGTAGAGTTAAAGTTTGTATATAGAAAATTATAAAGAGGGCAACCATATATAATTACAACAGCCAGTTTCCATGTGGAAGGTGGTGTCGGGCTCACTTACCGCTGAACTGTCGCGCCTTGGCGGTGGCCACCGATGAGCCGCTGCCCCCCAGCGGCTGCTGCTTTTTGAGGGCCTCGTGCTCGCCACGCAGGACACTGAGTTCCTGCTCTAGCTCCTTGACCCTGTAAAGGGAGACACACGATTAAGCAGTGACTCGTATTAATATTGATGTTTAACAAACCGCAGCTCCTCCTTGGCCAGTTTGGCAAATAGGGTTTTTCTTTCCAGCTCCATGGCATGTGTTTGCTTCTCCAGCTCCTCCTCCATGCGCAACGACTTTTTGCTTTCTTCCTCTAGGCCCTCGGCTATGGTGTCCGAACGCTGTTTCTCTTCGGCCAGGATTTGAGCCAGGTCCTCAGAGCGTTTGCCTGAAAAAGTAATGGTTCACTGATCAGAATCAAGAAGCTAAAATAGTGCCAATCATACGCACCTTCTTCAATGTACTTCATCAATATCTTCTTGCGCTCTGCAATCAGCAAAAGCACAATCTGCTTTTGCCGATTGCGCTCGTACTCTAACGTTTCCTGTAGCTTCTTCAAGTCCTTCTCCATCTTGGCCACCTGGGCGCGCTCCTCCTCCAACTCCTGCTTTAATTTCGTGCGCTCCATCTCCAGGCCGTAGGTGATGTCGTCGCCCTGCGCTGTGGTATGCTCGTGCTTGCGCTTCTCTTCCTCCAGTTCCTGAAGCATCCGCTGGTTGTTCTCCAGCGACTCGGTCAGTATGTTGACCATTCGCACGTGTGTGGCTCTCTGTTTGCTGACCATTTGATACTGCTGTTCCATCTGCTGCTCAATAATCTGACGCACCTCCATTTCGGCCTGGGCTGCCTGTGTTGACGATTCCCTGGAGATGAGATTTCCATTGAGTGCGATCTTGTCCCGAAATATTGCCGCGTAGGGATCGTTGGGCTGCAGCCGCTTGGTACGCAGCTGGGCAATGAGCTGCTTCACCCGCTCATTTCGCAGGGCGGCAATGCACACATCCCGCGCCTGCAGCTCGCCCTCCAAGTAGTACAGCATCTTCACCAGCTCGCTGTGCGGCAGTTCGGCTCGTGTGCGTCCATTACTCATGGTGTTGGCTGTTGTGGTAGTCACTGTCGCCAGTTTGTGTGCCACCCCGGGACCTGGTTTCATGGTCTGAAACTCATGGTTAGCGCTCACGGTGTCGCTACCCGAGGCCGATCCGGAGCAATTTTCGATGCCGTACTCCGCATCCTGAGCAGGTGCCTCCGCGAACGACTCCGCAACAGCGCTGTTAGAGTTCTGCTCCATTTCCCCCGACTCCTGATTCCCGATTCCGGATTCCCAACTCCCGATTTCCGCCTCCTCGCAGCTCACAGCATACAAAAAAAAAAGAATGTTTGGTGCGTCGCAGTACGCAAATTGCACAAGATTCCAGGACTTCACTTCCGGTCTATACTTGGTTCTAGCCTGAACTGCAGGCCAGTGGCTTTTGCGCACCCAGCAATCGCCACGGGAACTATATCGAAAACTCTTTGTTAATTTCTTGCCGTGAAAAAGTAGATATATACTGGGCGAAATATTGCCAGTTTGCTTTCGCAGTATGCTCTTCTCTGCTTCTCGCTATTTGCTTATTTTTCCAAGTCGCTGATAACCGTATTTAGGGGAAACTTTGACATGGCCACACCCTTAGCAAAGGCGCGGAATTTTTGGGTTATCATATTTGTAGGCAAATATAATTAAACTGTAATAAAATTATTGAATATATTCTTAACAACTGTAATGCAGAATGCAATTAAATAAGTCAATCCTTTCGTAATAGTGTATTTATTGTTTATGGTTAAACAGCACTCGGCCAGTGTTGCATAACAAAAACATGTTCTGCCAGATTGGCGCCACCGCTTGAATTCTAATCTTCTATTTTTATTAGTTTAACATTAACAATTCAACCTTTTTATAGTGTTTAATAAATACACTGTTTTCAACAGAGTATAAAAATAATATTTGATTTAAGCCTTTTTAAGCGCCCACATTAAAAAAACACAGTTTAAATAAACACTTTTATTTTTTAAAAACAAATGGTTTTGTGGTGTTATATGCCAAGGAGTATCTAATGTGCTTTCCCACCAATCGATCGGCTAGGGGTATTAAGGCTGGTTCGCGTTTGTAAATGCCAGCCGCCTTTGGTGTCCACGCTCGAAGACGACACTCAGAATGACCGGGCAGTAGCAATCCCATCCAGCCCGCAGAGCTAAGTGTAATATCACAGTTGAGCCGCCCCTCATTTCTCTCGCAGCTTGTTAGCACAATATCCTCTTGTTTGCACTGTAACCCTGGCCAACTCTGAAGGCGAGCCTCCCAATTCTCATCGGTAGAGGGAACTCCCAGGAATGGTGTTCCCAAATATTTTTTGTACACTTCTTCCGCCGCCTCGGTGTCTGTAATTAGCACGGGTAGTTTCTCCGAGGCAAACACAAAAACCTTTAACCAGTCAAACTGTTTTTTTGAGCTTTTTATATCTAACAGATCAAGACGGGCCAGTCCTCCCATTAGGATGCTCATCTGAGGTCGCAGACGAAAAGCTCTGGGGCGGATCATTGTAGAGGGCTGCAGCCGTTGCAGCTCTTTTGTCGTAAGAAGGGGTGTCAGTTGGTCGGGATGCATCACTCCGGGAGTGTCGTAGACCCAGCGCGCCTCCTTGTACTCCTTCTGGCGTTCGTTTAGGGTGGTATTGGGCCGGCACCCACTGGCCATCGAGAAAGCATCATTGACATCATCGCGCCGATCAAAAGTGCGTCCAACGGAACCAGCGGGCTGGGCAGCTGCAGCTGACCTCGTTTCCCGAGCAGCTGCGCGCCGCTCCATCTCCATCGCCGCCTTCTCACTTCGTTCAGAAACTAATCTCTTAAAGCGCAAGTAAATGCGATCACTGGACGGACGTAAAATGGGAAACCGTAGAAGTTTCAGTGTGGTGCCCGGCCAGGGACAAGTGGTGGCCTTCCGCACCAGGCCACTGGCCTCCGGCCGGCAATAGTCCGAGTTGAGTAAAATGTTAAACAGCGAGCTTTTGCCGACATTGGTACAGCCCAGTAGATAAACGTCCCCCTTGTAGGCCCATGTCTTGTGCAGCTGCGTGATGAGCCCCTCGACGCCATAGCCCGTTTTGGCAGATATAAGACTGACGTTCTTAATATTAAGACCGTCGCCACCGCCGTATCTAACGAATTCTCGCTGGAGGGAATCCTTGATGTGCTGTAGGTAGATGTTGGAGTCGCGTGGCAGTAGATCCACCTTATTGCCCACAAGAAAAACGGGTCGTTTTGTGCCCAGTACACTTTGCATGCCTGGCCAAATGGAGCTGGGGAAATCCAGCAAGTCCACTAGCACAATGGCCAGTGCATATTTGTCCTTAATGCGGGATATGGTGTCCACATAGGTCGATGGAGCGACCTCCACGTCGAGGGCAATGTTGTAGTGTTTCAAGAAGTGGCACCGCTTACATATAATGGTCCGAAGCTCATCTTGCGTCCTACCGCGGAATATTTCACTCGGTATGTAGCCGGGCAAGGTGGCACTGGAGCAGTGCAAGTTAGCGCCGCATCCGTTGCAGGGAACTTTGGAGGCGGAAACCGAGGGATCTGGAGTGCCCTGCTTGTCTGCCCCACTATGGGCACCCTTGTAGAACTCGTAGTCGTCCATCCAGTCCTCGGGAAGAGGCGGTGTGGCCTCGGGAATCGTATAAGATGGTTTCAGTTTGGTCTCCAAAACAGAGCTGTAATGAACGTGGTCATGACCCCGGTACCGCTCTCTGGCGATCAGCCACGCCTTCTGTCGCGAGCTCTGACCCAATTCGACGGCCGTACTCCGCAGTCTCAAGCATCTAAAAAACACATCTTTATTTATAATTTTATGTAAACGCGAGGTCTTTAGCATTTTGGTAATTCCTTGCACAGACTGGCAACTCCCTAAGGGGTTCCTAAAAAAGTGTTGCAAAGCAGTCGCCCATCAATAACTCTTAATAAAATACATAATACAAAAATTAATGGCTCTACCTTCCCAATATTTGTTTGGTTGTTGAAATTTTGTTTTTAATTCGAATCTTCTTTAAAAATTTTTTACTTAAAGGTTGATACATTTGCTGAATAATTCGTTTTCAAAGTCTCTTTAAACCTGGTTTATTCGAGATAAAAACAGAATTCAACGCTGTTCTTTGGAAAATATTTCTGTAGAGTACCGAAAAAAAAAAATGTGAATTACTCAAAACCGAAAATGGTTTTTCTTAAATATATTTAATTTTCGATTTCGATTATGCAAGCTGGCTCGAAACTATCGATGACGCCTACGATATTTCTAGAGCTATATCGGAAAGAGAAAAAAGAAAGCAGCGTTAGCGAGAAAGCAGAGGTGAGTCGAGTGCGGGACAAAAAAAAGCGTGTATGTATTAAAATTAAAACAAAAAGGTCTAGAAAAAACGTGTCCACGGCGCAATTAGCGTGCTCCTGCGGCGGCTCGCAGGCGATTTACGCATCAGTAAAAGTACAGAGTACACGCCGAGTAAAGAAATAAAATGATTAGGAAAGTGTGTGGAAAAAAGACACAAGTGTATGCGAACGGCGGCTGTATGTGTGAGTGACGTGACTGTATGTGTGCTGCTGCGTGTATGAAATAAAAAGTAACGCGAAGCGCGACCTAATTTTAACCAAATATTACAATAATATTTGCATAAACAAAGACAGTGCAATTAAGGGTGCTCTCCGAAGCTAGAGACGCTCTGCTTTTTCCCGACGCCTGTGCTCTGGTCGGTGTTGTTGTTGTTCCTGCCGCATGCCACGAAAAGTTGCCGCCGCCATTGTCTGAAAACAAAAAAAAGGCAGACGCAGACCGACACATTTTTTCTCCAAGTGTAGAGTTCTTTCCAACACAAGGATTGAGTAATGCAATAACAACAAGAGCTGCTTAAATTTTTGAGTGTTGCAACTTTCGTTGGAACTCGTTTCGAACTGTTTTTGTCGCCCGCTCACTCACTAATTCGCCGCCTCACTCGCTCCTTTCCATTCTGTTGTTACCAAAACTGGTCTTTAAGAAGAAACAACAACAACTAGAAAGAGTAATGCAATTTCTTGTTGGGGAAGGGGAAAAATCAATAGTTCGGAAATTAGACAACTTTCAACATCCACAGTTCAACCAAATGCATTTAGCCTAGAAGAAGCTACCGATAACCCCGAGCGCAGGAGCAAGCGAGATAGTTGCCGCCGCCTGCCCACACTCTCTCACTCACACTTTTGCAGTTGAAATTTCCAGCGATGTCTGCTCCTCGCTGTTGTTGTAATGTAATTGCGAAATCATAACGGCAGTTGAAAGTTGAGAGCGCTTAGCCAAAGAAATCGCGCCAGTGTGAGTGAGAGACTGCTTAAACACTCTGTGTAAGTTTAAGTTTAAGCTGTGGTGAACTCTGGATGCTCTTCTCTCCTCCGCCGCCCACACAAGCACGCCATCAACCGGTCGCAAGTGTAGCGCATATGAGAGTCGCATAAATAACAATACTATTCTGCAAGAAGGAAAACACATGTTGGCCGCACAGTGGGATGGAGTGGGAGTGGAATGAACAGAAAATACTCAATGGAAGAACAAATGCAGACGCCATTTTAAAAATTCCATAATGAATGTTATTTTAATGGAGTAGTGTCTAAAAATACATTGTCGACAGCAGCTGCAACAGATAAATCTCAAGTTCTGAGCCACTGTGCTAGAGTCTCAAATTTAAATAAGCAAGGCAAAGTTACTGAAAATGCAGAAACTGCCTTGAAAAGTGAAAGGCATTCAACAGAGCGAGCGACGACGATTTGATATTTTTGCCTCTTTGCTTAACCTTTGCGGGCAGCTGTTTGTTGTTGTTAGCCAACGCTGGCTCAGCACTTTGACATTTTCCAGCGCACTTACAGACGCACACGCGCGCATCGCATTCCGAATTCCCATTTCCATTACACTGCCGCTGCACATGCGCTGTAGTACTTTTATTTTGAGAATTTAATCGTTCGTTTTCCTTTTTTGCAACGTCCCAAAGCTGAGCAACCTCCCCTCGTAACGCTGATAATTTCTCCAAGCTATTGTTTCATGTTTGCCATGCACTAATGTTGTGTTTGTTTTTTCTTGCAGAGAAGAGTGGCAAAAAAAATCCCAATCGAAACACCCACGGATTAAGTGGTCTGCTGCGAATTAAGCCAATCTAACGGTGAACCTTTCGGCCAGTAGTCCAAATTAAGCCTTGCAGCCCCCAGAAGTTAAACTAGATAGCGACGCCCCCACCGACAAAAGCTTCTTCATGATGTCGTCGGATCAACAGTTTTTTCTGAAATGGAACGATTTTCAAACGAATATGGTGACCTCGTTCCGTCACTTGCGAGACGAGAAGAGCTTCACAGATGTGAGTACCAAAAAGAACCTTCCGAGAGTATGGAAAAATCGTCTTAAAAAATACTTAAAACCGAACATCTTTAACTGGACCATCTAAAATCTTAATTTTAGATTGATAAAAACTATTTAAGTCAAAAAAGGTCCAAAGAAAATAGAAAAGACACCTTTAGAACTCAACTAAACATTTTTTGGTTAAAAATGTTTGACTGTAATTGACCATTCTCAGGGTGGATGTTTATTGCTGTGGGTCAGACACCGGCTCAGTTCATTTTGTCCGACTACCTGGGCCGTCACGCTCTTCTTCTATCTGTTTTCTTTTACCTGTTTCTTTGTTCTGATTCGCTAGCCGTTTTCTTTGTAATTTTGGGTGCTCTGGTTGGTGATTGTTTTGGGGAAAATTCCTCACTGATGTGACTGATTTGTTAATGAATTTTTTTGTTTACAGGTAACACTTGCCTGCGAGGGCCAAACCTGCAAAGCCCACAAAATGGTGCTTTCCGCTTGTAGTCCCTACTTCAAAGCGCTACTGGAGGTTAGTTTGTGGCTTACTTTATATAATTGAGAAAAACTATTAATATACGCTTACCATTTGCAGGAAAATCCATCGAAGCACCCGATAATTATCCTGAAAGACGTCTCCTACATCCACCTACAGGCTATACTGGAGTTCATGTACGCCGGAGAGGTGAACGTGTCCCAGGAACAGTTGCCAGCATTTCTTAAGACCGCCGATCGCCTCAAAGTGAAAGGCCTGGCAGAGACACCAAGTTCAATAAAACGGGAGGGTTGATGGTATTAAACAATAAACAAAACGAAAATACATAAAAAAAACAACAACCAACTATAAGAAACTTATAAGTACGCAAGAAAGCAAAATTCCAACGAGAGAGAAAGAAAAAACATAACGAGACGGACATTTGGTATACAAATTCATGTAGAAGTACAATATGAGGAAGAACAACACCAACAGACAACCATACAAAGCTAACAGATTGAAAGGATTAGCCTGTAAAGTAGAGGTGATTTCCAATTCCTCCAGCCCACTCCCACACCACTTATTCACACCTGACCTTCCAATCTGCAAACAGAACTTACCGACGCCCCACAGAACTTGATTTGAATGTGTATTCGTTTGATTTCTGCATAAAATAGTTTGTAATATATTATTAACTAATACAAAAAACAAAACACACCACTCTGTATAAATGAAATGACATGGACAGCCCCTTAAAAGGAAAACAAAAAAAAAGAGCGCACTTGTGTAAAGTAATTTAAAAGGATTCATTAAAAATATAAAAGATAATTATAAATATAGTGTGAAATGTGCAAGTAGAAGGATAAATGCCGCAACGGGCGCGAATATTACAACACATTCGGTTAGTTATTAAGCCACTAACTACAACCCCAGACATGCCACCCCTCCTCCAGACAGACAAACTCATTTTCATCTATACTTAAAAATAAAATAGAAACAAATGCAAAATTGTACTTTAATCGTTTTGTGCGGACTTACGCGGCCTATTTTCACTTTTTTCTAACATACACAAGATATAATTTAATAATTACAAGCTAAATGGATAATGTTTCAATGTGAAGCTATCAAATCTACTTAGTTTAAACAAAAGAGTAAGGAGAAACGTTAGAATGAAAAATAAATCTTGAGTAAAAAACTATATTTGAATATTATTACATAAAGTAAAATATTTATATGTATGTATATGTATACATGTGAGCATAGATTTAAACAACTACGGTAAATAAACAGATAATTCCAAAAAAAAAACATGGTTAAAACCCCCCAAAGCTTTTCATTGATATTCGAATGAAAAGAATGATACTTTTTTATTTTTCGCATTTATTTTTATAGTCTTTCATAACATACTCATCTTCATAAGCATCGTACTCTGTATACAGTAGTTCGTTTACAAATTAACAAAAATATTATCGCTTAGTTTAATTTACTCTAGTATTTGATATATTGCCGGATTGGATCTCGCTCGCCGCACAATGCAGTGCACTTAGATCTACAGATTCACATTACGCTACAGTTCTTAGTTATTGAAACAGTACGCATTTCGCGTATTCAGTTCGAACGGATCAGTGCGCATCTTTTGCTGATTATCCTCCACGTAGCGCGATACATCCGCCACCAGATTCGGTCGCTCCTCGGCGCTGGGGGCGCACGGCGACCAGATCTTGATGTCGTGGTCGATGCCGCTGGTAGCCAGCATGCAAATGCTTGGATGTGGCTGCACGCAATTGACAATGGCACTGTCCGCCCGATAAACGGCCCGTATCTTGCCCGTATCTCCCTCCCAAATGTACAAATTGCCGTCATCAGAGCCAGCTGCAATGAACTCTCCTTGGCTGCCCAAATAATTTGCCTCCTTGATGTCCGTCGTAATGTTGCAGTGGCCGACATAGCGTTGCATATAGTCCCGAGCCGTGGAACGGAGATCATACTCGGCATCCGCCAGCCGAAGGTAGCGGAAACCATCCTCCATAGGCACTGGCTCCGGTTCAGGTGGCTCGGTGTTTTGCGACTGCCGGCGATTTTCCTTGATGTCCTTGTTTAGCATGAGCACCCCGTGGTTGTTGGCAAAGTCCGGGAAGCGTTGAATCAGCGCCTGAAGACATTTATCCGCATCCTGGGGACGGTGCAGCTCCAGCAATGCCCTGGCTAGTCGAAAATGGGCCTTCACGTAGCCAGGATCCAGACGAAGGGCCTCGTGGCAATCCCTCAAGGCTGCGTATATATCGCCAAACCAGCCGCGGCGCATCAAAGCCGTAGCTCTGTTCAGATACAGAACTTCTCCTTGCGGGTATTTTGCCAAAGCCGCTGAATACGCATCAATAGCGTCCACTAGCTTGCCGTTCTCCAAAAACTCATTGCCCTCTTTTTTATGCATCTCAATGCTAGAGGGCAGCGATCGGCTCTTGTGTGGCGTCTTTACCGGAACTTCCTCCTCCTGGGCGACGGGTGATGTGAAGGCGGGCAGTTCGTAAAAAACTGGAGGCTCGGCATGGTTCAGATCAAAGCGGTAGACGTGCTCGCAGCCCATGTTGACCAGCAGCTCCGTGCCATTGCCATTAAAGGTGAGATAAGTGATGGCCCGCGACTCGTGGACAATGTTTCGACTAATATTCTTCACGATCTGTCCGGGTGCATAGTAGGCCACGCAGGCGGAGAGACCTAAAAGAGATTAGGGTATGAAATAAGATCCAAAATCTTAAACAATAGGTTCCCACCATTGCCATCGGTGGAGGGTAACTTGCGGCGATCGTACACCCGGGCAAATGGATCGTTGGTGCCGACGGCCAGGTACTCTGTTCTGCGGGGATTGATTGCCAGGCACTTGGCTTCCGCCGTGGACTCGACCTGATTGCAGAGGTTTAGGAGCCGGACGCCATTCCCCTCCTCCGGGCGACAGCGATGGGGTTCCCGCATGTCCAGCTGCAGAATACACCCATCCTCGCCGGCCGACCAGAAAACGTGTGGCGAGTCCTGGGCGGTGGCTAGACGCTTGGCCCGCATTAGATGACAATTGCAAGCGAAGAGTGTCTCATTCGAGTGATTGATGTCGTAGACGTAGATGAATTTATCCGCTGCACACGTCGCCACAATGCTGTTGTTGGTCTTGGGCAGGAATTTCACCGAGAACATGTTGCCCAGGTGCTTGGTGCTTATTACATGGACGCGCTTTTTCCGGAACGGATCCCAGATCATCACGCGATAGTCGTCCGATCCGGAGGCCAACCAGAGTCCGTCAGTGGTCCATTCGAGACAATTGACACAACCGTCGTGCCCGGCAAGAAGGGACTCCTGCTCAAGCCTGTCCACGTAAGCCGGGGAGGCCAGGAGCCGCCGGCGTAGCAGCTCGTCCAGCTCATGTCCGTACTGCTGCCTCTGCCAATGCAAGGAGCTGGCGTTCAAGGGCGTCTGCTGGCGCTGATAGCGCGAACTAGAGTACTTTACGCGATACAGTTCATCGCTCGACATTATCTCCGAGTGCTATGGATAGGATTATGACACTTGTTCCCGTTTGTTTTCGTCTCGCTCTCCGTTTAATTCATTTTGCATTCGCTGACTGCCCCCGTTCCGCGCTTCAGCTCCCCTTTGGTCTACCCTCTGGCTGTTGTTGACTTGACACCTGTGCTCGTCGTTGCCAGACTTGCGCACTTGTTGGGAAGCGCAAATTTGAGAAATTAGATTTGTTTTCTTCAGAATTTTAACCAAGTGTCTGAAAGTTGAAGGCTTAAGGAACGCCTGATTTCGTTAAGAGGCCTAATCAGTTTCAGAAGTTACCAAATTCCGTAATGATGGCGTAAATTTGATAAGTATTGCAGAAAAATCTGAATATTATTTCATAGCAGACTTACCACCTACAAAAGCTAGCACTTTTATAGTCACTTACTTGTCGCAATTTTATCTTATCGGTTAACTTTGTAACACAAGTCAGGAATATTGCAAAAATCTTTCCGTTTGTTATTTTATTTAGCCATGGCCATCAATCAAATTTTGGGGTCACCAGGAAATGTGCTGCCAATTATTTCAGAGTCAACAAGAATCAATCGATTGATCGATAGCTTGCCAAACCAAGAGTGTAATTTTTACCCATCGCTAGATAAACTAAAAAAAACCCACAAAATTGATTAATTCCACGGAAGACGCGAAAGGGGCAGAAAATCCGAGACATGTCCAATGAAAAGGAGGACGAGTGCGACAAGCACAAGCAGAAGGCGCCGGAGGCTGACGCCAAGTCGACGTCCAGTGAGGATTCAGATGAGTATCAGTCGGCCGGTGAGGGTGAGGATGGAGAAGGTGACGGTGATTCCCCAGCGGAGCACCCACCGCCGAAAGCCACCACACCAGTCACCTCCACGCCCACAGACAAGGCAGCACCCGCTCCGCCTACGGATGCACCCACGTTCGAGCCCATGGATTATCCAATGCACCAGAGCGTGTTCGAGGACGACATTAAAACGCTGCAGCGCCGTCTCCTTTTGAGCACAGCCCAGTACGAGGTGGGCCGGAAGGACAAGCACGGTAACACACCGCTTCATCTGGCGGTAATGCTCGGCAGGAAGCACGCCGTACGCCTGCTGCTCGCCCAAAACGCCCCAGTGAAGATAAAAAATAACGAAGGCTGGTCCCCGCTATCCGAGGCCATCAGCTACGGCGACCGCCAGACAATCACCCAGGTGCTGCGCATGCTCAAGTTGCAGTCCCGCGAACACATGGAAAGCCGTCGCGAGAAGCTGGTGAACGCACTGCGCCAGATGCAGGACTTTTACATGGAGTTCAAGTGGGACTTTCAGTCCTGGCTGCCGCTAGTCTCGCGCATCCTGCCTTCGGATATTTGCCGGCTATACAAGTCGGGCGCCTCCATTCGTCTAGACACCACCCTCGTGGACTTTAACGACATGCGATGGGAGCGCGGTGACATATCTTTCTTGTTTCGCGGGGAGGCCCCGCCACGGGAATCGTTGGTGCTGCTAGACAACGAGCAGGAGTGCTACCAGCGTCTGCGCTACGAAGAGTCCGACATGGAGGACGAGGTAGATGTACTTATGTCCACCGACATTCTGGCTACCCAGATGTCCACCAAGACGATACAGTTCGCCAGGGCGCAGCGCGGCTGGATATTCCGCGCGAATCGCAAAGAATTGATTGGCGGGCAGTATCAGTGCGAGATCTACACCATTCAGGGTTTGATCCTAAAGCAGCGCAAAAGGCGCGAACACCTGTCGCACGAGGATTTGCAAAAGAACCGCGCCATTGTCGAGACAATCACCAAGGGTGGCAGTCAGCAGCCGGATGCCAGGCGCTCCAGCCTTGGGAGCCAGCACACGGCCACGCCACCCGAAACCAACACGCCGACAGCTCCCAATGGGATCACACTGCCGGAACTGCCGCGTCGCAGTTCGCTGCAGGCTCCTCCGGCCACCACAGTGACCTGGAGACAGTACATTGACGCGGAGGTGGGCAAGTGCCCGCAATTGGGCAGGACGCCCGTGCACAAGCAGTCTAACAAGACGCTTCGCGCAACGGTAGCGATGAGCAAGGACTTCCCCCTTAGCGTGGACATGCTGCTAGACGTTCTGGAAGTCGTGGCACCCCTCAAACACATCAACAAGCTACGTGAGTTCGTCACACTCAAGCTGCCTTCTGGCTTTCCGGTCAAGATTGAGATACCTGTACTGCACACGGTCACCGCCAAGGTGACGTTCCAGAAGTTTGAGTTCCGCGACAACATCCCCGCGAAGATGTTCGAGGTGCCGTCGCACTACTGGGAGGATGTGCGTCGCTTTCAGGACTTATGACCAGGCGAGGGTGAAGCCGCGCCAAAGGCCAAAGCAGCAGCCGCCGGATCGACCGAAGCCGCGACTGGCATCCGTGTCGATTTGAATCGCAATGCGTCGCCGCCCTCTATTGCGGAGTTTGATTAGGGTGCATCCGCGGCGGCGCCAGTCCCTTGTCCTGCCTGCCCCAGACTTCGTGTCGTGTTTTTTGAGCTCTCCAGCGATAACCGGACGATACCGCTCATAGGGGCCCCGTGTTTATGTATGTATGCTTAAGAGGAAACCACCCACACACAAAAATTGCAATTTTCATTAGAGGAATCTATTTATTGGCAAACCAAATTGAACTTTTCTTTTGCTTTTGGTGGCAAAGTAGTTCAAATTTCAATGTGAAGCTCTGAAAATTGCAATTTTACACTTACGTTTTGTTATGTAATGTATTTGTTTATAATAAGCTCTGTTTCTAAGGGGTATTTCTTCGTTGTATTTATTGTTAGAAGCGACAACATTCTGCCCAGGCTCGAAACTTTTTCATAACCCCAGAGTGAATCACTTCTGAGTAAGTGGTGTTATGATATGCCCGCCCTATGGGGAGGGGTCTAAAAACAGCTGCACTATCGGCTAGAAACCAGAAAGTTCTATTCCCCAAATTGCCTTTCCTATCTCGTGCTAATCGTGTTGGTAAAAAGGTAAAAGAAAATGTCCAATCGAAAGAAACGCCGGCATATAGCCACGATCCCTCCTACATAATCAAAAGGCAGTTAGTGATCGATCAGAAGTTTGCGCACAGATCGTGTCACATGCCACTTATCATTTTATTTATGTCTACATCCCTTTCCGTGATTAGTGCAATTTCATACCTATAGTTTAAGGTAAACTAAGGAAGGCGAAAGTTTATTTTCGCCCCTTTTTAAAGAGTCTGCATACCCGCTGGAAGAGCGTATATCCAACATACGCTATTCTTTTTATACTTAGGCTACGAGTACAAGAAAATGGTCCGCAAAACAATTTCCAACATTTTTTCATAATAGTCTCAAGTATTTCGAAGTGCGCAAAAATAAAAACCGCTTCACAAATCAATTATAAATAAATATTTATGCATATACCTATGTATTTATGTAGTTACATTTTAGCCAATCATTTAAACCGTAAAATGCGTCTGTACTTGTATTGTATTTGTTAATTATCAAAAGCGGCTAGCGCCGAATCAGTTTCGGTTCGCCCTGCTTTGCTGTGATTTTGCCCTTATAACCACAATTGTTTGCCTACTGCAGAATATGACTAAGCGCTATGTATTTATTTAAAACTGCCATTGTTTATTTTTTCCGGCACAAGTTCTGTTCTTTTATAGAATTCCACCACATAAGTAAAGTCCATGCTATAATCAAAGAAAAACGTTTTAAAACATTTAATAAACTGTAATTCTAAATCCAAACACATCCACAACAAAAAGTCGCATATAAACAAATTCGGTATATTTTACTAGTTAAGGGCAATCGATTGAAATACATATATATTTATATTTATACGTGGCCACCCTGATTGTAACTGAACCGAAACTTTGTATAAGCTCTAAAAAATAAATATATACACACATCCGCAAGCTGTAAAATGTGCAACCCAAGTGAAATTACTTTTTTATAAATGGGAGGGAGAATGGATTTCAAATGGCGCGCTCTTTCCGGAATTTGCCACACTGACTTGCGTGGGTGGACGCTAAATCGGTCGTTTGCCAACACTTTTCTGGTCTGAATCAGCTGCTTCACTCACAAAAAAGAGAATTTACGCACAAATTTAGAAACATTCATATTAAAAATCAAGATTCGATATATACTAGACCTACAAAATGGTTGTCTCACGGCTCGCCTTTCCGATTAACCTGGCCTTGCGCCAGGTTTCTCGTAGGATGGCTGAAAACCCCGGAAATCTTAAAATCCTGCAGCGCCACATGTCTAGCGTGTACTTCCGCAGCGGAGCCATTAAGCCGAAGCCCGAGGAGATGCCCTTCGGCCTGCTGGCCATCTTCTGCGCCGTCATCCCCGGACTATTTGTGGGTGCTACCATTAGCAAGAACGTAGCCAATTTCCTGGAAGAGAACGACCTTTTCGTGCCCGCCGATGATGACGATGACGAGGACTAAGCTTCAAAAACTCTGGCAATCTTCATGTGGGATTATCTCCTAGTCAGGATGAATGCCTTGGCTTGGAGTCGTTGCCCCACGCATAAGAACCCAGCGCTCGGCCAAAAATTTATTCATCTATTACCCTTTCTTTGCTATATAAATCTACTTTTAAGATCCAACAATTTTGGCATTTTATATGTTTATGTGTATTTTCATGACCCGCTTTGATATTCTTGACCTAATAATTAGCCAATGTTAACTTTAATCGACAGATTCACGAATGTTACTAGAATTAATAAAATTGAATCGATTATGCTTAATACTTGACTTTTAATTACATAAGCCTCATACACTGGAGATTTATACATACATACTACACAATGTATGTATAGTAGGAAAAAGAAAATAATAGCGGATCCCTTTTAATGGTTGTAAAACATATGGTTGAGACTGTGATGAAACCGAAACAGGAGAAAAGTCGTTTCCTTATCGACTTTACATCTTAAAACAAAATACAACCATTACTGTAGACAATCCTGTTTTCATTAACCCACCCCAAAAATAAAAGACTGTTGTTTTGCCGAAGTGGAATTTATTGTAATTAAATTTGTTGGGGTGTACAAAGGTTTTTTTTTACGGTTTTTCTGCATTACAATTCATTCAAATGGTTTTAATTGCTGGGTTTTGCTTCAAAGATGCGCAATCAAATTTCAACAATCCTATTTTTTTAATCATACAAATTATGTTTTATATCGCGTTAATATATAAGTATACATATATATGTCTGCTATATATAGAAGTGTGTTGACTTGCGTATATTTTGTGAAAAGTAAAAGGTTTCTTCGCTCAATTTGGATTTGCTTTTAGTTTTTAATAAATCTCGCGCAATCTTCCTTGAACATTCCAATTCGGGTTTTGGTTATGTTTTCTTTTTTTTCATTCATTAAATTTATTGCATATAAATTGTTTTGTGTTTTTCAATTTTTTCAAAGATTTTTGCATGGTTTTTATTTCTTTTTAGTTTTCAATTTGTTTAATAAAAAAATATGAATTTCACTGCCCCGGGCGGCAATTCTTACTTCCGCTTGCCTTTCTTTAATATATTTAATTATGTATGGTGTAAAAACATTATTTACTGGTAATATTATGGATTCTCTTTGTAACAAAAGTCGGAACGCAAATAAAATCGCGGCGTTGTTTGCTTTACGAGCCCTCTTTAAATATATATATATATTTTTGCAAATTGTAATAAATGTATGTATTTATGTTTATTTTTACTTCCATTCTTTTAGATAATAGTTATCATAAAAGTCCTGCTTGCAATTTTTCGCCCTGGGGTTTCATCGCCCTTTTTCATCAGTATGCTTTTCATAAGTTTTTTCACGCTTTAGCGCTTTTATGTTTTTTCTTGTGTTTGTTTGTATTTCTCATATATGTTGTTCTTGTTTAATATGTGTGTGTGTTTATATATATATTTTTTTTTTTTTTTTGCTGTTTTTACATAGGTTTTTCAATTTTTTTGTAGTTTTTTCTTTTGTTTTGTTTTCATTTTTTCAACATATTTCCTCAGCTGTTGGTTTTCTGTATTTTCTTTCTTTTTTCAAAGTAGCAAAAACTTGACTCTCATATTCTTGCGGTTTTCTTTTTTCCTTTCTCTTCTGTTCTGCACAGTTTGCATTACATTTTTTCGTTATTTTAACTTTTTTGCAATTTTTTTTTTATTTTCTTTGCTTTTTTAAAAGTGTATGGTTGTCGCGTTTCTTTTTTCTAAACAAAGCTTTCTTGAAAATTGAATTTGAGAAAAGGGAATTAAAAAAATTACATTACGCTTTCCGGTGTTGTTGTTTGAAAGTGAGGGAGAAAAATGTGTACAAAACTCAATTTGTTTTTAAGTCTAGAAACTTTTCGTTTGTTGAAAAACAATTTCAATTGGTGCAAACAGCTTTCGACATCTTTGCTTTATCTTTTTATTTTGCAGTGTTTTTTTTTTCTTCATACGCATACAAAATAATATTGATTTAGGTAAAGCAATAACAAAAATGGTTTTTCAATTCACATTTTTTCCATTTTTTTTCATTTAAGTGGTTTATGTATAAAAAGAATTCTTGAATCTATTGGCAGAATTGCTTTTTCGTGACTATCGTCTTTTTGCTTCGTGTACTTGCTTAAATGCGTTCGAAATTAAATGATTGAAATTGTTTTTCCTGATGTTTCTGAGTTTAAAAATGAAAAAAGCCAGAGATTTTAACGCTTTGTTCTTCTGTGTTTAATGTGTGTCCTTTTTGGGGTTCCTTGTATGCCCTAAGCACCAGTGAATGCGAATTGTTGTTAATGAATTGAAAGTTAAGAGGAAAGCTGAAAGACAAAAACAATTCTAAATGAGATAAAGTTGTATTTTAGGACCTCTTTATCACTTACTTTTTGGGTGTCGAGTGTTCTTGTAAAATTTTCATCCGCTTGAACTGTTCGAGCTTAGTTAGCGGGCTCAGAGACGCGGTGCACCTGGAGTACTGCCACCGCCTCTTCCACCTTAGCCTTGAGGGCCTCCTGATCCTCAATCATGTGCAACAGCTCGGAGTTCTCGATCTCCAGCAACATGCCAGTGATCTTGCCGGCCAGAGCGGCGTGCATGCGCTCAATCATCGGGTACAGACGCTCGCCGAGGATCTGTTTCTGCTCCTGCGGCTTGGCGTTGGCCAACAGCGAGGCAATGAGCTTCTCAGAATCTGCAATCAAAACAGGATAAGAAAAAGATCCTAAATGAGTGACGAGCTTAAAACTTACTCTTTCCTTGCAACTGTTGTGGCATCGGCTGAGTCTGCTGCAACTGCGGCACTGGGGGATTGCGCATGTTGGCTGTGTACTTGTAATTGGAAGCACGCTGCTGGGCACCACCAGGGATCTGGGCTCCGGGAATCTGCATTGGTGGGGCAGCTGTCTGCTGGCCAGTGATGGCGCGCGCTCCGGTGTTGCGCATGTTGTTAGCCGCGGCAGCAGCGGCGGCGTGCGTGCCCTGCACCTGCTGGGTCTGGGCACCGCGTGCTCCGGCAGCAGCCGAACGGAACTGTGCTGGCACCGCTCCGGCTGTGCCTTGGAAGCCACCAGCAGCGGCGGCGGCAGCGCCGGCCTGCACGCTCTGCACCGTGGCGGCGGGACGTACCTGGGACGCCCAGCGCGGTGTGTTCCTCATCTGGGCAGGCATCTGGTGGCCGAAGAAGCGCTGACTTGGTGGTATGGTCGGCACAAAGTAGCCACCTGCCGTGTTGGGCTGGAAGATCTGTCCCAGATGCTGCTGCATGCGCATGCCGGTCATGTGCCGCATATACTGAGAGGCGAGGTGAGCCTTGCGCACCTCCTTTCTCTGGGCCAAAGCCACGTACAAGGGCTTGCTGCCGAAGACGCGTCCGTTCAGTTCGGTCACCGCGCAGGTGGCCTCGTTTGCCGAATCGAAGCAAACGAAGCCAAATCCCTTGGAGCGACCCTCCTCATCAGTCATGACCTTGGCCGACGTGATGGTGCCGAACAAGGAGAACTCGTTGCGCAGGCGATCGTCGTCGATTGTATCGTCGAGATTCTTCACGTACAAGTTGACGCCGAACTCTGTCTCGTGGCGCTTCTTCTTTAGCTCCTCAAACTTGCGCTTCAGCTCCTGCTGGCGCTCGGCCTTCTTTTGGGCTCGGGCCACATAAAGGGATTTTCCTTCGCCCATGTCTTTGCCATTAAGGGCCTGGACGGCCGCTTCAGCAGCCGCTGTGGTTTCAAAGGCAACAAATCCGAAGCCCTTGCTCTTTCCATCCTCCTTGGACATGACCTAAAGCCGAAGATTTTGTTAGCACTGTCAACTGACTACCCCATGCTGTACTATTTACCTTGTAGCTCGTGATCTTGCCGAAGGGCTCAAAGAATTCCTTAAGCTTTTCGTCGTCGAACTCCTCGGTGAAGTTCTTCACGTACACATTTGTGAAGAGCTTGGCCTTCTCGCCCAGCTCCTTCTCGCGCTCCTTGCGTGGAATGAACTTGCCCACGTAGACCTTCTTGCCGTTCAACAACATGCCGTTGACCTTTTCGATCGAAGTGTTAGCGGCCTCCTCAGTCTCGAAGTGAACAAAGCCATAGCCCTTGGAGTTGCCCTTCTCATCGGTAGCGACCTTGCAACTAAGGATGTTGCCGAAGGCGGAGAAAGTGTCGTAGATTGCCTTGTTGTCGATGGTCTTATCCAGGTTCTTGATAAACACGTTGCCAACGCCAGAACGGCGCAGCGAAGGATCACGCTGGGACCACATGATGCGAATTGGCTTGTTGCGAACCAGGTCGAAGTTCATGGTGTCCAAAGCACGCTCAGCTGCAAAAGAAAAAATATTTTTGTCACTTCTGGTTTGGCGTTGGTCAAATGAAAATGATAACGACCCGTTGGTGTTATTGTGACTCTTCAACTTCTGCACTGGCTATGAACAATAATGAGCCTAGTGCATGGTAAGTCAAGTCTGGTCTTTTTTTTTGGCAACTGTGAATCTTAGTCGTGTCAAAAAAGGGCTAAATTGACCAACCAATGGGTAGTAGTTGCTAAGTTTCCAATTTCAAACTTATTAAGAAATATACCTATGCAAATGTTTGGGAAACTTTGAATATATCAAACTATATCATACTAATAAACTACATATTTACTAATAAACGATGTAATCTTGTATTGCTTCTACTTCTGCGGATGGTATGCGCCACTCATCAACATGGTAAGTTGCAAGTTTTTATAGCAACTATGAATCTTAGTCGTATTAAAAGGGGAGTTTTAAATCAACCAATGGGTAGTAGTTGCTAAAATATACTAAAACTTATAGAATAACAGATAAGACTGTTATGCTTCTACTTCTGCAGATGGCATGTGGAAACCATCAGCATGGTAAGTTACATATTTTATTCTGGCAACATTGAATCTTAGTCGTGTCAAAAAAGAATAATTTGACCAACCAATGGGTAGGAGTTGCGGGAAAAATATAAAATAAAAAGTATTTGATAGATAAATTTAAGGCTGCTGACACAGGGTCATGTAAAAAAAAAAAACATTGTCAACAAAACGGGTAGCTTCACTCCAACCTCAAAAAATGCACAGTTCAGTAAACTTTGCGGAACGCTGGAATGCGATAGGCTTTCACACGCAGCGCAATCATCGGGCACCAGCTTTATGCCATTGTACGCTTAATTCAATAAAGAAATGTAAGCAAACAACGAAAGACGAAGAAGCAGCAACTATGCGCAGTGAAAGTTTGTTTTCGTTATTGTAAAAACAAGATTTTAATAGGTGAAAGAGAGGCAGAAAAGCGGTTCACTGACATGTCAAGAATTTGGAAGTGTTAATGAATGGAATGTGAAGAGCACCGACTTGTGAAAGTGAAAGCAAAACAAAGGTAAGAGACAATAAAAAGTGGGCATGCGGAAATTTATTTAATGGAATATAACCTAAAATAGATGAAGGCCAGAAATAAGAAATGGCCCAAACAATAAACACATGTTTATGGAAGAGACGCACGCACACAAATGTCCGCGTAAGCGTATGCGTCTATGTGCAAAGTCGCCGCCTGGAAACAACGCAAAATATACATAAATAAAACCGAAACAATGAAGATTCAGCAAAACTAATGGGCGGGGCTGCGATAAGCTGTCCGGGCAGTATAGCACCATATTCCACAATATTCCATCATAATTGCAATTTTCTGCGCAATCGAGATGGAAATTTCTAGGCGAATGGTTGATGAGTGGCACAAGCCAGCTGTTTTACCCCCTTTTATCACCGTACTTCCCCTATTTCAACGAGCAGTAACTGGTATAAATATATATATATATATATATAAATAAATACGAGAGTGTATGTGTGCATGAGATTAACGTAAGCAGTGCACGGTGGAGCGAGTTATGAAATGCTTGGAAGCCGTTTATCTGGTCCTCTTAAAAAAGTCATACTTCATCGAGTCCAGTTTTGATGGCCATTTTTCCCCCACTGTAGGCACACACACACACACAGATCGGCATGCGCTTGTGTGAGTGCAAAAACTGCACACGTGTTTTCTTTGTTTCGCGCGGAAGGGGCTACTTTTGTTACATATTACACTGAATATTAAGGATTACTCACCATCGGCTGGCTGCTGGAAGTTCACGTAGGCATAACCCAACGAGCGACGGGTCATAACGTCGCGGCAGACACGAATGGAGAGCACTGGACCAGCAGTCGAGAACTTCTCAAAAAGTCCCGATTCGTTGACATCGGGCTGCAGATCACCGACGTATAGAGAAGCCATATTTGGTGACCAGGTCTACCTGCAATGTTGAACAGTTAAATTCGTTTTTTTTTTTCACAAGAAATTTGATTATTTTTTTCATCTTTACGGACCGGATGGATTCGGCCAGGCAGGCGGTGAAATAGAAAGAAAAAAAGCGGCGTGGCTTTTGCTCTTCTATTCGTCTCTCAGTCTGTCTAGGTGGCAGCTCTGGCGCATGTGACAGTCGGTCTACATGGCAACGCTGCATGTGCTTTGTTGTTGCCGTTCTCGCTCTCTCCCCCCTTCTTTGTCACGCATACGCTCGTGTAGGAAAATTCCACACATACACACAGACAGAAAGGTAGACACGCTTCTGCCTGCCCAAATTTTTGCCATTTCCTGAACTTCCGCAAAAATATTCTCTCTAGACCCCTGTCCAGGACTCCGGGATAATAAATCCACGTTTCCAGCCGCCATTTTTAAACGACTGTCGACCACAAACGCGACACATTCCGCAGGGAAAATGTCCCCGTTCGCTTTGTCTTGCGTCGCGCCCTCTTGCTCACCCATGAACCAATTTAGTTGTTTGGCACTTTACTTACTTTTCACACACTTGCTCGAATTTTTGCTACTTTTTACAATTTTTTTTTGTTTCGTTTTTTGTGTTTTAATATTTTTTTTTATTTTTTATATATTTTTCTTCACAAAAATATGTGATAAGCCGTGTGCTGAAAGCGAATCCACGACCGCTCACGAAAACGGACTCCACACGAATCGGCGTTGCCATATGGCGAAATGGAGGTGGAGCAAATTGGAAACATCGCATAGTAGTTGTAACCATTTAGAAAAAAATCGCTAATTCCGATGTTTTCCCACCCCTCGAAATATTTTTCATCGACCAAAAAATCGATGGTTGGTGACTACGGTTGCCCTGCTTCTCAAATTGTTCCGACACAACAATTAAGGGGAGGGTAAGGTTTTAAAAATTTTTTTTAATATTTTTTTTTTTTTTTTTTCTGAATGATTAATATGTCGAGAACATTGTGTAAAAATTTTGAGTCAATTAAAGTCAAACTAACGGAGTTACAGCGTTTTAAACAACCGTATTTGGGCGTATTTTCACGTATAAAAATACTTTGAATCGATTTTGCCGAACACGCTATTTTCAAAGTCGGTGCCCCTAATAACTTCAAAACTACTGCACCGATCCTTTTGAAATTTTAAATACTATTTCTGTACATATTTTACGAGGTAACGCTGTCGAGTTTTTTTTTTTTTTGTTCATAATTTTGATTTTGCAATGAAAAATTAACCGATTTTTTCCCAAAAAATTGTGTTTTTCACTTCAAAATCTTCCAAAAAATTAAAAAATTGCAATTTTCAAAAAAACTTTACAGCGTTACCTGGGGCGAACTATTATCTAACGAATGAATTTTCATTTTTTGATTTCGGATGATCCAGCACCGAGTTATGAGGGGCACCGCAATTCAACTTTTTTTGGCGACACTTCCGGACAATTGCTACCATTGCCACATTTTTTAATATTTTTTTGTAAAAATTTGGTAAAACATTCTTCTAATGTCATACCTTAATATACCGTTGGTTGAATAAATAAATTTTAACTATGTCGTCAGGAAAAAAATCTCAAAAACATGGCTTTTTTCGCATGATTTGACCTTACCCTCCCCTTAAAAAAAACTTAATTACAACGTATTTTTACAGACCGAGTACCTTGGGTTGGAATGGTTTTTAAAAGAAATCTAAAAAATCTTGTTCCCAATCACCAAAAGTTTTAGTTTTACGCTGCCTTAGGCAATGAAAAATTAAATAATCATAATGAAACGAAAATCAACGGGTCCAATTTAAATTTGAGCCTGGGTTTTACATTGGAAAGGAACTTTTCTATTTTTTAATTTCATTTGATTCGTCATTTCATATGAAAAAAAATGTCCATTTAATGTTTTCAAGCAGAAAAACCGAAACGCCGTTGTATGTTAGGGGATCCCCATTCTGAAACTTACCCAAATCAGCGAAAATTGTGCTTCGTCCGCAAATCCACACGCCGAGAAACCCGAGTTTTTCCCTTGAACCGACACTCAAACACTTGACTGTCTTTTTTTAGGCTTTTCGAGGTTTTCTATGAAATAAACAACACTCTAGCAAAACCGTCAGTTACCGAGTGTAATGAATTAATTTTTTTTTGTTTTATGGCAATAAACCAAATTTTCCTATTTTTTCTGTATCGGACGGCAGCTGCATGCGCCCTATCTGGCATTCGAGTACCTAATGAAGCGGTGAAGCAAAAGTCGATGCCTGACAAGCTCCAGAACCAAATGTCACTTTAAACGCCTACTGGGGTTCTCGGACTAAAATCACAGGGACGAGCACTTTTCAAAACATTTATTTGGGCATTATATACTTCAGTAAACACATATTTCGTTCTGGTTTAGCTTGACATACAGATGTATATCAGCTTGAGATTTTGCTTGTGTTCAACTCAATTTTGATTTCGGGTAGCTTTTAATATATGTACATAAGATGTACTTTCTTAGTTCATTATTGTGTAGTTTTTTTAGTCTATGGGCAAAATTCATTAAACTAGTCCTAAATGTAATTCAATTTGTGTGTATGTAGGTATATCAAGTATTTTTTGTATGCATAACATGATTTGTGTAAGTTTCCCTTTCAATATATTTTTCGAAAATACACATGGGCTTATAGCTAAAGAACAGTACTGAACTTTACTGAATCGTTTTTCTTTAATAGACGTTAATTAATACGTTTTCATTCAGCAGCGAATGTTAGATAGACTATCAGATTAGACTTCTAATACTTTTACCAATTTTGTGGAAATTTTCTTAAGTTTTGCTGCAACAATTAACTGCCATTGCACAATTATAACCTGTATTCAGTTGCTTTTTGCATTCCTTTTTTCTTTTTATACATTTTAACATTATACCGCTTTAATGCTTTACCAATATTTTGAACATTCTTTTGCTATTTTGGCAGTGGATTGGTTATAAACTTTGAAACGTTAACAAATAAAGAGGCCCGGAGTTGGCAGCGAACATTAATAAAGAATAACGCAGGGAAATGATAATGAAAATGATAAACATAAAATTAAAGATGAGATGGTATGCCAAATCGTCTAGTTCCCCATCGAAGCGATTGCAGTTGCCGCAGCATCTCCTCCCCACTCCACGAGGTACTGGACCTGACCGTTTCCCATGCGACGCTTGGCTCGAATTGCGAACGGTTCGCCCGCATCAATGCGATTCATGGCGCCGCCAAAATACTTGTTCACCGACTGCTTAAGATCTAGCATGGAATGTCCCTGGGCTGCGATTCCATTGCCGCTGCTGGTGGTAGCCGTCGAGCTGGTGGAGTTCCGTCGGCTCTGGCTTGGCGATAGCTTTTGTGGCCGCGTGCGCAGCAGGCGTCCGTGCGTTGGCTTTTCCATTGGCGGCGCTGGCGGCTGCAGATCTTTGGCGTATAGAGGAAGGTAGTGGCTGGGTATGGGATTGATGGTAGTGGTGCTAATAACCTGTTAGATGAAAACAATAAAATGTAATAAAGTGATGAAGCAAGCTGCGAAATGTATACCTCAATGGCCGTGGTTAGGCGACGAGTACGACGCCTGCGCACCTCCTGATTGGGCCCTATGGTTATGTCTTTGGCACTCAGTCTTCGCTTGATGGCGCGCACCATGCGCGGCTGCTCCTTGGAGGTGCCCTTAAGCTTGAAAATGCTGTTGATGATGCCATTTATTCCGACTCCAGCTCCCACATTTATGCCTCTGCTCTGAGCCGCCTTCTTGGGTGTGGCCATAAGAAAGGGGTTGTTGCGTCCCAAAAAGTTGGCCGGCGGGGGTATGATGAGGTCCAACGAGCTGGTGCCCCGACTGCTGCTGGAGTTTTCGTCGGACGATAGATCACAGTGGTTGCGGCTGTTATCGTAGCGCTTGGACAAACGGAAAGCCTTGCGTTTGCGGCTGCTATTGGCGTCCAGCAGCGGTGGAATGGGAGCTGGCAGTTTGCCCGGATCGCCATCGTTGGCATTGTCGTCTGCGAGGTCGAGGGCGCCCGCCTCCAACGGGTCTGGTTGCTCAAGTTTCAGTGGCAGTTCATCCTCCTCATCTGGCTTTTGGCTGGCCTGCTTTTTGGCCTTCTCGATGATCTGCTTGATTGGGATCTCGTCCTCGCTCGTCTCGACTGGCTCATCCTCATCCGTATTAAACTCGTACACATCTTTGGGAGTTCTTTTTGGATGTTCTTCGCCCTTTTTCCCAGCTTCCACGAGCAAAAGCTTCAGCTTGAACTTCTTCACCAGCAGCTCATCAGTCGGTGTCTCATGTGGCTCCAAAAACACCTTGGGTGTGATTGGCGGGCCACTGTGACGCAATCCGTAGAAGGTTGGTGCTTTTTTGCACTCTCTGCCGCAGACGAATCTTTCTGAGTGGTCCTTAAGAGTTTGCTTGATGCGCTCCATAAGTGCCGTCTCCGGCAAGGTGCGCCACTTCTCGCAGATTGGAAATTGGTGGCGCTGCTCGAGTATAAAGGGCCAGATGTCCTTCAATAGGTGAAGGTACTTATGGTTCTGGTGCTTGCGCAGATTATATAGCGCTATGTGGAGCACGTCCACCCAGTCAACTTGTAGACGTCGAACAAACTCCACGCCATTGTTGCACACCGTGCAGCAGAACACAAAGAATCTAGAAGAGCACTTCGATTAAAAAAAAAAAGTTACAGGGTACAATGCAATCCTTACATGTCGCCGCGCAGCAGCTTCCTTTTGAAGTTCTGCATGCATTGGGTGTGGAACCAGTTGCGGCACTTGCAGCACTGCAGCATGTTGTGATCGAATTTTCCGGACTTTCCGCAGTAGCAATAGATCTGCTCCTCGTTTACCCGATGCTTCTCATCCCAGCTAAGCTTTTCCGCCTGCGGGATAAACCGGATTAGCGACCTTAACCCCTGTTTTACGAGCCAGGTATACTCACATGGTAGGGAAACTGGCGGCAAATCCCAACGCGTTTTGTGATCTCGTGTTTTAGCTGTTGCTGTTGCATTTTCATGGGTTTTGCGCATCGTTTGCAGCTCCAAATGCCGCTGCCGGTGACGATTTCCATGGTGCAACCACGATGATAGCCACGTCCGCAACGCTCGCATATTTCCACCACGTCGTCGATGTCCGATCGCTTGCAGGCCACGCACATGGGTCCGTTGGCGGAAGTACTGGATGTGTCCAAGCTGGAGCCACCTCCTCCGCCACTGCACGCCGAGCTGCCTCCACCCAATTTGCGCAGTTTGTCCGGTCCGCACCATTGCTCCGACCGATCGTCGAAGCGTATAAGAAACTGCTCCGTTGTCTGCTCGATAATGGTGCCCAGGTAAAACCGGCCATCGTTACACTTGATAAAAACATCCTCCTGCAGGGCATATGTTACCGCTGGCGGTGGGCCGTCGACTGAAGGTGGCGGCGGCGGAGGTTGGGGCGAGGGAGGAGTTGGCGGAGTGGGTGGTGCTGCCTCGACAGCCTTGAAGCTCGGCTTCATTTGGCTAACTGCCTTGAGCAGCGACTGCGTGGCCATGAGCGGAGGCGAAGGCGAAGACTTCCCAGGCGAACCAATGGTCTCCGGCGTAGTTGGCGGCGTCTGCGGTGTGGTGGTCGTCGAATCCGGCTCATCCACAATCACTACTGCTGCTGAGGTGGTGGTGCCACCGCCGTAACTGCTGCTGGTCACCGAACTACTGCTGCAACTGCTGCTGTCCGCCGTGCTGCTGTCGATTATGGGCAGAATGGCCTTGTGCTGAATGGCCGGTATGATGGGAGACGGCTGCTGTGCAGTGCTAAGAGATGAGTTCAGAGAGGCGGGCGACTCCGCATAGTGGTTGTTGATGCAAATGTTGATGCGATCTAGCACTACAGTGGAAGCCGGCGCATTGGAGTTGCTCACAGGGACCAGCGGGGGCGGTTGCAGTTGCTTGCCCGTTCCAGTAGCCGTCATCAGGTTGAGCTGTCCCGCGGATTGGCCCCCGCCACTGGGCAGGTAATAGGATTGAACGGGCGCATAGATGGAGTGCGGTTCCTGCGGCGACTTATTCAGACTATAGACATTCGGGGCCGTCGAGATTATGCGTATGTTGTTGGGCTTGAAGGGACTGGAGCTGGTGGCTGCCTGTTGCTTCGTTGGAGTGGCCTGCTGGGCAAAGCTGTTGGTAATCTGTATGGTGCCGGGATGAGTGGGATGCGTGGTCGGGCCTCCGGAGGCGGCATAGTAGCGTTTGGCCACCGTGGTGGGTCCAGCGGTGCTTGGAAGGATCTGATAGGTGGTGGCCATCCACTGCTGACCACTTGGTTGTGGTAGGTAACCATAAGTGTTGGTGGCAGTAGTCGCGGGCGGAGGAGCTCCCGGGCCAGGGGCACCTGGCTGTTGCAAAAACGAATGTGCCACGTTCTGCGGCGGGTGATCGTGTTGCAAGTGATAATGGTTGTTCATCATTGCAACTCTGGTGTTGGTGGGTGCTTGATGGGCTGATACTTCTTGTGCACAGTCTTTTCTAAAAAATAAGTACCTTCAGTTCAGTTTGCCGGCTTTTGATTTTCTCGGACTTATTCCTTTTCTTTATGAATTTGGTAATTAACACGAGCTCATTAATCTGGCGCCTTTTTTGTCGAATTTGTTGTTGCCCCGCTGACACATACATGCACAAGCTAGCAAACACGTATGGACTTAAGAGCGGGCCCTTTTGTATTCTCTGTGTCTTTCCACATTCGTACTTTTCCACACGCACCACGGCACTCGGTTTTGGTCGCCGATTTACCCACCTTTCAGTGTGTTTCGATCCGAGCATTAAATTAGCATTGTGTTCTTATTAATTGGGCTGACGGCTTTAATCGTCGCTGTGCTAAGTTCATCCTTAACACCAGAGAAAATGCACAAAACAAATCGCTTGAAAATTAATTTGTGTCAGCCATTTTTCGACATATGCCCACTGTGTTGGCAAACGCTAGGGAAGTAGTGCTGGAAAATACTGGACAAGACGAGAAAATACTAAAAAAAAAAAAAAAACAAAAATTTTAAAAATATTAAAATTTGTTTATACATGTTATAATTAATTGTTTAAAAACGTTAAAAATTAAGTATACACTAATTATAAAATTTACATTGAACGATATAAAAAATTTAATAAATAGCATGAATAAAAACCGTGTAGCTCGTTTTGGCCATACCAATAAAAACATTTGCTTTAACAGCTACGGTAGCACTTGAATAAAATTTTATCGGAACAATTTTTCAATCCTAGCTTCAATGGTAAATAACTCTTTTACTTAGTATTTCGAATGATCATTTTAATAATCGGGGTCAACTTTCAAATAATGAAGTTTTGCGCCAGAAAATACTAGAAAAATACCAGGGGAGACAAGCAGACAGTAGCGAAAGGTATAAATAGCAGCGGACTTTAGTTCGATGGGTTTTTTCAAACTGGTCACTTTACGAGCAAAAGCAATTTTACGAAGATTCCATTAAATTTTCACTTGTGAATAAATCGCGGAAAAACAGTTAAAAAGCAAAAGAACTTAACCAAATAAAGTGGTACCTATCAAAAGTGAAGTGCAAAAAGCAAAGTTAAAGTGTAAAAAGACAGAATTTTACTGTGCGAAAGGCGAGCCAGCTAAAAGATTGTTAAGGTATGAAGTTGGAGCAGGAGAAGAACTATAGCTCCATTTATGCAAGTTGGTGGCTCGAATGACGCACTTGGCCGTAGTTGAAAACATTTGATGCGATTAGAGCTGCAACTTTCACATCAATTTGTGCCCATCGTACAAATACATATTTATATATTATACCTGCACACGCATACTGCTGCTCCCGCACACACACGCACACACTTTTGTGGAAAAGTGAACTGTGAACTGGAATAGGAGCGGTGTGTTGGTGAGCTGTGAATTCATTGATTGCTATTGCTCCTTTCCAGGCGCTGGTGACTATATGTCCAGGCCGCGTTCATCTGCCAAAGCCGTGCATTTTAAGCACGAATCGGAGGAGGAGGAGGACGACGAGGAGGAGTACCGACCAACCAGGACTATGCATTCGTTTGGAGACGCGGGAGCCATTGGAAGCGGGGTGCCGGCCTTTTTGGCCAAGTTGTGGCGCCTGGTGGACGACGAGGACACAAATCGCCTAATCTGCTGGACCAAGGTAAGCGCTGAGTCGCCATATTGTTTATTTACCTTTCGAGGGCCTCCCCTTCCACTATTTACCGCTAATCAGCATGGCAACAATGACGTTGCTCGCAGGTGTCTTGAGCTCTCTTTTTAGCTTTTCTCTTCCTTTTAGCTTTGTTGTTGCTGTGCCGCAACGCACGTATGCAAGTTTCTGCGTTGTTGTTTTTGTTTATGTTATTTGCATGCGTACGTGCGTGCGCCCGTCTGTAAAATTTTCCATCTCCAGCTGTCAATTAAAAAAATTTTCCCTTGGTCATTTGGTTTTTCATTTAAGATAAGAGTAATAGGTTCATTCATACTCATCCGACCAAAATATTAGTGATTTAAAAAAAAAAAACAACATATATAAAATGTTTCATGAATGTTTAGTAATTATCAAAAAATGTTTAGTGGTTTTGAAGTATTTTATCTTTTGAACAAAGCTTAAAAATGGTTTATTTTCTGCGTATATATATATCACAATCAGATTATTATTTTTTTATTTAGCGAACATATAAATTCAGGGATTACTGTTTTTACTTTGCGGCCTACTGCAAATTGGTTTGTGGCAACCTCTTATCTTCATTCATATCATTTCCGCTTCTCGCTTTTTTGCAGGATGGAAACAGTTTTGTCATACAAAATCAGGCGCAATTTGCCAAGGAATTATTGCCTCTAAACTACAAGCACAACAACATGGCCAGTTTTATCAGGCAATTAAATATGTGTAAGTAAAATGATAAAAATGCATACATAAATCATCTGATAAATGTTTTAATTTACAGATGGTTTCCACAAGATCACCTCGATTGACAACGGTGGCCTGCGATTCGACCGTGATGAAATTGAGTTTTCACATCCGTTTTTCAAGCGCAACTCTCCGTACCTACTAGACCAAATCAAAAGAAAGATATCAAACAACAAAAACGGGGACGACAAGAGTGCAATAAAGCAGGAGGCCGTTTCGAAGATTTTAAGCGATGTGAAAGTGATGCGCGGCCGCCAGGACAATCTTGACTCACGATTCTCGGCCATGAAGCAGGAGAACGAGGTGCTCTGGCGCGAGATCGCCAGCTTGCGTCAAAAGCACGCCAAACAGCAGCAGATAGTCAACAAACTGATCCAGTTCCTAATCTCCATTGTGCAACCGTCGCGCAATATGTCTGGCGTTAAGCGGCACATGCAGCTGATGATCAACGACACGCCGGAGAACGATCGTGCTCGCACCACCAGCGAGACGGAGAGCGAGGGCGGAGGCGGACCGGTCATCCACGAGGTCAGCGAGGAGCTGCTTGAGGAGGTGATGAATCCCTCGCCGGCTGCATACACCGCAGCATCGCAATACGACCAGGAGAGCGTCTCCCCGCTTGCCGTCGAACGCCCGCAATCGAATATGAGCATAAGTTCGCACAACGTCGACTATTCGAATCAGAGCGTCGAGGATTTGCTTCTCCAAGGCAATGGAACTGCTGGCGGTAATCTTTTAGTCGGCGGCGTTGCCTCTCCGCTGGGCTCCAGTGTCAGTCGCTCGCCGGCCCAGCAAGTTGTCTATACGGTTACCGAGGCTCCGGATTCTCATGCCCCTGAAGTGCCGAACAGTCCGCTGTACCACGAGGAGCAGAATGTGCTCACCACACCCATGGTGCGGGAGCAGGAACAGAAGCGTCAGCAACTCAAGGAGCAAAACAAGCAGCGACGTCGGGAAGATGTTGTAATCGATGGTGAGGGGATTCTGGATGAAGAAATCTCACCGAAGGCGTTACGCACGCGTGCCCAGGTTAATGCCCAATCAAATGCTCCGACTCAGCCCGTGATGATCAAGGCTGAGCCGGATAACAACTCCGGGCTGATGGATCTAATGAACCCAACAAACTCTGATCTGTACAATGTTAACTTCATTAGCCAAGATATGCCGGCGGACATTTTCGAAGTAAGTAGCGGTAAATGCCGCTTAAAGTAGTTTCTAATTAAAAGCGATTTTTGTTTTAGGACTCTTCTTTGCTCCCTGCTGGCGTTGAGGAGGCCGTCAAGCTGGATCAGCAGCAGAAATTCGGACAATCGACAGTGAGCAGCGGCAAGTTTGCCAACAACTTTGAGGTGCCCACCAACAATTCTCTGCTGGATGCCAATCAGGCCTCGACATCGAAGGCGGCAGCCAAGGCTCAAGCCAACGAGGAGGAGGGCATGGCTGTAACCAAGTATATGGGTAGCGAGAACGGAACCCCTCGAGATGCCAACAACCAGCTCCTGAGAATGAATTCTGTGTTAGTAGACAAGGACAATTTAAATCCAATCCAGATAAGTCATCAAGCAAATCCCTACTGTTGCAGTGACGATCTCCACGGACACTTGGACAGCATGCAAGATGAGCTGGAAACACTGAAGGATCTACTGCGTGGCGACGGCGTGGCCATTGATCAGAACATGCTCATGGGTGTAAGTATCTGTTAGTCGGTAGAACACTTTTTGGATTAGCTGTCCGTCTGTCCGACCCAAGGCTTATTTCATAAACGTTTTATTTGCATGATCAGGCGCCTGGCAGGACGCCAATTTTTCAGCTCAACGAAGACGAGCTGCTACTTAAGGTTAGCGCACAGCGTGCACAATTGCTAGGCCAATATGTTTGAAAAATCCCTATCTAAAACTAACAAGTTTTATTTTCATCTATTGCAGCTCTTCAATGACTCTGATCTGCTGGACAACTATGGCTTGTCTTTTCCCAATGATAGCATGAGCAGTGAAAAGAAAGGTTGGTTTGAAAATTAAATCTACACATCCGATCGAAATTAACCGCTCTGACTTTGCAGCGCCCAGTGGCTCGGAACTGATTTCCTATCAGCCCATGTATGATCTGTCCGACATTCTGGACACGGACAATGGCAACAAGGATCAGGAGGCAAGCAGACGCCAGCTGCAGACGCAGAATTCGGTGTTAAATACGCCACGTCACGACGTGTAACTTATATTAAGTAGTAGCAGCTCGGACGCATATCTGGCAAACAAAAAGTTTTCAGTGTTCAACTGAATCAATCTTATACATGTTAATTTTCTTCACCCTCTCTGTCTAACCTTTTAGTTGATTTATAACCATAATCATATTATTAATCACCGTAATCATATTAATGATGCTGTATATGCCTTATGCACTATATATATGATATATAGACTAACCAGTTCTTGTTGGAAAAAGACTCGAAGAATCAGTTAATATTTAGATGTATTTTGTATCCGGGGATTTTGCGGGCCTCGGCTCAGGTAGAAGATTTTTAGTTTGCACTAACCGATCGAGAGAATCACGAAAGCTGCTCAGATCGTAGTCGACGTAAGATCGCGCGCTATAGAATATGCGTTTTACACAATACTTTTATTAATCAATAATAAATAATTGTTTTAAGCTGCATTGAGCTGCGATTGAAATCGTTTGTTTTTCTTTTCGAAAACGAAAATGCCAAACATATACCTTGTTTTGTGCATAATTTATTTGGGATCATTGTTGATACAACTGAATAGATATGGACACATATCGCCTCATCTTAAGACAAATTAACTTAGACTTAGCCTAAGACGCGAACGCAGAATTACAAAAGTATTTGTAATAATTAAACAAAGTGTATACAAATGAATGTCCATCTGGGCGTGTTCGAATGTGCTGATTACCACTAAGGTGACTAAACGAGAATTGTACGTAATGCTTATAAAATTGCGACGCCCTAGGAATCGTCCTTGTACTTGGCGTCCTTCAGAATGTTGGCGAACTCGAATTTTACCCTCTCCCGCTCCGATCGGGGCATGCTGCGCAGTGTGTCCACCAGCGAGAGACAGTACAGCTCAATGGGATCGGTGTACTGCGTCGTCCCTTGTGCTTGGAGAGGTGCCGCTGAAGCCTTACGCTTGAAGGGATTGGTTAGAAAGTCGCTGGGTAGTGTACGTCTAGTGGCCGCCGGCTTGTAGATGGGTTCGATGGTAACCTCTCCGTTGGACAGTGAGCTGTTTTTTATCGGCTTCCGCTCTTGGGTCTGCATATCCTGGTCGTAGCCGTTCCCCATGACCACCATGGGTGTGAGCAGGGGCGAGGAGGCCGGCGAGCTGGGGTGGTCGTGTTCGTGACTGTGATTGCTGCTGCTGTTGCCGTTTAACGTCGTCTGCAGGGATAGCTCTGGCTTGTGCTCTTCCATGACCAGCTGCAGCTCCGGCACAATCTCGTTGTCATCGCTATTGGAGCCATCCTCGCTGTTGTCCAGCTCGATGATGTCGTAGCCCGCGGAGGCGTCGATTTTCAAGTGCTCTGGATCGGGATACAGAAAGCTATTGCTGTCATTATCGCTTCCCCCGCCATTCTGCGGAGCCACATAAGATTGCGATTTCTTGACATTGTAGGTTTGAGCCGTATTTTGCAGGAAGGATAGATCCTCGGTAAAGCGCCTCTTGCGTACATTTGGATTTGCCTGTCCCGTTTCGATTGCCTTGACCTCCTGCAGATAGTTGTAGCGTATGTTTTTCCACTTGGTTTGCAGAAATCGCGCTGTCAGTTTTGGGTGGCAACAAAGAGGGTAGTTTTTATTTACACAATCTACGCAGTGGATATGATGAGAGTTACTTACAGGAGGCCCCCAGTTCGTTGGCAATGCGATCCCATATATCCACTCTTACTGGATTTCGTCGATAGTGAGGATGGCTGACATCATAGATGGCCGGATTGGCACGTACCAGCTTTATCAGACGATCGTCTGCCGGCAAGGATAATATGGAAAAAATCGTTAAAATCTCTTCGCCGTTTCTACGTATGCCGTGTCTTCGCAGCGACAGCAACCCCTAAGCACAGAAGACACAATCCTGCTTTGGGGGTTGATTCTGCGAGCCCCGGTTATTCTGTTCCCTGATTTCACTGTGTACCACAAGCGAACCGAGTGAAACTCACCGAACTCGGGTCCTGTGGTCTCGCGCTCCGCGTAATAGCGCTGCATCTTTTCTGATTTTATGTCCTGGTTTCCACTTCTCCTGCTCATTGCGACTTAGCTTTCCTTTGACTTCAAATTGTTGTCATAGACGGCCGCTTTCTTCTTTTTTTTCGGACTTTCAAGACCGCTCTCGCTGGCGATTCTAAAAGTTTATTTTGCTGCGACCGAATTTACCGTTCGACTCTCCTGCGTTCTCTTCGTTTTTGGTTTACGCGCTCTGCGCAGACTCAAATCGGCTGGTCTTGGCGTTTGGTTATTTTTAGCTCCTTTGTCAGATGCATATCGATTACCAAGAAAGAGGAACCGATAGCCGCACATTGAAAAGGTGGCAACTATTGTAAAGAGGCGCGTATTTCAAAAGCCTTACACTGTGTCTACTTTACAAATATAAAAATAGTAATTTTGTAAAAAAGACACCGACCTTTTTGTTTTGAAATCATAAAAAAAATTAATTGTATTTGTATTTCTTTGGTCATGTTTGCCCTTAAATTTGTTATTAACATTTAGGACAAATTTTCAAATTCAAAAACAAAGTAAAAAGTATTAAGGAAAAGATTCTGCGCCAAATGAGAGATATTTATCACAATTTTAATCAAAATTTAAACAGGTGTTTTTCTTCAATTTTGTTTGTTTACATAATCCAAATTTCGCTGGCCAATAAAACAAACATCTTTTACTTTGACAAGGAGCACTTATTTATTTAAAAATACTTTCAATGAAAACAATACAAAAGAAGATAGGATTTTCGCTTCGAGTTAAGCTCTTAGGCCGCCTTAACGAAGGCGCCTGCGAAAAGGATGTTCTTCTTGTTCCAGATGACGTAGAGGAAGGGCCTGTCCGCCTGGAACTGCAGGGGGAAGGTCATCATGCGGGTCATCATGATCATTCCGGTGGCAGCTGCCGCCTCGGTGCCCTCTTCGTTCACCTCGATGGTGGCTTTATGCAGTACCTTTGACACAAAGACGCCTTCCGGGGATTCCAACAGATTATTGAACTCGGCTTCATCCGTAAACATTTTCTTGACACCAAGCTGAAAGTTAAAACAAACAAGGGCCGGGTAAATAACTAATGAGGTCATTCGCTTGAGCGTTCATTATCGATTAGATAAGATGAGGTGTGTCACATCCGACTGCAACTAAAATTCTATAACGTTTTGAGTTCTTGAGGTTGATACATGATCTTTACCGCGAACCGCAAGCAGCCCACAAAATAGGGCTCCCCGTTTTGGTTATCTAAAACACCTTACCGGCGATAAGCTACTAAAAATAATTCGTACATCAAACGAGAAACATTTAAAGATAAGAAGTCAATAAATATTTTCGGGGCGGATTGCAGTGCTGCAACGTGTCCATAAAGTGGACTGTTTCCCGGTTTTATGAAGGCATAAAGGGGCTACTGCTAATTATAGCTTATTGTTTCACCCGAAACACGCAACTTTACTTATAAGGAAGTCATTTGTCGTAAACTGGGTCAAGAAAAGGTGTCAAATTACGTAAAAGCGAAAGTTAACCTTGATATATTGGAATGGAATAAATAAATTTTCCACCTAATAACGCGTGTTATTTTGCAAAAGAATTTGGGTTTTCCTTTTTTTGTGTTAGATGAGAATATCTTTTCTTTAAATTCTTCTTCCTTACCTGCTTAAGTTTCTCGGCCAACTCCAGAGAGTAGTCCACCTTGAACTTGGGGAACTTGACATGAACTTCTTCCACCGTCAACTTGTCGGCTAGATCCACCAGGTTCACTGTCTTGAGCTTCTCGGCCAGGGCGTAGATCCCAGTACGCTCTTGCGGTAGCAGTACAAACATGGAGAGATCAGAGTCCTGGTAGGGCATCTCTAGGGCTGTGCAGCCCAGATCCTCGAAGTAACCGTACGCGAACTTGGCCTTCTGGTTCATATAGCTGATCTTAACCTGCTCCTCCTCGCCTACCCAGAAATCATCCTCCTCGGTGCGTTCCTGGTTAAATTTTTGCGCCCAGTTGCCTTTGAAGTGGAGGGCATTGAGCAGAACCAATCGGGTGTTGTCCGTGAAGGAATCGGAGCTTACCAGCTCCGTAATCTTGCCCTGCGTTTTGGCGTTTACCCACGCATTGATGGCCTGGGCTGCGGCATCGCTGAGTGCAAAGTTAATAGACTCGGCCTCCGAGTGATACTGCTCCTTGATGGCCTCCTGATAGGCTGCTTTCAGCTGCTTGCCCTCCTGCACGTACAGTTTGTTGGCCACTCGCAGCAGGTTGCTATTGCGATACTGCTCCAGAACGAACTGGAAAGTCTGTGCGACCTCCGGAGGAAAGTTGGACACAAAGTGCAGAGCCTTGGCGATCTCGTCGGCCGTTTCTCCTTGGGATCCTGCAAAGGCGAGTGCTATGCACGTCTGGATGGAGAAGGGCGAAAAGACTACGTTCTCCTTGAAGCCACCGGTTGCCAAAAGCTGAAACAGTTCCGAAGTGAAACGGGCGCCTCCACGCGCGAATTCCAAGTTAAAGTCGAACATATTGATGGGCTGGCGAGATTGTAGGTGTGCTGCGTAATCGCGGAATTGCGTGTACTTGTTTGCTAGTCCGCTGTCTACACCGGAATGCCTTAAATGCGGTTTGGGCTCATGGCTAAAGTGAAAACAGCCGGCGGATGAGTCATTTTCAAAAACATCATCAAAACAATCAAACCAAAGAGGTGGCGTCACCCACACCCTGCCCCTGTGACCTTGAAGGGTTCCCCAGGATTATCCGATAAACAAAGGCGACCAGACCATCTATTTATACCCATAATATTTAAGATGATGCCGTTTTTCAGTAGAAATTTCATATAAATAAGTTTTTTAATGAAATTTCACAAAGTGACCATAGGTATAGGCGCCTAAAATTACCAAATGTTGTGTACTACAAGCTACTAAAATATACTTCCTTGTTTTTAAATTTTAAATTTTGTTTTTATTAATTTGTATTATTAACAATAGAAAAAAAATATGTTGATTGCATAAAACTTGATAAAAAACATTACATAAAACATAAAATAAATATGGGGCAAAGACATCTTCAGGAGCAAAACCTATTATAAATATAATAGATAATATAAAGCATTCAAAGACTCTTAAAACTGCTTAAATAAATAGAAATTACTTTACCAAACTATTTTATTGTGTAAGTAATAGATTTTTAAATACAAAATTTATTTAGCGAGTGCACCCTCCAGTTTCAAATTATTTTGCTACCGCTTTTCGATAGAAAAATACCACAGTCTCGGCTGCGCAGCCCTGGCGGTACTGCGCGCGCGCTTTCCAACACCGTTCCACGCAACCCACCCCGCTTCCCGCTTGCCTACAAGCCATTATTTTTCGAGTTTCATCCGCAGCCACAGTGCAAAATAGGTTTATCAATTTAATTTAAGTGTTAAAGTAGTTCTAAAGTGTTTTTTAAGTTGCGCACGCGATCGAGGCCACCCTGGATGGATGTGCATTGTGCCCGCCGATCGATTGGAGTTCTTTCATAGAGTATAAGGTGATTTTGCCGTGACTTTTGCGCACGAGAAAATCATTTTTTTGGGTACGGAAGAAGGTGAGTTGCGACTGCAGATCGTTATGCCACTCTTGATTTGGATGGGGTTACGGCAGAGAATCCGCGGATCTGGGTCCTTGAACCCCTTGCAATGCATAAAACCTGAATTGCGCACTGCAGCTGCATTTTATCGGATTTCATTTCAAAACAGTCAACATAAAACAACCCGCAATGCCGAAAGAACCAGAAAAGTGCAACAAGGAGTGGTTGCTTGGCAGCGAACGCTACTGAATTGAACCCTTCTACCTTCTGCCCGCCGCTTGTCACAATTTGATTTAGGCCGTTGTCGTCGCTTCAGTTGCATTTGCCATTTGCATTTCGCATTTGCATGCGCTGCATGCAGTTGCAACTTGTTTACGCACAATCGCCGCACAAAGAAACACCTCCCGGGCCTTTGTGCGGCCAAAGGAAAACATTGTTTATACGTGTTTCATCCTTGTTTTTCTCATTCTTTTTTTTTTGTCCTTGCAGCTGCAGTCGCCGTTTGAATCCGTAGTTGCAGAGGTTACATCTCCAAGATGCAGCACAATGTTCATGCCGCCCGGCCAGCGCCCCACATCCGGGCTGCCCACCATCACAGCCACAGTCACAGCCACGGACATATGCAGCTTCACCCGGGGATGGAGCAGCATCTGGCCACTAGTCTGCAGCAACAGCAACCGCCCCAGCAGCCTCCACATCGCGACCATCTTCATGCGCGGTAAGAAATCGAAACTTTTGGAAGAATCTAGCTGTGGATTGAAAAAAAATAAGGGATTTCCCATTGTAATATTTTCGGGAAGAAGTTCTGCTGTTTGGAGCCTTTGGGGCTTAGGAATAATGTATGTTGCTTTGGGTTTGTCGAACCTTTGGAAGGCAATATTGTCAAATAAATTTGCTCTACAGCTCGTTTCTCATATAATTTCATTCGGTTTATCTCATCGGATGAGTTGGTTAGCAAGATAAAGATACGTTTTGAATCGGTTTGAGCCAGGGATCGAAGGGGTTATTTCTAACATAAAATAATAGCTTATCAAAAACAAAATGGGAGTACTATGAACTATATAATTTTAATCACAGCAAATCACTGAATAGGCAATGGCATTCAGTTTGTTTCCAGAAAAGGGGTCACATTTCCCTCGCATAGTTAGATCTCATTAAAAGGATAACCTTACCTTGGCTTAGTTTGATTTTAAGAAAGGAAAAGGCGGCTCCCTGACTCAGTTGGATCTCAGAGGAAAGCCACATCTTCCTTGCTCGCCAGCTTGTCTGTGCTTTATGCGTTGCGGCAATTATGTTAATTCCTGTCACTGACAATCGGTGTGAGACTCATCATCCCATTTTCTCAACTCATAAATTATAATTTCAGTGGCTCTTTGTTCTTTCGCGCTCAGCATGACTTCCGCTTGATGATAACGGGTTTGCCCTGCCGAGCGCGCTGCAATTATCCTTGACGTTCGCGAGGATCCTTCGGCTCGGCCCCTAGAAGTTCAGGCTCCTCGTATTGCCTGCGATCATATGTTTTGCAAAACTCTCACTGAACTTCTCATCCCGCTCGGCCTTTAGTTGCGTTTTGCCTGCCGATCGGATCGGGTCGCCCATGAATTTTCCAACGGTTTGAGTGAACTTGTAGCTTGCAGGCGATCTCAGATTCTAACGTACTCTTCGTACGATTTCAAAACGATCATGAAACACATTCATCAGCGCAAAGTGAGAGGTGAAATATGCAAGAAGATTGTAGCCATAAGAAGTGGACTTGGGAGTCAATAAGATGACGGAATGACATAAAGTGAGATTGATAAAATAAATACCAAAAAAGGTAAAAATTTCCCAAAAACGTGTAAAGTGTTTGGTGTACAGATCTCAGTTTTAAAAAATAATCAAATTCTAAAACACACTTTAAGAACATTATTCACCACAAGATAAATTAATGATCAAACTGTGCATTTTAGAGCAGATCAATTACCTTTGTCTTCATATCTTGGAAGTTTATTATCGCATATCAACTGATCCTAATCACAAATTGCCCATATCAATGTTAATTTGAAGGCTTGTTTCCTGCACTGATTTAGCGATTATAAATTGCCGAAAATATTTCTTCGTCTGGCGAAATGTTCGAGTTGCTGTAGGTAAATGCGTTTGAGTGTTATCCTACCCTCGATGGCGATTGGGGAGAGAGGGATCGAGGTCGAGGGTAGGGAGCAGGAAAAGGAGCAGGGTGTCGCAGTAGGTGCGTCTCAATTGAAACTGACAGTTGGCGAAAAATGACACGATGCGTAAGAGAATGCGGCTTTTGTGCTTTGTTAGGATTTTGGCCATTGTTCGTCCTCGCCGCTGTTGTCTGCGATTCCGCAGGCACAACAACACACGGCAAGGGACCTTCTAGGACCTTGCTCATTGGGTGTTTTTTTTTCTGTTTTTTTTTTTTTTGCTTTTCCCGTGCGCTAGTCGTCGATGTACACTTTTGTCTCTCGATGGCCTCTATAATCCTCTTGGCGTGCATTGTTTGCTGATCTAACCGCAAAAGCCAGCGCATCCGCCCGGGGAGCTTTTACTTGTGGCCATCGATTAACCAATTTGCGTGCTCTCTGCTCCGCCTTGCAGTCTGAATCATCACCATCTCCACGCTCAGCAGCAGCAGACGCCGTCGAACCAAGCCGCCGCCGTCGCTGCGGCTGGGGCTGCCTATCACCACGGCAACATCAACAGCAGCAGCAACAGCAACATCGTCAGCAACAGCAATCAGATGCAGAAGATCCGCCAGCAGCACCAGCACTTGAGCAGCAGCAACGGCCTCCTCGGTAGCCAGCCGCCTGGACCACCGCCGCCGCAGGCGTACAATCCGGCTGCCCTTGCCTACAACCAGCTGCCCCCGCATCCACATCCGCCGCCGCCCCACCACATGGCCGCCCATCTGGGCAGCTATGCCGCTCCACCGCCCCACTTCTACATGAGTCAGGCGAAGCCCTCGAACTACAACCAGTACGGCGGCAACAACAGTAGCGGCGGCAACAGCAGTAGCAACTACGCTCCGAAGGCCATTCTGCAGAATACGTACAGGAACCAAAAGGTTGTGATTCCGCCACCGGTGCAGGAAGTCGCCGCGGTGGCAGAGCCGCCAGTGAACAAAACCGCAAGCACCTCCGCCAGCAGCAACAGCAACGCCAGCAACAACAACAGCAACAACATAGTCAAAGCCAGCGAGTCCGCCAGCCAAGAGGAGGCCTCACAGGAGCACGATCCCACGGAGGAGCGAGCTCCGTCAGCCGACGACTGCAGCAGCACGGAGCACATCGATGCCACGGGCACCCTGTCCAACGAGGACACGAGCAGCTCGGCACGCGGCGGCAAGGACAAGACGCCCATGTGCCTGGTCAACGAGCTGGCCAGGTACAACAAGATCACGCACCAGTATCGGTTGACAGGAGAACGAGGTCCGGCCCACTGCAAAACCTTCACGGTGACCCTAATGCTGGGCAACGAGGAGTACTCGGCGGATGGCTTTAAGATCAAGAAGGCGCAGCACTTGGCCGCTAGCAAGGCCATCGAGGAGACCACGTACAAGCATCCGCCGCCGAAGATCAGGCGAAGCGAAGAGGGTGGCCCCATGCGCACCCACATCACGCCGACGGTGGAGTTAAACGCGCTGGCCATGAAGCTGGGACAGCGCACGTTCTACCTGCTCGATCCCACACAGGTTCCCCCGTCGGATCCCATGGTGCCGCCGGAGTTCGGAGGAGCTCATTTGCTGGCGGCGCCGGGAGCGGGAATGCCACAGCAACCTCCGCCACCCGCATATGCTCTGCGGCAGAGGCTCGGCAATGGATTCCTGCCCATTCAATCGTCGCCGATGCCTCCGCATTTCTTCCACGGTCCCGGCCAGCGACCGTTCCCCCCGAAGTACCCGTCGCGGTTTGCGCTGCCCCCGCCCCTCGGCCCGCACGTCCTGCACGGCCCCAACGGTCCGTTTCCCCCAGTGCCGACGCCGCCCAGCAAGATCACCCTGTTCGTGGGCAAACAGAAGTTCGTGGGCATCGGACGCACGCTGCAGCAGGCCAAGCATGACGCGGCGGCCAGGGCGCTGCAGGTGCTCAAGACGCAGGCGATTTCCGCCTCCGAGGAGGCACTCGAGGACTCGATGGACGAGGGCGACAAGAAGTCGCCGATCTCGCAGGTGCATGAGATCGGGATCAAGCGCAGCATGACCGTGCATTTCAAGGTGTTGCGCGAGGAGGGACCGGCGCACATGAAGAACTTCATCACGGCCTGCATCGTGGGCTCAATTGTCACCGAGGGCGAGGGCAATGGCAAGAAGGTCTCCAAGAAGCGGGCCGCCGAAAAGATGCTCGTCGAGTTGCAGAAGCTGCCGCCTCTCACGCCCACGAAGCAGACGCCCCTGAAAAGGATAAAGGTGAAGACCCCGGGCAAGAATGGAGTTGCGGCGGCGGGCGCTGAAGGTGCCGCGCTGGTGGGCAAACCCGAGAGACGCAAGCGCCTCAATCCGCCGAAGGACAAGCTGGTGGACCTGGACGATGCGGACAATCCCATCACGAAGCTGATTCAACTGCAGCAGACGCGCAAGGAGAAGGAGCCCATCTTCGAGCTGATAGCCAAGAACGGCAATGAAACCGCTCGTCGGCGGGAGTTTGTAATGGAGGTTTCCGCCAGCGGCAGCACAGCCCGTGGAACAGGCAACAGCAAGAAGCTGGCCAAGCGAAATGCGGCGCAGGGTGAGTTAATGCTGCTCGATGATGAGTCCTTTGTACTTTATTTTCCTTGATGCTTTGGTAGCTCTCTTGGAACTGTTGGAAGCGGACGAATTCAATCCCAGCAACGAAACAGAGTCATCGGAAGACGGCAGCACTTCTGCAACAGTGTCTGTGGTCACGCCGCCCGAAGTGGAGGCAACTGCAGAAGCCGAAGTGCCCATGGTAGCAACGCCAGTGGGTCCCATGCCAGGGATTCTAATACTGCGACAGAACAAGAAACGTGAGCTCAAGCTGCTAATATTACGAGCAGGGTTATATATAATAGATTTTCTCTTCTACAGCAGCGAAAAAGAGGGACCAAGTTATAGTTGCCAAGGCCAACGTGGAATCGAAAGGGGAGGAGGACAAAAAGGAAGAAACTGTTGCCGAGGAGAAGAGCAGCGCAAATGGAACTTCTGGCGACAGCAGCAGCGATTCCCAATCTACCGAAGCGGCCAGTGAAAGTGCGCTGAATACTTCTAGCGGCAGCAATACGAGCGGTGTGAGCAGCAACAGCAGCAATGTGGGCACCTGCAACGCTGGCAACAAGGAGAACACCAGCAGCAACACGGGCAACGGCAGCAGCAACACGGAAAACAGCAGCACCAGTACAAGCAGCACACCGAGCACAGGAGTCCACATGAAAGAACAGCTCCTTTATCTAAGTAAACTGTTGGACTTTGAGGTATGTTTAAATATATTGGTAGTGTGATTTATGAGTTAATTGTAGATTAGCTAAGAAGAATTTGAAGTGTAATAATAATAATGTAATATCATTTCAGGTCAACTTCTCGGACTATCCCAAGGGCAATCACAACGAGTTCCTGACCATTGTGACGCTTTCCACGAATCCACCACAGATCTGCCATGGCGTTGGAAAGAGCTCCGAGGAGTCACAGAACGATGCGGCCAGCAATGCACTGAAAATCCTCAGCAAACTGGGCCTCAACAATGCCATGAAATAAGCATTAACCGTTGAACAAATTCTTAAAACCCTTATTAACTGCAATTTTTGTTGTTGCACATATGCAAGATAAAAACAAAAACAATTAAAATACCCGTCCACAAAGCAAACCTAAACAAAATCCAAAAACCAAGCTGTGTGCAAATTCAGAAAAGAAGAAAAAAGAAATGGTAATTGAAGCAATGCAAGAAACAGTACTTTTTGAAATAGCAAATTATTAGTTAATACCTATTTATTTATTTATGTGCAAGTTGTGCAACCAGGTGTTATTATTTTATTTATTTGTTGTGAATTGATTAACGAAGCGAACTGATTGTAACCGAAATTGAACAGAAGCGAACACTGAACAGAGCCGCATAATTAATCCAAAACGAGAATTGAACAATAACTAGACTTAATGAGAAACCAACAAAATCGAGAACGAACAGATGCAAGTGTTTGCACTTTATAACCTTAGGATTAAAGCTGAAGTTAATGGCTCAATAACCACTTGAATTGAATTGATGAACAAAGGACTATTGATCCCTCTTAGCTGCAAGCGTCAATAGCTTTCAAAAATAAATACAAAATTTCTGAGCACTCCGGTGCAGGACAAAATTTAAAGGATATCCACATTTGTCGGGATAAACCAGGCCGTCATAGAAAAAGAGAAGAGAAACATTTTGATTTATTTTTCAAAGCAAGACAACCATTAACCGCTTGTGGAAAAATGCTTGATGAAACTCGTCGAATAATGAATCTATTATACGTATACTATATTTAAGTGTAAAGCATAAGAATCGGCGAATATAGAAATGTCGTATACCCCATCAACCGTCGGTTTCCCAAACTTTCAGCAAATATTTCAATTTGACAAACGGCAAAGAGTTTGCAAGTTGAACGCACGCTTTGCTGGATTTTGGAGATTGACAGCTTATGGCAATGTCGGCGATCACGCCGAAGCATACAATATAAAATACAATTTACATAATCGTTATAATTATAATTACGAATGTTTAATAAGCCATTTTTGTAAATGTTCAGCTTTTGGCAAGTGCAAGAGCTAAAAGCTGAACATCCTTATGAATAATGAATCGTGTTGTTTAATCTACCATGTTTTTTGTCCCCCAATGTATCTTGCTTGTTTTTGAATCCGTTTTATGTTAGTTATGTTATCCTGTCCTCAATACACACACACACACACACACAACTCGAAATTTCAAGTACCATAGTTTTAAATGCGTTTGCCCCTTAACAGCACCAGTTGATTAAGCGTTAAGTTGCGTTATGTAAAATGTATTTTGTCTAAGCAATCGCGTCGGCCGCAATGTGCATGATTGCTTCGCGATCTGCGATCCCAACCTAAGCTTAAGCCCCAGCGAACTGTAACCGTTGAAATTGAAGTCAAACCCAGTATTAAATGTATATTTAAGGGCAGCTATCAGCAACTCCCGTAACTACTTACTAGACTCACAGACATCGTGCACATTGTTCGCGCCACACAAGTTGTTCGTTTTGTCAGAAGATTTTGCAGACCCAAATGCGATGCGATCATAGTCGTGGTCATATAAATTGATTGTGGGGAGTGGAGGTGGTGTCTGCTTTGCAAAGTCTTCACAAAATTGATTGAAATTATTAATCTTAGTGCGAGGCGTATTCGCAGTACCAACAAGGCGTGAAGATCTGTTCATTAACACCAAATAAAGGCATCCGAGTCAAGATGAGAGAACACATTTATTAGTCTTAAGCCTGCCCCCACACACTCACTAAGTTTTGTCTATATGTAATGTGACACATAAGCATGTTATATCATAAAAACCATGAAAGCCCCTCAATGAAACTATGTAAAATGTAATTATACGAATAAACAGTGAAATAAAGTTGGAAGTGAGTGTTTGATTAGTTTGGAATCGAAGTTTATAGCAGATCTTTCTGCTCAAATGCCAACGCCAAAACCCCCTTATTGACAACCCATCGCCGTTAAAAACTATGATTTATGCGATCATAAATTAATTTATGGCTCTGGCTTCCCTGCCCTGCCCTACGTTGAAAATATTTGTGACAGGTGGTATAATATGTAATACCAGCAGAAAACCCCAACAGCTCCGTTACATAAAGTATCATAAAAATTAGGGAAAATTATATTTTTGAATTTACAATCGAAATGCCGGCGTCAAAGGGAGAGAGGCGGCCATAAACTTATAAATACATAAACGATTGTTAATTTGGCAAAAACAAAAGCCATTTCGCAATCCCAAATCACAAACTCTAAACGGTTTAAATGCCCAAATCAGATTATGATGTGCCGACAGCTTTGGCTGACTAATCGATGACAAATGTTTATGTAAAATGGGTGCTCAACTCAAAATAAAGAAAGAGTTATAAACGGTTTCTAAACATTTTACTATGACGAAAAGATTTTATAAACATTGAGTTACGCATGCGTAAAAATTAATCCATTCTTAAATGTTTAAATGACTTAAAGGATTTATTTAACGTTTGATATTCTTATCGGTAATTAAAAATGGGAAAGGTGAGGTACTTTCACCTCCTTTTTAATATTCTCCAACTATGATGCCGACCTATAAAACATAATTGTATGTAGTGTACGATGGGATAGGCCCGGGTGCAGCTCCTCCACTTTCTCCGCTGGCATTTGGCTAGTTTTTGTGGCAATCGTGCGATTAAAACAAAAAGAAAATAAAAAAATTAAACGTGTGGCCGGCAAATGCATAATAAATACATAAAATTAAATTAATGCTCCGCTTGCACATCGGCCAAGTCCACCGATTCGACGGCTTTCCGGCAAAATCAAAGCGATTCCGGCGATGCCCGGCTCTCTGCCCCTCCATTTGCATATGCATTTCTCTGGGGGTTTCGGGGGCTTTGGGATCTCTTTGGATTGGGAATCTTCGGGGATCCAAGTGCCCAATCGAGGGGCGAGAGCAATTTTCTGTCCCTCTCGCCTCTGATTAATTTATGGCGCTGATAATAATCCGGCAGCAGCGTTTCAGAGTAGTAGCGTGTGATTATGAAATTTGGCTTGCCAAAAGAAATCAATAATATGAGCCGCGGAGAGAAATGGGGACGTTGAAGTAGAAACAAGATACCCGAACCTCCGAGATGAGTGGAAATTAACATGTGTTTGTCAGACGCCGTTTGCCGGCATCTCCAGCTTCATCTGCATATATAGTATGTTGATGTGATGTAATAGGCGTTTGATTATTTTGATTTTGGTTTGGGGTTTGGAGTTTGGGGCTGGGGTTTTGAAGTCTTCGGAATTTTTCTGGCGGCTACGGAAATGGAGCTTCACACACATTTCGGCCGAGCAATTAACCAAATCAATGCAAGTAATTTGATTTAGAAATGCCTGCCTCCAATCAGGCATTTGCTTACATCACTTTAAAAATTGGAACCCTAAACGCATTTATATAAATTGAAAGCGATACTCGGGAATTTTTACTCCAAGGAAAGTGAAACTTGGCTGTTCACAGCACTCGATTATCTCACAAGTGTGCGTGTGTTAATTTTGATTTATTCGAATAGTTTTGAAAACCTTTTGAGTAATGCGATGTTTGACATGCGTTTAGAAGCGACGCCCATCAGTCTTCGCCTTCGCGTGGAATCGATTCGGTGGGAATGGCTCCTCCACTTGGCTTATTTGCATGCTAAGCCCACTGTTTAAGCGGAAAACAAATGATTGAAGCCAACTAATGATGATTACCGATCCACTGTTCCACTGCTCCGTGGTTCTTCGGTGGTCATCGGTTGCGTGCTCCCGCGAATCGAAAATTTGTGTATGAATGTTCCCCCCGCCTGGCCGGTAATCAAATTAAAGTCTCGATGAATGGATGGATGGTTTGCGATTGGCTAAAGCCATCCTCTAAAATTTTAATGCGATCGGATTTGCATATAATTAGTGTCGGACTGGGAGATAACTCCATATGGCCAAATCCAAACGTCTGCCCATCAAAATATTGTCTTTTCTTGGCAATGTATTTGCAGAAAAATAAATTGCTTTTATATGCACTTGGAGTAGTTATTTATACTACTAAAATATTAATTTAAACTACATTAGTTCAAATGTAACCTTATGTTTTGATCTCGATTTAATTTTGATCTGCAATATTTCATTTTAATTTGTTTGTTTTTAGTTTCATTTCTTATTGGTATCAATTTATCTTCATTTAAAGTGGCCAGTAACAAGTTTTTTCGTACAAGATTCGAAGCCAATCGATCATCTATTAGTTAGTTTTTATGGAACAAATACATTTTTTTTACTTGGTAGATCATAATTATTCCTTTTCGGTTATAATAAAGATATAAAAATATATTTATTCCGGCGGATGGCACGTGATCTAACCGTAAGAATTGTACCTATTTGATTAAAGTCTCCTCCGACACAGCGAAGTATATCGCGTTCTTGGCCTTTTCGTTGGCAAATTCAGTTTTAATAACAGTTTAGCCCGCAAATTTTTTCTTGACAGCCGAGATAACCCGCAATTAAAGGCAGGCCAAATGATGATGTGCAGACTCAATAATTTATTTGACACGTGCAGGAAGTAAAGATTTTAACGCCGAACCGAAACTGTGAGCCCGCATTGGCCGCAGGTGGAATATCAAAGAATATATAACCGAGTCCATATAGCGACGGTCTGTAGTGGAGCAAGATGAATGACTGGCGATCGGCCAACAATTGGATTACTTAATTTATGAAAAGAAAACACTTCCCAGCAGCAGCACAAAGGAAACACTTGGAAGCGAGCCGCAGACAAATTGTTTGCTTCATTTATTATGCCGGATAATTGAAAGAATTTGCCAGGTGATTATTTTGATTGTACCCATTCAAATCAGCGGGCCGTTTATCATCCGGCGATTCAATCAATTGCTGGCACTGCCAAGTGCTTGGCTTCTATTATCCATTGCATAATGATCACCGTTTTCGTAGGAGGTAGTTTGCATAAATACGGCTTTTCGGATCTTGAATTGTGCGTCGGTAGGAATATAAATAAATATGATTAGTCAATTTGATCGATGTCCGACAATGCCGAATGGCAGGCAGCCCGTGTTTGCTTTTATTCGGTTTTATTTATCTATTTATTTACTTTTTGTCTTTGTTTCAGCGGATTTGTCAAAAAATAACTAATTTGCCAATGAAAGAAAACATATGAAGTGTCATGTTTAGAGATAACACACAGTCAAAAGGTTTAGAAAAGATACAAAACTGGAGAAGTGTGAAGGGGTCATTGAATGAAGCACCGAGCGGGGAAACACTCTACCAGAGAGGTTTTTTCATACGAGTATTCTTACCGGAATATAGTTACATATTCACAGAACAAATGGGTAAATTTCTATTAACCCCTTGTTTTTTTTGTTACTCTTAAGGAATTAGAACTAGTTTGATTGTCAAGGATGTTTTTATTCAATATATAATCAGTAAACATAAGAAGATTGTACATGTCTGTTTTGGCAGGGTATTAGCCCAACAAAAAACGGAATAACTAAAAGCCAATAGCTGACGGAGTGGTAATGATGGGTGATATGGCCAAAACTGAAGCGTGCATAATTAAAACGTTGTCTCTGACCCCTCACTTAAGTCACCACCACCACTCCGAAATCCCCTTTTCTTTGGCTGCCTTTCGAGTTGTTAACTTTTTTGCAGCATGCAAAACTTATGCAACGCATGTGTGGAAAGCGGGGAGTAGGTGGTGGTATCTCTTAGTAACCCAAGCCCTGGGCTTCCCGTTTCCTTATGAACTCCTCGATTGCTCCTTCAGGTGTCCAAGTTCCGAAGAGGGCGTTTCCCAGGTCCAAAAAGGCTCTAAACAGAGCCGGATAATCGGTGTTTGGTCGGTCTAGGGAGTCATCGTCCATTGGAATGGCCAAAGTTTGAGTTGGAAGGATTGCTGCAGCAATGAGAGCTGCTAAAAAAATTGTAAATGCAGTCCCGGAAAGCATTTCAACTGGCGCTCAACTGACGATCGGTTGCAGTTGCATCATCAGTGCACTTTTTATAGGGATGCACATGAGCAAGTGGCACTGAAAGTTGCTGACCCACTTCCCAATGTTGCCACAGTTGTCGGCCTGTAGGCTTAGGTCCCCGAATCGGACTTGTAAATATAATAGTACACTTACCAAAAACTATTCTATATTTTTATTGATTACCTTAGAGTCTCTTAAAGAAACAGTCCTATTAATCCTTATACAACATAATTATTGGTATAGAAAGAAAATTTACTTTCAGAAAGATCATTTAAATCTCATATTAATAAAATTTACATGTGATGTAATGAAATCAAAACGACCTTTTGAAACCTAATTATTGATTCTGATTTTTAAAATAGTTTCTGTGGGGAGACTTTTTACGAAAGAAAGATTTTTTATACCGACATTTTTCTCGGTGCAGGCATTGCAAATATTTGGCCACTTGTTCGACACGTTTATCGGCAAAAACATGGGAAAAAAACATTTAAGCGGATCAGGGGCAGATATTGTGGCAAACAATTTTTCAGCTTGTCCGCTTGTTGGATGGCGCTCAAAATCCAATTTGTAGAACGCACGCTCACCAAGGCGTTTAATATGCGTGGATCTGCGGATCTGCGGATCGGCGGGCCGGCGGATCCACGCTCACATGACACCGCCAACGCCACAGTCATTCATCAATCATTTGGCCAAAAGAGCCACCGAGCCAAAAACGCGCCTCAAGTGCAGCTGCTTAGCAGCGCTTAATGTTAATTGATCGAGCTTTTGTTTAATTAAAATTTTAGATTTGGGTCACACGATACTCAAACGCGCTCTTAGGTTCAAATGCGGAAGTCAGGCCCCTTTGGGCGAGCTCCTCTTCCTTCTTAACGTACCCCCTACTTATATGTCTATTAACCTCAGCGGCTACATAAACCTACTCGATAAATTATGCGGCACATGGAAGGAATCTGGCTTCAACCCGATTTGCCGCATTTTTCAGGTCGTGTGAAAACCGAAACCAAATGAAATCGAAAGCGAGTTGGTTAAAGACAGTGAAAGCCATAAAGAAGAACCTTTGAAAATTATGATGTTAACAAATTAAAATGAGCTCCAGCTGAAGTTATTAAGAAGCTTTATAAAATGAGTAATGGAATGAAATTTAGTATGTTGCTCAATCAATATTTTGGTTTACTTAAAAATTGGTTCCAATAAAAAACCAGAAGTGGGCCACAGTTACAAATTTGTATTTGTGGGTATCATTAATTAATCACGTTCCCAATAAATATATTTTTTAACATTTTACAAACGCCTTTCGAGGTCAACTAAGGTAAAACATAAGTGAATGCTATTGACCTAGAAAGGAATACATTTCTCTATGCTGCCCACATTTTGTGGTTTGCTCGGAACTATATTTTAAACTTAACTGACATGCTTTATACAAAAAGTAATAAAATGTATTGCTAGTTACCCAATTGCGAGCAGTAAATCATATATACCCACGATTCGAGTTTCCACTGTTGTTTAATTTCCCGTGCATCCACGCCCTAAAGGAAGATAGTTGACAGCATTTACTGTCCCCTTTCTTTTGTGACTTTTTATTTTTATGGACTCCAACTGATACTGTTATGTAGACTGGCAGCAGCCACATCTTCAGCAGCAGCAGCAGCAGCAGCAGCAGGTTGTCACCGGTTTTCCAGCGGAAACATCGTCATCATCATCGTAATAATCATCATCATACGCAATCGATTGGGCTTTTGTTGCGGTTTTGTTTTTTGGTCGGGCTTGTATCTTCTTCTTTGACGCATATTTCGGGGTCTGAATGTCTGGCTGCCGCTGCTGATTTTGGATGCTGCTGCGCTGGCCGAACTCTTTTGGCCAAAATATTTCGATTACCTTTGGATGGTCGAGTTCAGTTCAAGTTCGCGGCTCGAACGGTTCAGTTTGTCTTGTCTTTCCGCTCCGCCTACGGTATCAACTCAGTAAAGGATAACCCCAACCGACTTGCAGGATAATGCTTAAGCCCCGCTTCAGCTAGTGTGATTGTGAATTTGTTTACTCGAAAGTATTTCTGTGCTACGAAACGAAAAGTTCCCAAAAACCCGAAATCTAATTAATTTTCGGTCCAGTTTTATCGTTCGTTCGGAGATTTATAAGGTAAAAATGTGACTGCATGGAGAACAAACAGAAATAATCATCTGCCAAATGCGAACAATAAATATGTACTCATTAAAAAGCTGGGCATGACAAATATCACACGCCCACTAAGTCGAAGAAGCTTAAGATACAGTAAGCTCATTTGTGAGCTCAAACATATTTAGATCTTTTGATAAATGAGATTGTGAGAACCAAGATTTTTATGGTCCAAATCTGGGAATGAAAATATGACTGTATTTCTCAGGCATATTTATGATTTGATGAGCAATGGCTCAATAAATAGGATTGAGTTGGATGATTCATAAAACATCGCTATTCCTAAATAAGATTTTTAAAAGGATCAAGCAGTCAAGTTTCCCATCCTTTTTTATTACAAAATGTTTCACATATCCTTTTACAAGAATACTATGGTGAAACCTTATACTTATTAAAAAAATCTATTAGAAAATATAGAACTTGACTTATTGCACAATAATTGATTACTTATTTATTTAATCTTTACGTGGCCCATATTCTTAAATTCTTATGTCCCACTCTTTTGCAATCCTTTTATCCGCTAGAAGCTTATTTTCGTTTGATTACTGATGCAGATTTAATGAGACCTAATCCGTAAGCGATATGTTTACATAGCAAACTTCTCGAGCTCTTGAATCGAAATAGCTATACGGATATAGAAACGGCAAATCACGGAGCCCCGAGATCGACGAGACAGCCAGAAGTGGCTCACTCTCAATCTCTTGTGTTACGCACTGGATTTACGTCATCTGTCCATAACCGAGCAAATTCCGAAGATGCGGGCTCTTCAAATCTGTGGGTCGGGATCGTGAGAAGCGGCAGGCAAATGGGATTGACATGGCTGTCGAAAAAGACCCGGACAGACGGAGATCCTGCTATAAATACACATGGGTATTCACCCATTCCTGGCCGAGTCATCAATTCAGCTGGATGACACTTAGCGCTCATGGGCTTGTCGGCGCCATGGAGTCAAAGTTAGAGATTCGCTATAATTAAGTATCCGACCGGGGCAACCCGTTCTCGTGATATCTGTTCAAGATTTATGGTTCACTTCGGCGCGGCTCGAAAACGTGCTGCCAATTAATTTGCACCAAAGTCAGTCAGAGATCATAAAAAGTAATGATCGAGGCATTTGAATTACAGCAACTAATATAATATATATTTTTTCGGTTGGGCCACCTCGTTTGATGGGTCTATCCATTCTCTTTTATTTTATTTTCAATGCAAAGTCTGTTATCTGAAATTTTCCTTCCCTGTTCTCGGCTTCTTGTTTGGGTCTCTCATCTTAATCATCATTTGTCTGGCATTTGGATGTTTTGATGGATCATTGAAAACAATGAGAAGTAAAACATTTTCTATACTGCCGAGAGCTTCCTCGTTGTCAGTTGTTTTTCTGTCTTGTGCGCTGCTCTTGATAATGACCCTGAAAGTCTCGAATTGTAAATGGTTTCTGTAACGAGACTGCGGGCATTCCCCGATAAGTACGAGTACATCTTTCGGAGAGGTCATTTGATTTTCCATTTTCCCCACGACATTTGCATATCGAGTGTGTGTGAATTGGACGGTGGCACGGCTTCTGGCTGAAGATGGATCATTAAAATTCAATTAGATGTCGCTTATATAGTCATTATAGAACTGGCCAGCTTACAGTTTGTTGACTTACGGGAAGGTCATTGACTGCCAGCGAATGTCAACGGGGCAGTGCAATCAATTTGATTGTAACTATTTCTTTGCAATTGTTATATCACCAGCTAGGCTTATATAAACGATAGAGTTATCACTGCAAATTGCAAGACAATTAGGGCTCAACAATGGAGACCGTTTAATTGTGGTCATATTTTTAGCAGCCGCTATCGTTTCATTTACGGCCGCTTCGAATGCCTTCGAGCTGCACTAACCAAATCAAATTTTGGCGAACAATTGCCACTGAGTGCGTTCATTGAACAGCTAGTGGAGTGTTTTCTTTACGCTTCGCTTCCTTACACAACGAATCAATGCGAACAATTAGAGGCAATCATTCAGGGTGAAGACAAGTGAAGATGGACCGTATCGGCCGAGTTCGTTGCCTAAGTCTTTCGTTTTAATTTGCATGAAATATGAAATTTATCTGTTTCTGTAGCTGTAGCTCGGTCCCAGACCGCTGTCAGCACATATCATTCGAAAAACATAATAGCGCCAAATGACCTCAGCAGCCGATCCGAAACCCATCGAGAATTGATTGCTCAAGTGTTCAACTGGAAGCGCTGCGAATACTTGATTTCTGTTTGCGTTTAGTTTCGATTTGCTTTGGCTAATTCGGAGTTAGCCACATTCTAATAAGGCTCGCGTATGATTAACAATCGTGGCCCATCAATTAAACAATGCCAAGTGATTAATGATGGCTGCGGCAAAGAAAGAAGTCATAAACACTTCACATTGATCCGATATCGATCTCTAATGCTCAAGAGGCATAACATCTAGATCAAGCTTGAAATTCAGGGTCGTCTGCTGCCTCCTTTTATTGTGAATGCAAGAGATAAGCTTAATCGAATTTAATTGCCATTTGATGGACACACTTCGCCGTAAATGGCCCGAACTGTCGACCGGCCCCCACGCAAAATATCCGGACAGTGTTGCAAAAAAGTCACCGTCCGGCTGTAAAAGGCATTTGTTTTGGCCACATAAATCAGTTAGCAGCCGCTCGATTCGGTTACGTGAGAGCTATGGACACGCCTCGCTACTATATGTTATATGCTAATTTGCTAAACCCTTACGTATTTCCGTTGCCCGCCGCATTTGTATGCAAATGGGCCAAAACTCACATTTTAATCAATGAGTTTCGGAGCGATTCATGGTTTATCAATCAGCATAATGAATAAAGTGTCGCAAAGCGCCGCTTACGAATGTCACAATTAATTTGCATGTTTTCTGCTTTAATTTCTTCAGCATGTGGCCACCCAGATCCTTTCTGTGGTTGGCTCTCGTCCTCCTGGTGGGCGTGGCTCGGGGACAGAGCAGCAGCCGGGAGCACTTCGAGGATGCGGACAAGTCCAGCGAGTACACGGACCAGCAGTTCGACCTGCGGCACACGATTCCCGGCGAACCTGGCCTCGACTATCCCATTTTGAGCTCCCCTCCCAAAACCAGCTTCGTATGCAAGGGAAGACACGAAGGTGGGTTCTTATTTTATATAGGATATTTTATTGAAAATATTAAAGAGCATTTTAATATTCCAAGATCACAATAACTAAACCTAAAAGTATATTTCTTAATACTTTGGTTTGCCTTATTATATTAACAGGTTACTATGCCGATGTGGAGAGTCGTTGTCAGGCCTTCCGTATTTGTGCCCACACTGCCCGGTCCGCCCAAGGCTTTGGCTTCCTCTGTCCCAACGGAACCCTCTTCAGTCAGAAGAACTTTGTGTGCGACTGGTACCGCAATGTGAACTGCGACGACTCCGAGAGGTACTACGAAATGAACGAGGAGAAGATAGTGGGGAGCACCCACGAGATGATGGAGCGAGTCCGCCACATGATGGAGTACCCCATGAAAACGATTTCCAAGGCCTTGCAGCAAACCCAATACCAGTCACAGAACCCACACCGCAGTCTAAGCAAGGATCTGAGTGGAGCTAGTGGGGTTTTGAGCCAGCCAGCGGTTATTAGGGCAACTGATCCCCAGGAAACCCAAATTGTGGGCCGTGGAGAAGCGGTCAAAAGTGAGCCACTGAATGCAGTGAAAACAGGCAGCCCCGCCGAGGAAACTGAAGATGAGGGAATCTATGTGAACAGCTTGGGAGAACTCTCCTCGGATCCTGGCATCCAGTTCGACCACACCAATGCCCACATCGTGGCGGAATATCCCAGGGAGTACCACTACCAGAAGCAAAAGAACTTTGCCGAGCGTGTGAATGCCGGATTGGATATCCAAACCGATTCGGAGTCCACTTCCGGGGAAGTGATGGCCCCCGATTACATCAAGCACATTAGGAACACCAAGGAGGAGGCCGTGCAACTTGACCTTGTCTCGAACATTAACAACCTGCTGGATGAGGTATCCACCGATGTGGATCCCTCCATTTCCGGCTACCAATCCATGGCACCGCCCAAAGTAAAGCAGCCCTTCCGGTTTCTAAGTCGCGGGTTTTCGATGCACAGTGAAAGTGGAAAGGGCAGCTCATCCTCGGGCTATGGCTATGTGAAACCCAAACAAACGCCCAGCACTGTCAGATTTACGGTAAGTTCTCCTTCGGCTTCTGAACTAACTCTGGCAACTATCATTTCTATCTCTTATTTCCAAATATATCTTATATATCTCTTAACCGTTTGTATCTCTATCTGTCTGTCTTTCTATCTGAATTGCTACTCTATCAACTATCGCTTACATACGCAACTCAAACCACAAACCACAAACCACACATTTACACAATAACAGCCCAATGAGATACCCACCGAAGATCACAAGTCCATTGAGCACAAGCACAGGTTTTCCAAAACCACAAGTACCAGTAGCACCACTTCCGCAACCACCGAACCAGCCACTGAATCAGTGGAACAACTGCTGATAGCTCCCACTTTGCCACCCGCTGAGGATGAGGAAGTTAGCACCACAGGGGCACCGGAGACTACCTCCACCACAGCCGAAGAACTACTGGCTTTTCTGGCCCCACCACCGTCGGAAGTTGTGACCTCCGGGGAAGTACCGCCCATCGAGTCCATTGGCCAGGCAGCGGCCCTTACTGCCAGTTTGCCCATCAGTGAGGATATTGTGCAAATTGTGGATCAGAGTCCCGAAACCGCCGAGAAGAACGATGTGCATCACGAGGCAGCCAAGCTGCTGCTGGCCGGAGTGCAACTCACCTCCCACAACGAAGAGAAGGCTTTGGAGAGGAACCAAGTAGAGGTTACTAGCAGCACAGCCCCCAGTCCAATCACTCCGGCAATGGTCACCGCCACGGAAGTGGTTACCGAGATCAGTAGCACTCAGGAGCGCATTCGCGGCTATCGAAAGAATCGTCCAGGAGCCATGCTGAAACGGGCCCACATTCGTCCTCTGCCCATTGTGCGCACCACCACAGCAGCCACCACCCAGAGGAGCACCTCACCCACCAAGAGTTACCTGGAGCGTCTGGCAGCCAGTAGGTTGCGCCTCTCCAGGCTTTCCCAGGCCACCAGGAGCACCACAAGGGCGACAACAACAACAATCACCAGCTCGCCAAGCACCACAACTTCGCCGACGACAACCACAACAATTTCATCGTTCCAACAAGTGCGTGCTGGTGCCGAACCGGGTCCAAACAAAAAGCTGACGGTGCGAGACATCGAGCGGGAGACCAAGGTGGCCCCCAGCAAGGCCAGCTGGGAGTCGGTGCACAGCAACCTGCAACGCTTCCAGGTGCAACGCGGCAACCGAGTGTACACACCGGCAACACGAGCCTCCGCCAGCAGCAACCATGCAGTGGTTACCAGCAGCTCTACCACCACTCCCAGGAGCTATATTGCGGCCACTTCTGCCCGATCGACGGTCACCATAAATCGCGGAAAAAATCGGTACTCAAACTTCAAGACCCAGGCCCCCGTGCAAAGAACCCGGGGAACCACCACGCCCAGGAGCACCACATTGCGACCCACATCTTCGCTCTCCTCGCTGAACCAACACATCTCCGCTTTGGCATCGAACTATAACGGCGGCTATAGCTACAGCCAGACACCTCAGATTAGCCAGACACCACAGATCAGCAAACCCATCCAACAGTCACCATCACAAGTTTACGCCACACAAACGACCAGCGATATCGCTGCCCACAACTCTCAATCGCAAATCTCATCCAGCCTCTCTCCCGCCTCCGCTTTCCTTTCCTTCGATAAGTTAACCCGTGCCATTGTTGACGAATCCGTTTTGCAGAATTTCAAGAGTGCTCAGTCGCAGGGTTCCAATCAACAGCAACAGCAGCATCAGCAGCGCCAGCAGCAACATCAAGTGGTTAGGCAGCAACATCACTCGGTCAGCAACAGCTACGTGAAGCCAGCAACAGCAACAGGTAAGAAAATAAATGATACCAAAATATATAAACTTCGTGAATTAACTAAGTTATTGTATCCAATTCTCCTACAAATGTTTTAGCTGTTTCCAGTCTGACTGTTCCCCAACGCCCCCAGCAGACACCTCAGTTACCCGAGCTGTCTTCGATCCCCGGAATTGTGATTGCCCGCGCTGAGGGTCAGCGTATTGCTCCCAACTCCGCCAGCAACATCATTTCGAGCTTGGCAACTCAGGCACCAGTTACTAACAACCAAGGCAACTCCTATATTTCCCTAAACGACTTTCTGAGTAACAAGTTCGGTCAGAGTCCTGCAGCCACCAACAACATCGCTCCTGTTGCCACCTTGCAACAGCAACAGCGCGTGCCGCAACAGCAGCAACATTATCAACAGCAAACTATTCAGCAGCAACGCGTGCAAAAGCAGCCTGTACAGCAGCAGCATGTTCAGCAGCAGCAACGACAGCCAGTTCATCAGCAACACCAGACCGTACAGCAGCAACGTCAGCCTGTGCAACAGCAACATCAGCAGCAGTTGAGCTACATCTCGCAGCAATACCAGCAGCCACAGCAGCAGAACATCTACCAGCAATACCAGCAGCTGCCGCAGCAGCAACAGCAACGTCCCACGATCCACTCCATCCAGCAACCCTATCTCACTCCCAATATCTTCGTGCCCTACCAGCAGCAACAGCAGCAATTGCCGCAGTTCCCGCCCTTGGCTCCGCCCGTGTCCGTTTCCACCGGAAACATCGCACAGGGACCGGTGATCGCCGGCCGCCATGTGGACCACCTGAATGTGCAACTACCCACGTTGGGCGCTGGCCTGATACCCGGACTGCAGTTGGCCCAGAAGCGCAGCGACGTGTCGGCCAGTCAGCTGCAGCTCACGGACTCGAACGGCAAGGGCAGCCTCTCCGGATCGGGCAAAAGCCGGGAACGGGCCTTCTACGCCGGACGCACATCCTACGATGTTCCCCAGAGCAGCGTGGGCCGACTGCCCAACGATGTGACGCAGCCACTCCGCCGGCGGTTGCGACGCTTCTGAACGAGATTCACCAGCTAGGACTAGACCTTAACTTATAGCTAAATTAGTAAACTATTTATGCCTTAGCTAAGTCGACAACTGTACTATAGACATCACTTGTTCAAAAACCATACTCTATTCGTATGTATGTGTGTGTATATTTCTGCATATTTATTGATAAATAAAACGAAAAATTTACAAAAACCCCTAACGAGTTCGCCCTCCTGTTGTTTGTGAGATTAAGTTTTATTGTTTATATGTTTTTGAGTTTTAAAATTATCAGCAATACGTACAGACCTTACCGAATACGAATACAATACAAGATTTCATTTTGCTGGCTTTAACTGACCGCTTATATTAACATTACTAATTATATTTTAAGCATATAATATTGTTTTACAATATTCCAATTTTTTTCTGGGCTTCGAATGTTCTCGCTTAATTGGTGTCAAACATTTTCTATTTATACGTAACTTTGCTGCAACGTCACATCGCATATATCAATTGGAATCTCGCATAGCTACTCAGTTATCTTGATTACTCAGTTGGTTATCGGTATGGCATGGAGTATTCGTTTATACAAACAGACTGAATTCAACTAAACCGAATTTTCAATCCTCGATTGGCGGATGTGATGCAGATGGGTGGGCAATGGACATGGGCTGGAGGCATTAAAATTAGTTAGAACTAAAAGGTACTAATGTAAGGTGCATAGTACTAGGCGAAATAATAATTTAGGCATTCACTTAAACAGAAACAACTCAGGACACGGTAAGGGAACCTAACTATAACGTGGCGAACGCTATGATATCGTCTGTGCGGTGCGTCAAGCCTTAAAATGTACAGCGGATCTATACAAAATCACTTCACGGACTACGAAATGCCCTCCTGGTAACGACGGCAGTCGGAAACTTATGTACAAAGCTTAAGTAAAAGGTGCAGCGAGCTGCGGATTCGGTTGGGTTTGGAGTCGGGAGTCTAGGTATCGTGCCTTCAACGCTCAACGCTTGGCGACCAGGCGGCATTTCTGGACGCGCACGCGTACTCAGGGAAGCGAGTTGATATTGAGCGGGGGTGGCGGTGCGGGTGCTGGAGCAGGCGCTACTTGAGCGGTGACGGGCGCCAATGGCTCCGTTTTTATGTCCTCCGCCGCATCGGGTTCGCCACTATGCAGGTGGCAGTACACCTTGCGATCCTCCTCGCTCAGGCTCCACTTGGCTGCTCTCGCACACGGCACATGAGCCGGGGCCTTGCAACAACGCTGGAAGCAGCATATACTGGCCCCGGTCTGTTGGCAGATTACGCATTGATACCGTGTGCTGTCCCATACCGCCGCATCCAGTCCGTTGACGTGGGCGCCAATCAAATGGATGTCGTTGCTCCACACAGCGCAGTCCTCGTGCAGCCAAACCTCAAAGCCGTGCTCCGAGGTTTTGCCCATGCCGCGAAACGTCTCCACGAACTTGGTTTCGTGACTGCAATCCAGTGGGTCCACAGATGAACATTGCGAGCGCGACTCATTGGGGTCGTCGCTGTAGGATATCGAACTGTCGTGCGTTTGCTTGCGCTTTCGTTTATGCTACAAGATGAAAAGGACGCGTTAGATTTAAATTCGCTAAGATAAATTAAACTGAATAGTTACCATGCTAATCTTGGGTGCCTGCATAATGTTAGCCAGCGTGGCGGGCACCACGGGCAGATTCCTCTCCTGCGTCTTGACCATGTCCTCGCGTCGCCGCTTATTGACAAACAGTCCATCGATGTCCTGCACTCCGGGCGACTGCAAGGCGGCACGATACTCGTCGCAGTCGCTAGTCACCAAGTACGGACCGAAAAGATCACCCAGACCCAGTTTATGAGGCCCTCGCTTGCAGAACACACATATCCAGGTGGAGTCGGTGGTGTCCGCATCGTATCGGTTGCTCAGCGTAGAACTGTGCATCCCTCTCAGGTTTTTTCGTTCGTGCGGCGCCTTCTTGGCTTTCGTCTGCTTCTCATTGACGTCCTCGGCACTATGAGTGTTTTTGATGCTCACACTTCCGTCCGGTTTTATGAGTATGAACGGAGATTTGAACTTTAGCTCAGTGGCTACTGTGCCTCCGTTTGTCGGCGCTGGTGTGCTGTCCTCGTCGGTGGTGACGGCTGACTTTCGGCCCGTTTTCTTTCCATTCTGCTTGGCGTTTTTGGCATTGCCCTTACCCGCTGGTACCTTCTTGCCCTTGCTCGCGGCATTCTTCTTCTTGGCTGCAGCAGATTTTCCCTTGGGCACAGCGGCCGCTTCGCTCAGTTGGCGGGCTGCCAGTGCCGCCGCAGCTGCAGCGGAAGTGCTGGGCTTGTCGTCGTCTTCAAGCTCCGGTTCTGGAATCACCTTCTTCTTGCGACCGGGCTTCTTCGGTGAAGGGTCGTCGATCATGAAACGGAGCAGTGAGGCATCCATGCCCATGGATAGCCTTCGGGGTGGTGGTCTCCTGACTGGGGTTTTAGCTGGAACAGGGGTGTTGGGCTTACTATCATCCACTGCAGCCAAGGGCGTCGATGTGGAGCGAACTTGCGGCGAGGGACTGTGAACGGGACTGGGTAGCGTAGATTTCATCGCTGCCTTCGTGGCGACCGGTCGTATTTCGGGCGCAGGAGGTGGAGCAACTAAAGCTGCCAACACTGAGGCTTCCATCTTTTCCGCAGGTGCCTCGTTTGGCTTGGCGCTGTCCAGAGCCAGCTGGGCGGTCAAATCGTGTGCCACCAACTCTTCCGCCTCGCCTGGTGGTTTCTCCGGGCTGCAAATCCTTTCCGTCTCCTCCTCGATCCCGGCAAACATTTCCTCCAGCTTGTCTTCCACTTCCCCGAAAGGGCAGGGCTCAGAACTGGCAGCAGGTGAGGTTTTCTTGGGTGATTTATTTTCTGGAGGAGTAGCAGAAGCCGGAGTAGGAGCCGGAACCGGTTGTGCCTGTGACTCCTTGTTCGCTGGGGGTTCCTCCTCCTCATCGCACTCGTGCACACTAACCGCCGGCTTTGCATCGATGTCACCCTGCTCCACTAGGGCGGGGGATGCAGGTGTGTCCGTGGTGGCCTGATTGTTGACCTCCGGCTTTTGATTCTCGTTGACTGCACGACTGCTGTGGCTGCTGTGCGTGTTGGCGCTGGAACTGCTCGAGCTACTGCTACTGCTGTTGCTCTGCGGACTCGGTGGCGGCATGGTGGGCGTCGTGTGCTGCTTGGGCGGCTCATCCTCCTGCTGCAAACGGTGCTGTTCTGTGAGATTTCGCTGCAGCAGGGCTTGCCGCTGCTTTTTGGTCTTGGGCTTGTCGTCGTTGTAAAGCGTGGAGCTATTGCTGTTACTGCTGTTCTCCGCCGGAGCCGGTGATCCCCCACGACCGTTCTCTTGCGGCGCCTTTTCAATCTGCGTTTGCGATTGGGCTTGCAAGCTGAAAGGCTGAAACTCAGCGCCTCCATTCTTGGGCGACGGTTTGGGACTACAGCTGTTGTTTTGGTGCGCCGGAGGCTGCTGTTGCTGATGCGACGGCTTGCTGATTCCTCCCTCGGGCGCATTTTCGTTTGGAGTAACCCGCATCACCGTACTGGCTTTCCGCTTGCGTCGCTTTCGACTGGTGCTGCTGTTGCTGTTCGACTCTAGCGACTCCTCATTGGAGGTGGTCAGGTAGGGGGACTCAGGAGCATCAGGCACCGAATTAGCAGCAGGTTTGTCTGCCTCAGAGTTCCGATAGGACAGATCTGTTATGACAGGCTGCTCCTCTGGTTCTGGTTTATGCTTCGTCGCCAGATCGAGATTCGTAAGTTGCGCGTTGCGAGAATGATGCGTGTGTTGCTGACTTGAGTTTGCCGCTTGTTGCGGACCCGCATCCTGTGCCTGTCCATGGAACTGACCACTGGTCAAGTGTGGTGGCAGGAGAGGCGGCGGAACCGTTTGACTCGCCATATGCTGATTGTGGTAGTGCAAGTGCTGGGGATGTGACTGTGATTGCGTCTGATCCTGCTGCATGTGCTGGTAGCTGCCTCCTGCCGAGCTATTCAACGGATGGTGAAGATGCAGCTGGTTGTAGTCCATAGTTGGCGATTGCATCTGATGAGGCGGCGCAGCCAGCGGCGATTGAGGCGTAGGAGGCGTCTGTGGTCCATTGTATTTCGGAGTTAAGTTGTAAGGCGGCTGCTGCTGTTGGTGATAGTTCCTTAGCGGTGAGGCTAAAAAAATAATATTAGATTTATATCTTCAGTTGAACACATTGACTTACGTTTCTTGTTGGCATGTTGCTGCTGTACATTGTGCGTGGGCAGTTTGCTAGCTGATCCCGCTGGCGGGTAGCCAAAGTCCTTCTCTTTTTGCAGATTTTTTCCTGACAACAGCTCGTGATCAAAACTGCGCTTTAACTGAGCCAGCTTAAAGTTTTCATCGCGAGTTTGCATGTAGTGCGGACTGCTTATGTGATTGTTACTCCCACTATTGCTGCTGTTGCTTCCAGCATGATTGCTATTTCCGGAGGCAGTTGTAGGAGGCGGTGGCGGCAGCAGAGACTCACAGTCTCCCCCGTTGCTGAGGTTGCCAGCGGCGGCTCCCTGATTTTGCAGGCTAGACTGCAGTAAGCTGACATGGGCTGCTGCCATGGCTGCCAAGTGTCCCTGCTGCTGCTGCTGTTGCAGCTGAGAGCTGGAGGGCGAAGCATTGGTCGTGAGATTTTGTCTGCAGAAAAAGAAATTTTAGACTATTTGACTAGAATACGGGATTAATGCACTTACATTGAAGGATAGTTGGAAGCATGTATAAGGGATTGCTGCTGCTGCTGCGACTGCTGTGGCTGCTGGTTCGGCGACTGTTTGGCCAGCGGCTGGGCCGCACTGCGGGCGGACTGCAGAGAAAGGTCCATGGAGTTGAATGGCAGAGTTCCTGAGTAGGGCGGTGCCAGCAAGGGATTCATCTGATGATGGTGGTCCAGCTGGGAAAGTAAACTAGGTTATTATCGATTGGTTAAGGATCATAAGCCAAAACAAAATACAGGACGTTGACTGCAGGCGACAGAAAACAAAGCAAACTAGGATTACAACTAAACGAGGCTAAAGTAGGCTTCTACGGGCAAAAAGGCGGAGGAGTCGAGCATGCTTTTTGGGGTCTACTAGGAGCTGCTTGATGTCGTCGGTTGTTTTGGCCTAATTACGTTTTTGTGATTGGCCGACATGAAATTGTAAATGGCATCCGGCGGCGGCGGCGGCTGCGAGGAAACGGAGCCGGAAACGTGCCAGGCCAGCGGGGATCGCACCATTCCGGGCCGCTCATTGGACATGTGCGCCAACTGCGGCTGTCGCGGGATATATGATGGGATCTGTGAAAGGAAAAAGTAGTTGAGCTATGCGGCTTAGGTCACTGATTGTCCTACTTACTTGCAGAGGATTCCAGGACGCGTTCTGGGCCGCCTGGCTGAGATGCCCAGGATGCGGATGATTGTTGTTGGCCATCTCTTTCGGCGGCGGCTAACTCGTGACGGCGCTCCAATATATCACCCTGATCATGGGCCGACCGTCTCTAGCCTATGTCCTTCGGCCCAAATGTGGAATGTCAGAGAAAAAGACCGACAGCTGGAATAGGGGATCGGAGCGGAGCAGAAGCAGGATAGAAAGGGCGACCTAATCTTGCTGGGGAGGATCCTGCGAAGGACTTGCTAACTCCGGCCGAACAGCCGCTGCTCTTTTCGCCCATAAACAAGACCGCACGCACTTTTTTCACACCACCCACAACCCACTCGGAAAAGGCAAAGGGCTTTTCGCCGCTCTCGTGGTCCTTGCGCGATAACAGTAGCAGCAGAGCAGACGATAACACACAACCTATCGGCCAGATGACAGCGCGTTGTTTTGCACGCTACGCCAACGGCACGCGGTCTTTGCCACTACCGAACGTCCTGATCACTTCGTTCTTTTGTCCCTGCTCCATGGCCAGTTGTTTGTGGCGTTTGTTCAATGTGATTTCCCTTTATTTAAGCAATGCGACGGCACACTGGGTTACTTATCATCGGGAGAGCTTTGTTGTACCTCTTGATTTTTAGCGGCAGCGCATTGCGAATTCGTTGCGACGGCGTGCGAATTTTTCTTGTTTTGGGTCGCGCACCTTGGGCAAATCCGAAAACGGTATCCAAACGTTTAAATGGACACCGTTTCTGTTGCTAACACATATCGGCGAAGGGGGAAGTCTGAATTAGCACTATTTTGCAAATGCCGCAACGTTTTTGTTGTGTTTTTAGGCGTATTTTCGATTGTTTAAAACAAAATGTAATTCATTAGAGCTGGGTGAAAATTCGATTCTTATTCGATACTATCGATTTCGCCAGGACTTTGGTGATTTCGAGGTTCTCCCTGGGACTATCGATAATTTTGTCTGTTTTGGGTAAAAATACTAAATTTTGGCAAAGACCCTTTAAAACGATTACTTCTCATTCTGTTTTTGTTAAATGTTATTTAAAATACTAACTTTAACTTTAAAAACAGTAAGTTAAACGTTAGTTTCTGAACCGGTAGAAAACGTCATACTCTGTTTTGGCGCCAAAATGTCTTCGCACTCTTCCCCAGCCCTGGTCAAAATGCATCTAATAATTGCAAGTGCGCATAAAAAATCAAGAAGTTTGGCACAAAATGAGCGCTGGTAAACGTGGAGCACTTATTATATTCGAAGGTTGCGATCGCAGTGGGAAGACTACTCAAAGCCGGCTACTGGGTAAGGTTTTGAGACCTGAGAAACAAGAGAACCATAATTACCTATCAATTCCTTCCAGTCGAACTCTTGAAATCCAAGGGTCTTTCCGTACTGGCCATGAACTTTCCGGAACGCAGCTCCAGCATTGGCCAGGTGATAAATTCGTATTTGACCAACAGCAAGGATCTGCCGGACGAAGTCATCCATTTGATGTTCTCCGCCAATCGCTGGGAGTACATGAACCAGGTAAAACAGCGACTTCTCGAGGGCAAAATTCTGGTTGTGGATCGTTACTCTTATTCTGGAGTGGCTTACAGTGCGGCCAAAGGACTGGATTTCGACTGGTGTTATGCCCCAGAAAGGGGGCTCATAAAACCCGATGCAGTTTTCTATCTGAGAGCGTCCGCGGATAACCTCACAAGCCGTGGCCAATACGGAGTTGAGCGGTTAGTAAAATTATTTAATACAGCTTAAACATATAGAAACCCGATATCTTATCTTATCTTCTAACAGTTATGAAAAAGTGGAGTTCCAAAGGCGCATCGCTGAGGTTTTCGATCGCATTTGCGACAAAGAAGCCAGTTATTGGCACAAACTCGATGCCAGTCAGTCCATGGAGGATTTGCATACCCAAATAGCCAGTATAACGGAGCAACTCTTACCTATCGCTTCCACCCAACCCCTGGAAACGTTATCATAGCACAGAGCCATGAATCGCCATTCATTAGAGGGGATTTACCTTGATTTATGCAATACACGAGTGTTTGTTATAAATGTTTTTAAATGGCGCTTAACTTTTAATTTACGATAAGGCCACAGGCCATAAATCCAAGCATCGGACGATGCGAAGGACATCCTCGTTAGGTGTTGAGCGAAATGCATTTACAGAATTGCACATCAAGTGGATTAAGGAGCGGGATTTAATGTAAGCCCGGAGGCAAATGCAATTTAATTTCCGTAATCCCCATCTTTCATAAAATGCCACATTTTGTTGCTCCATTGTAGTTCGTTTATTTTATACACCATTACTGAGGGCTCTCTCTTGACTAAATGCTAAAAGCTAAAGCGAAAAATAATTTATGCGGATCAAACTTAATTGCTAAACCACAAAAACAAGCACACGATTTAGGCGAACTCCTCCAACACTAGTTAAACTCGTAGCTTTCGTAGCCGAAATCCTCGCGTCGACTGCGAGGAGCTGGCTTGGGATTCCTTGTCCTCAGAGTGAGTTGGCGGTAGCCCACTCCTGGCTTGTAGTCCACATTGGGGGGTGCTTGGGGTCGCAACCCAGTCACGCCTCCCCGCCTCTTTTGCGCCTGGTGGTAGAAGGCTATGTCGCCATAGCTGTGCTTCGGCCACATGCACTCGCAGCCGGAGGCCACGGTCCGGGTCTCCGATTCCCAGCAGCCGGAGGCGTCGTTCAGCCGGATCAGGTGGATGGTCCGGTTGAGCTGGATGCACGAGAAGCCCGTCGCCGAACAGATCTGGGTAGCAACACTTTGGGTCATTTAATTCATTTTTTAAATTTGTTTAACCTACTTCGCGCTTCTCGCCACGCTCGGAGAGCAGAGCTCGGAGCAGTTCATTGCCCCTGTAACCGTACTCATAGTTGTGGGTCCTCGACGGCTGAGGGGAGTAGCTGTGGGCACAGGTCACCTCAACGTAGTGGTTGGGTCGGTAATCGCCACTATCCAGCTTCACGGTTACGCGATTCGTGGGGCAAAGTGACTGGTAGGTTACCACCTGTGAATTAGTTAACGATAAAACTGATTTTAAAGGTGTAAAAATAAGTTGTATAGTTCAGTTTTATTTTTTTATGTTAAAAATAAAACAACCGAAAATTGTTTTATAATATTCAGAAGTAAAGATAATGGGTCCATTATTTCAGAGTGTTTTGCTTTTAAGCTTCATAAGTTTAGTTATTATTATTTAAATTGTACAATTTTGCGTACGAATTTAAGGCTTTACTTTGGTATTCCCTATATCTACTCACCCCGTCTGAGCCGGGATTGGGACCCATGTAAGGTGCCGGAGGCATCACACTGCGAACGCGGCGCTTGCGCACATTCTGGATCCCGTAGGGCAGATTTGAACTCAGCTCGTCGGCGTCCTCGTCCTGGCCGGCATAATCCTCCTCGCCCTCAATATCTACATAATCAGCGCCATCAGTTGGGAACTCATTGTCGGCGTACTCCGGCTGACCTGGTTCTGCTGTTCCTGTTTCATCCATGGCTGCCCTGAAATTGCATATGCATGGAAACTTGTTAGTTTTGGCCATGAATTAGCGCCGCTCTCATCTCGCGGCACACTGGAGCTACCACAACTGTCTGATGTCTCCGCAGGCAGGCGGAAATGACTGGCAAAGCGGTTTTACACAGAAAAATATTTAACAAATTTAAAAACCATGTAAGTGAGAGTATGAAAAGCTATCACAACTTAATTAAGAGTCATTTTACGGTCATGTATTGCCTTTATCAATAAAACTTTGAAATCAATAAAAAACCTGAAAAATAATAATTATATTTAGAACATATAAAAAGGCTTACAAAATATTTCATATGAATTTCTGTAAAATTAAATTCCAGGTAAGTAAAAACAAAAGCGATGGATTTGTATAATGGTTTCTAAACAAACAAAAATATTTGAAATAAACACAAACGTGTTCAAATTTTTTCTATGTGATATTGCCTGCGGTGGCGTGGTTAAAAAAAAATAAATTCCTTTTTGACGTTTGTTATTTGCATGGCCGCCGTTTCTTTCTGAAATTTTTCCAGCTGGCCAACAAAAGCGCATCATTTTGCATTCAACTGCAGCAAATGCCAATGAATTTTTTAGCTTTCGCTTTGGCGTGCGGCTTTGTCTGAGGATTGGGGAATGGCGAACGGGCATGGAACTCGGGTTGGGGGGCAGGAGCAGCTCGTCCTGAGCCTGTGGCGCGGCACAAAGCTCTCCGCTTCGCGAATGTCGTTGGCTGCCAGCGGATTTCCCCTTTTCGTTGTCGATGCCGTACTGCAGCTCCCCCGCTCTTATCCATTTCCCTATTCTTCCTGCCCTGAAGCTTTAGCTTTCAAATCCAGCGGCGTTGGCATTTTTGAAGCGCGCTTTCAGGGCAACAATGGCTTTGATAGTTTTGTCGCAAAGTTTGCGAAAATGTTTTGAAATGAACGCAGCTGGACCAGTTGAGGTGAGCGCTGGTTTAAATTAGCAAAGGAGAAAGGGCCTGGTATAATACTGTTTTGTGGTCCTGTGACAGCGACAAGTGAATAATTCTCCTGTTACCTGGCACATTTCTAAAGGATTATTGTGGTTCCATTTAGCAGCTTTCCAAAGCTTTAATCTGAATCGATTTGGCCTGACACTGAGCTTAAACTGGTAAAAAGATCTGAGCAATTTAAAACAGACTGCTGAACAATCTAAAGAAATTGTAGAGGCTTTTGACAATCTAAAGAAATTCTAGGGTATCCTTCTTAACAAGCTGAATTCCAAGTAGTATTCTTTTCCAGCTTTTCCTCAGTCAATCATCAGTTCTATTTCGGTTTGAATTTCTTTTGTGTCGCTTCAACTGTCGTTTGCCGTATCCATTTGTTGCTGAATGCAAGACGCAGATTACGTAATCCCTGGCTCAGAATGCACATGATCCATGCAGCTTCTGATCTCGTTCAGTCCGACAAAGGGGATGAAGCCCAGTCGACTGGAGGAATCAGCTTAAGCGCTTACGTTTGTGCTCACGCTTACGTCATGGGTTGTCGGCATTGACATTTAGTTGATATGCAACCAGCAACCCAGACCCAAGATTAGTCCTCCTGCCAGGCTCCGGGACTCCGTGGACAGTAGAGAAGCCAGGGCAGAAGTGCGGGGAACCGGACAGAAAGAGGTAAAAGTGATACGGCTTCATTCGCTTTGTCGGCTCCAATCATACGCGGCCACATTTGCCGGGATGTGAGCCCAATGAATGCAGTCGAATAGTGAAACAAAACCCCTTACCCGGCACAATGGCTAATTTCCCCCTTTTTCGTTTGGGCTTTCAGTTTTTGACCCTTCCAGAGATGGCTATACCTAGAGGTACTTTTTTGGGGTAGTCTTTAAAATATGAGGGGAATACTCGTCGTATATTAAAACTAATTGGCTTTAACTTATTATTGTTTAATTAACTTCATTATAAGCAAACAAAAAATAATATATTACAGAACGCTGAGGGAGAATTTCTTAGGAATTAATACCTAAATATTTAAGTCAATGAAAATGTTACCTTTCCCATCACTAACCTTTGGTTGATGTTGCTGCTGCGACTGCGACGAGCCAGCAACAATTGCTCCTGCTCCGGTGGCTGCAGCCAGTTGATGTTGCTGTTCTCGTTACTGGTGCCCCTACCATTCGCGTTGTTGTTGCCTCTGCTGTTGCTATTGCTGTTACTATTGCTGCTGTCATGGTCCTGAGCAACAACAAACCTGCCCACACCTTGAACGGCCGCATTTAAGTCGGACAATTGCAGACGGAAGTCATTGCGAGCATTCTCTGGATCATCGTCGAGTTGCTGTTGCTGTTGGTGTTGCTGTTGCTGTTGTTCCTGCTGCTGCTGCTGCTGCTCATGTTGCTGCTGCTGCTGCCGTTGTAGATGTTGCTGCCTGTCGTATATGCTGTGGATGGGATTTCCGTAGAGTTTTTTCTGCCATTTGGCCGGTGCTCTGTTGTAGTTATAGTTGTCATTGTTGTCGTCCTCGTTGCTATCTGCAATGCCATCAGCGTCGACATCTACATCCACATCCCCGTACTCCCACTTGTAGTTGTAATCGTTGTCGTAGTTGTTGTTATTGTTGTTGTTGTTTTTGTTGTCGGTGGGGCTTCTATAGCTATACCTATTGTTTTTGAGCCCCGGCGTCGATTCCATCGCCTCCTCGCAGGCCAAAGCGAGCGTTCGTCTGGAAGAGCCACTGCCAAAACAGCGAGCAGCTAGAATGGCGGCTAGGAGCAGCTGCAAATGTGGCAGAAACAAAGAGATTTGCTCGATAAGAAGGGTGCGGCACGAACGGAAATGTTAAACAATTGTTGTGTGGCTAATAAACTGCAAAGTGTCAACAGTTGGGCGGCGAACAGTGTTCGTTGTTCCACGGGTTTGTCATGCAAATTCCCCCATTCACATGGCAAACAAAACATGCGGATTAATATTTATCATATGAGATTAGATATCCCCTAAATAGGTTCATAAAAAGAGTATTTGCGCATCAGAAGCTCGTGGAAAACAATATTTACACCACTATATTGGCAAATAAAGCAATATAAGTTCGTTAACGGGATTTTTGTATTGTATTGCTTGCAATGATGTAATTTAAATGTTAAAGGTTAGATATTTTTATGGGAAATGGCACAAAGATAAATACTGTTTGAACTCTTTAAATGTAATCGAACTTTATTATCTTATTGTTCTTGGAAAACGTTCAGCGTATTTATTGTTATTCCCCGATTTCGAACCATTTGTCATTTACGAGTATTGTTGTCCAGGTGACGTACTTGTTTTGTGCTTATCAAACTAGAAATACTTAGAGGAAAGCCTTGCGATAAGAATCAATGCCCAATCAATACGCAGTCGCATAAAGCGGTTATCAAAACGACAAATTCCTATTAAAAATATTGCACCATTTCTAAAAGTGTCCAGATATTGATTAATACGATTACCAGCTTGTAAATTTCTTGGGCTAAAACTTTGATTGATTTTCAGTTGCACCTCGAAGCTTTTTGTTTCCAAGTCTCTGAGCCAAAAACTTTGTAGCAGAGTGTTGCAATCCGAAAATCGACCACTAATTCAACTAAGAACTCAACAAAATTCCGATTGACGAAACCAAAAACTTAAACAGCCCCCATTTTCCCACTGCGCCGGCTAAAGGGAAAGTTCAATTCCCTTCTGGATGTTGACAATCAATGTGCGTTGAGAATGGAATAACGTCAGGACCAAAACCGAACCCAAATAAGATGAAAAGTTTTCGGGTGGCTTTCTCCTCATTTTCATCCTGAGGTTTCCCGTTTGTCGTGGAGGCGAAAGTTTTGGGCAAGATTTTCAGACATGTCTGTATTTGTGTCTGGTGGGGATGTGCGATGGCTCTGATTATGTGGTCTGTCCAAAAAAGTGCCCCAAGTGAAAATAGTTGGGCGACCTTTAGCGATAATATGCTGCACGCGCATCCTATCCTATAAAGGCATACAGATATAGCTGTACAGTTACATTCATTAGAGGCACACACTACGTGACCGAAGAGTTGGCGCCGGAAATGCTCAAAACTAAGATATGAACACAGTGCTCCATTTCCTGATCCCACTTTTCCCTGTCGCTCTACAAGTTCTTTTGTCTCAATCTAGTTTTCAGATGCACTGCAAGAAATTGTAGATTATAGAAGGACAACATTCAACATAATAAAAAAAAAGGTTGGCATCTAAATTGCATTTATTTCTTGAATTCTGTTAAATCAAGGAGATTTTTAATTCAATATCATGTTTACTTGTTTGTTAACCCAACAAATTTTTACGGTGTACGATATGTGCTTGTATAGGACTATATATGCTAGTATCTCGGATATACTCGTATGCAAGTGTTGTTGCCGCTCTGGATTTATAAGATTTCTTTTATGCCCTGGCCGAGCCTACCACAAAACTTCTTTCATTTATCTCGGCCTACAGTTCGCCTTCGGTGTCCCTCTTCCTCGGAGCGGCTCCAAGTTTGGGGGGCCGGCAAGTTTGTCAAACTATTTGTATGGAATTCACAATTTGTGTTGATGAAGTTTCGCCCAAGTCGCAGCTTACGAAGGCGACCGCGTGATCTGCGTGAACTGTGTGAACAAGTGTTTATGGAATTGAATTATTTTCCCTCGTCCTTTTTTATTCCTGGCCCGGCTTTCCCTAGTTCTGTTTCCGTCTAAACCAGGTGGAGAGGTGGGCTTTGTGTTTTATCTGTTTTGGGGGCTTACAGGTGGCTTTGTCTTAGGCGTGGCAACTCACTTTGTGATTTAAAGTTGCCTCAATAAGCTGATTTCCTGGGTCAAGCTGGATAAGAGCAAAGTAAATTTTGCTTTGGTGTCAGCTTAATGCTTCAAAGAAATCACAGCTTTTTTGTAACGTCATTAACTATTAAAATTCAATAGAATAAGAAAAAGGTTTGGCTTTGCGAAAATCTTTGCCAGGCGTTGCTAATTATTTCTTAGAAATAAGTTTTAAGAATGAATATCTAACAGAATGTTGTAGCGAACCGTATATAAATATCTTAACCCGTACGCAACAAAGATTATTGTTTATGTGAAGATTTAACTGCCTTAAGTTACTTCCATTGTCGGAGCTTGTCTGGCTTTCACTTGACAATGACCTTACCTAACTTTGTTTAACTTTCATTCCGGTATCGTTATTTGCATATTGTCTGTACAATCGTAAGTGCAAAGCCCTCTCACTTAAGATATAAACAGTGTCTTTCTAAAGATCTAATCTTTGCCACTTCAGAGCATCTATTTAAAGATCTTATCTTGTCTGGGTTGACTTGACCTATCTAAACATTCCCACATTATATGGATTTTATCTAGATGATTAATGAGTGTAGTGCCTCCGGGTAAAATTAAATTAAAATTCAACGATTGAACTTTATCAACCCTCCGGTGGAAGCCGCTTAGCCTTGTTTACGTTGATATTAATGTGAAATACGGTTCACGTGTTTCGTCGCATGTTTTTGTTTGGAAAACCAACAGTAGAAACAAAAACAATTGCTAAACTGGGCTGGCTGGGCAATTGAAAATATAATTTCATAATTTATGGTGTAAGTTCTGGCATAGTTTTCACCCCTGCTCCCGAGCTTCATGCAAATGATTGTTTTTTCGTTTATTATTTCATATTTTTCAGCCTCGTTTTTTGGCGAGCAGCAGCTCGACGGCTGGCTGTTGCCATTCAATTACATTTCGCAATCAAACTGCAATGTGGGCAGACAATGTTCAGCTGCTCACCTGGCCAGAACAGACAGACAAATATATACGGGTATACGAGTATAGTATATGCCCACCCGATACATTCGCCATATGTGGAGGGGCTGATATATATTGCATAAATTTGTGACCTTTCAGTTTTCAATTGAATTTCTCTGCACGGCGGCGATTGTTCGAGGAAAACTTGGTCCTTGCATTTGGCAGCAGCCGGAAAAACAACACAACTAAGCGCCAGAGTACCAATTTGCATGCTTGTAGCGGTATGTAGCTGTGTGTGTTTTTGGGGGCAGTGGGCGGGGGGGGGAGGTTGGTGGATTTCATATCTGCAAAAACAAGAGCCTGCAATCCTCCCCTCGATTTGTTTTAATTGTTGCGCTCTCGCTCCTTGTTTTCGTTGCCATCGCTGTTTCTGTTGATGTGATCCCCTTGTTATTGTTATTTTTTCGGCTCTGTCTGGCGCTTATTGCCAATTGTCAAATATTGGTTTTTTCCTATTATTGTTTCATCAATGGCGTGAAGCGATTTTAATTAATCGCCCAAAGTTTGCCAATTTGAAAGTTTTCTGTATTAATTTGCTGCCATGTTCGCTGGCCAACAGTTGACAGCATTTTTGATGGCACAAAATTTAAGTTGGGACCGGCCTTTCAATTAAAGGCCACCGCAAGTGCCATTCCCCTGGATTTAATGTTACGCATTCGCCATGTGTGCCATGTTCGCACAGATACACACTCACACTCACACTCACTGGAACGCAAAGGGGGCTTGTAAAAGTAGCAGATTGGTAGCTCTGCTGGCTGCAAATCCTGTTAATCACCTCTATCACAGGTGAGGCATCTGCACGTAGCTCACTTTTTGCCGCTTTAAGTCGCCGCAGTGTTGTAACAGCAGCGTGAAAGGGACAGAAAATCAGAGATAGAAAGTGGGGCAGGTGGGTGAAAGGTAGTCCAAACTATTGCTGCTAACCTGTCGGGTTTCCCGCCAAAACTGGAGATTTTTAATGGTTAAGAAGGAGGCTGCACTTTTTTAATAGGCCTTCAATACCAAATATTTCAAAACGGTCACATTTAATAAATTGTTAACGTGTTAACGAATTGCTTGTGACACAAACTTAATAATTTAAGAATTTGTATAAATTTTTTTTTTCTTGTTCTCAACGACTTAAATTAGCTGGCCTTTGTGTAATCTGTATTTTGCCAGCACTGTCTAAATGTTAGCATATGCAGGTGGAGAAGTAAAATACACTCTGGTTCTGTCAACTAAGTTCTTGATCCGCTTGGTGCCCTATCGGTGGTCTAGAGGAGCCATAATGCTGCAATTAGTGGCTATTCCCTCGCTTTGGCTTATTTGTGGCCCTGCGTTTTATGACTCTCGTTTGGCAATTCAGAAGGCAAGTGCATTACAGGATTTGCCCCAACCTTTCAACTCTGGGCAGCTCAATTCAATCCTCCAACAGACCAACAATGAACTGCGCCAAATATTCGCTGCAATCCAATAAGACAGGTTCCTACAATCGAATGCCGAAAACGCCAGTATTGGCACTAATACTCGCATAATTCAAGATCCCTCTTTGTGGGAAAGGAGGGAGCCTTTTTGTGCACTGGCATGCTCCGATTTGAAAGGGGAAATTAATCCTGAATGGAAGCGATTACGGAAATCAAATTATCTCCAACAATGCTGGCCAAAGGTCCTTCAATATTTAGTGGAGAATCGGAAATTGTGCAGCTTACAATTAAAATCAGTTGATACGAAGTAGAAATTATGTTTCTCAAAGAAAGGTTTCTAAAAGAAAATTTAATTTTTTTATGAAGGTAAGGAAAGAAAACAGAAACTTTAACATAATTGTAAAAAGTTTAGACATTTTTTTTAAGTTTTTAAATGAATGCATGATTTTTTTTTTTGATTTCCACTGTTTTTCGAATAATTCCTCCACTGTTCGCCATCTTCGCGTGGCTAACGAAAATTCTCGTTTGTTCTGCGGGCTTTGATTTTCATATTGATTTATTTAGAGTGCGTGTGTGCG